ATAAACAAGCAAACTACAACAGTTTACTTATTCTCCATAAGAATAACATAGGAATTTTAAATTTACAATTTGTTCAATTTTCTCCATAACCAATAACTGTACAAAAACACTTCAATATACTGAATTATTTGTTTTTTAAGCTCTTTGATATGAAGAGAAATTGGGAAATTTTATGTTTTGAGGGTCAAAAATGAAAAAAAACAAATTTTTACCCCATAAAACCCCCCATAACACTCCGTTCCCATAGTCCGATCATGCTGGTTTGCGAACTCATTCAAGTTTATCCGGCCTACACCTTTAAGCCAAATTTCATTAAAATCAAACAAAAATTACTCAAGTTCGCGTTCACGGACGTATATATATATTTAACGAATTGTGTTTTTGGCCACTAGGGACATCAGAATGAAAAAGTATATCGGTCCCGCCCGAGGTCTTACCGTGCCACCTACGGTAATAGCTACTTCCCTACAGGAAAATTTGTTCAAATGAATTTCCATCAATTTTATTTCATCTAGACAATAGACCCAGCTAATTAAACATGTCAATGCAAGTTAAAATAAAAGAAACATAGAAAAATCAATGGAGATATTCTTTTGTCTTGAAGTGATTTTAACGTAAAAAAATTTGTGAATGGATTAAAAACGTAAATTCAATTACTGTAAAACATTTTTCATCACTCCGCCCCGAAAGTAACTATGTAGTTGACATCAATGAAAGTAGTTGTTTCCCAAGCTCTAATTTAGAGAAAAATGAATAAATATAACTTTTTCTAAGATTTTTGAGAACACTGGAAGTAGTGATATCGGCCTAAAGCACTTGTTGTCTTCTAGATCCTCCTTTTTGAAAAAAATGACTCTGGGTATTTTAAGACTTTCAGGTAATATTCCTGATATCAGGGAATGGCTTATTACATGAGTTAGTATCCCAGTCTTCTTCGGCTGTGTTACTGTTGTATGTATTTTTGTTCTTCTTTAGGCTTTCTTAATTATGCAGGATTACAATTTATGTAATAGTGATGAGAAAAGATTTAACTTGTAAATTAAAAGTGAAGTCAAATTAATAGTTTAAACATGTTTTGCTAATTTTCCATTTCCCCTCTTTTGACCTTGGCGAATCCGTCTTCCACAAGATTAGCTCGTAGATTGATTTGTAGATACTAATTCTCAACAAAAACCTCATAAAATTAATAAATAATACTTTTTTTTATTTTACAGTTGATTTAAATGCTGTACAAAATGTACAATTGAAAAATCTTACGTTAAATCCTAATCCCTATCCCCCCACTTTCACATAAATATATTTATTATATATCTATTATAAATTACATCTTTAAATATTAATTTGGATGCATTGTAAAAAGTTAAACCATCCAAACGCAAAACATAATCATTGTCTCAAAAAATTCCTCAAAACCTGGCAGCCGCATTTTTGGTGAATTGAGGATTATAAAAAGGTATAAATAAGATTACATACATACAAAAAAGATTAAATACGAGGGCTTTCCATATATTAAGACCTCCAATGATTTCCTGTCACCACCATAGTTCATATCTTAGAACAACATTCAACATTGTGTTATTTATTTTATTCACTATTATTCAGTGGCGGTTCTAGGAACTTGTCAAGAGGGGGGCTACCGGGGGGCTTGGGGGAGTGGAGCACCTCCCAAAATAGTAGGGGGGTCCGGGGGCCCCCCACTGGAAAATTTGAAATTTTCAAAGCCGTTTGGTGACTTTCTAAAGCAATTTTTAACACCTAAAACCGTGCCCATAAACTCCCATTTTACCTGTTGTTTTTCATGAGCAAGTAGACATTTAAAAAAATTAATCTATGACGATTGCATTAATGAATTTCAAAACACACTGTAGACTACGGCCATATCCTCCTAAAAGCCGTTGGGTGACTTTCAACAGCCAGTTTTAACGTCTAGAACTTTGTGCAAAACCTCCCATTTCCCCATTTATTTGTCATGAATAAGTAGACATTTTTAAAACTAACTATGACAATTGACAATTGCATTAATAAATCTCAAAACATATTGTAGGCTACGGCCATATCCTCCTTAAAGCTGTTTACTGACATTCTAAGGCCATTATTAATGTCTTTATATGTGTCCAACTGTCGAAAAACCTCTCATTTCACCTGTTATTTGTCTTTGTCATGAGCAAGTAGACATTTAATAAATCAAACTATGACGAACTTGCATTCATGAATTTCAAAACATAGGCCTACTGTAGACTAAGAAGCCATATCTCTTAAAAGCTGTATGGTGACTTTATAAATCTATTTCTAACGGCTAGAACTGTGCCCAATTGTCATAAAACCTTCCATTTCACCTGTTGTATGCCATGCAAGCAAGTAGACACGTTTTTAACCTTATACGTTTTTCTCCATTTCATAGATCTGTCACAATATGTATCTATCGAATTCAGTAATAGCATTGACTGTATTAACTTTAACACTAGTGTTTGTTTGCATAGTCAATGGTAAATAGGCTACTGGTGCTACCGCTGATCGCTTATTAAGTTTAATAAAAACTACTTTGATGATGTCTGTTTTATGACATGCGAATTTGAGGATTTTTTTAAGGACGAAATTGAAATGTACGTTTGATTTTATTTTTCCAGGGCCCAAGGGGGGGCTTAAGCCCCTGTACCCCCCCCCCCTTGGAACCGCCACTGCTATTATTTCAGCCAATTTCCATTCGTATGTGAATAATTTGGGGGGTACTGCACAACGTCCAAATGTCAAGACGTCCATTATAAACTATTTGACTGTTGCACAACGTCCAAATATCATCATGTCCAAAAGTACAGTAACTCCAAGAAACATAGTCTTTCTACAAGCTTTGGGCGTTAAGGGATTGGTCGTTGTGCGACAACGCACTTTATACTATTCATTCTGATAGCCCCTGGACTACGAATAATGACTTATATAGGCTTACCTCCGTCAGTAGTCCAAAATTGTGTTCTATTTCAACTAATGTTGTTCAAAGCTTACATGTTTCGTTGCAATGCAACATCGTCGGAGCTTTTTGTCAAAAACATCAAATAATTTAAACATATAACAAAACACGGAACACGAAACATTTAAACACGAAATAACACGATAGCGCTATCATGACACGGCACGGCAGCGGTTGTAGGTAGACTGGACACGAGTTAAGTAACTTCGTCCCGTCCTTCTCTGTTATCAGCTCGGTGGTCAGCTGTTCTAGATGAGATAACAGTGTTGAAGAGGGAGTGGGACTTGAATTGTAGTTTATCATTGAGGATGTATTCCTTGTGTTCTTCGTTTACGTTCATTTTATATATCTCATACTCCTCAAGTGTGTCCAACTTATTACCTTTCCCGCAAAAATGTAGGACTTCCAAGCCGGTCATAATATCACTCATTGAGTGATTACAATCTACAAGATGTTGAGCAAACGCAGATTTTTGTTTATGGTGTTTAGGATCTGGTCGGTGTTCTTTATATCGTGTTTGAAAGGCACGACCTGTTTGCCCTATGTATTTGCTTGGGCAATCCGGACAAGATATCCTATACACGCCGGTTTTATCTAATTTGTCACCTATCTCAACTTTATTTGCCAACACGTTTCTGGTACGGTTTGTAGTTCTTTAGGCTAGTTCAATGCCTTGTTTAGCGAGTTCTTTCTTTAATGCGTGTTGGATAGTGTGACTATATTCCACGCAGACATATTTTTTCTTCCCTGAGCTGTCAATCTTCACACCTTGTTTGTTTTTATGTTTTTTGATGAGCCTATCTACCAAACCGCTATTATAACCATTGACTGTAGCTATATGTTTTATGATTTTGTATTCAATTTCATAATTTACTGCATTTAATGGAACTGTTAACATCCTATGGACCAATGAATTAAATGCTAACATTTTTTGAGAATATGGGTGGTATGAGGTGTTGTGGATTGTTTGTGCAGAAGTAGTTGGTTTCCTGTAGATGCTATAATCGAAACTGTCAACATTCTTCCTTATGGTTAAATCTAAAAAATGTATGCAGTCCGATTCTTCTGTTGTTGCGATGTTGTCACAAATGTCGGAAAAGATCACAAAGTCACCACAAATATCAAAAGCTAGCATTATCAACAAACATTAGCTACAAACATCACTGAAACTAGCAATATCACTGGAGTTCGCAATAATGATATGCTGCTGGCGATGTTAACAATAACGTTACAAAAGTTGAAGATTCTGGCAATGATTTCACAAATGTTAGCAAGGCTACAAATTATGCAAAGAACATTGCAGTTTTAATTATGTTGCCTGAAATTTTCTACAATCAAGTGATGAAGTCGGGAATATTGACAAAGCTAGTACTATCTCTACCAACAGTGGCAAATTGAACAATACCTTGAATGTAGGCAAAATTTGCTTTGTAGTCAAGTATTTTGGAGATTATAGCAATGACCCCACAAATATCAGCAAATTTAGCAGCAGTAACCACTAACGTTGACAAAGTTAGTAATATTACTGGAACTGTTGGCAAAGTTAGGTAGGTATATCTCCGTAAACAATAGAGAAGCTTTCAATGCAGTTAAATTGTTCAGGAACATTGCCATTGTCTCCTGTGATTGTGAAGCCTTTGTTTTTATCTCAGTCATATGCTGCAACATCATCTTCATCTCTCAAGATTGCACCAATAACGACATCTTTTGTGATGGCAGCTACGCAAACGTCGACCATGATTGCAAAAATGTAATCATTGACATTGATATTATCAAAGGAATCCAGTTATTCCGGATACACTCAAATTCAAACAAGGTTCAGTCCCAGCTAGTTTAGAATAGCGGGACTCTACCATACTTAATCACCATTGTGTTCAATAAAGTACCGTGCCCAACTCTCAAATCATGGACTATAATTTTCCAGGTAAGCTAACTAAAACCTCCTTTCCATCCTTCAATCAACAATCCTTCATCAACCACACGACTTTCCCTTATCATCAGTTCAACGTACAAATGATACAAAAGTGTGGCTTACCTTTTGTATGCCTCAGTGATGTTGTTGAGTTTATCCTTGAGGGCCGAGGTGGACGCAGGAGAGAATGTGTCCAGATACAGCAGTACAGATCCGGACAGGAACAGCACCTCCTCGTGTTGTGACTGGTAACCCTTCACATCCTTCAGGAATTCCTATGAACAATAGCGGGAATCAGTTAACAAATAGTTCTCAGAAACTTCTTTTTTATAAAAAAAAAAAAACCAATAATATGGTGAAGTGGTAACACAAATAAAACTCATTTTTCTAATAAGTCCATTTCCAGTTATGTGAAAAGAGTTTAGATCAATATTATTTTGGCTTAGATTGTAGAGGGTCACATAATGGGAATTACACATAAGAAAGCCCTGATTGATTTAGGTTTTGAACTTGTGAAAAAACCGTGTTTCAGGTTTTGAAATACTCTTAGGTTTTCTCTAGAAAGAAATGAATGTAATGACAAACAAAATTTACTCCAAACCAAAGAAATTCTTATTTAAAACAAAAACATATTTTGCCCTATGAGAAAATTTAGAATTTAAAATACTGTGAATATAAAATAAGTTACATTCTCACTGACCTTATTAATTTTACTTGTAAATTTACGATAAAATGAAATTTTGATTTGATTGAATGAACATATTATAATAACAGATTCTTAATTTCAGTTTGTACACATATTACCATGATTCCTATTTTACTATAGTATCGTATCACTTAAAAATGAACTTATAGTTTCCAATTACTGTAATAACAATGTAAGTTTAACAAACCTGGATCATCTGGTTGACTTCAGTTATCTGAGGTTTGGAACGAACGATGGTGTCTATGTGTTTGCTCTTCTCTTCAGCAGTTGATAGTAGTGACTCAAACTCAGACATTTTTGACTCAAACTCCTGAAAAATACACTGGTTTGAAACACTGTAATTAAAGTTTTGATAACGTAAAACCTCATTTATTTAACTAACTGTAAGAGAATTATTTTTGCATATGCCACTCATTTTATATTTATGCAACAAAATTTTAGATTAAAAAAAATATTTTGTAATATGGATAAATTAAATATGTATACTAATAACAACATCTTGATTTCACACTTTTTCTGTAACTATTTATTTACAACTGTCTTGAGGTTTGTCCACTCCTCATATCTGCATACATTTTTGCTTCCTCTCACTTCTTTGTTTTGGTGCACAGGCCCGTGCATGAGTAGCATGAGTCGCGCTATGGACCCGAGAGATGATTGCACTTTCCTCCCGCCTTCCTTGCAGCCGCATTTTTTTCCTTGTGCACTAACAAATCTCTTTCGTTTACTAAAGCAGCCCTGATTATGATGCAAAGTTTTTGGTTAAGTGGACAATTTTTGCTTAACCTCATCATAGGCTTTTACAGTTTAATGTAGGAGAGTTTTTACCTCATTGGTATTTTAATGTAGAACCAATCTGTCAAAGATAATGTTGAATATGTAAAGATGGATTCAAAATTGAAATATTGTAATGAAAAAACTTAAAGCCCCAAAAACTTGATTCTTTAAACGATTTTGAACATGTTAAAGCGGTTTTTATTTTTTTCTGTATCCAACCTAACTGCGCCGATTTGGGTCAGAAAATCAAAACTCTGCCGTACAACTTAATTATTAAAAACAAGCGCAACTTAGACAATAATTTACCTCCCAATGACTTGCCAGCTTCTGCAAGGTCTGTTTCCTACTGCTGAGATCACCCAGAAGATTGTCCCACTGTTGCGTAACATTAGCCACCTCGGTAGCAACTGCTGTCTTGTTCTTAGCGTCAGACTTGGACTGTATTTCAGTTGCACGCTGCGTCAACAAATCCATCTCTGGCTGGTGATGCTATAAAAAAATATATAGTTAGGATTTTATTTTAGTATGCTAATTTTTGTCCCTTAACCAGCACCTATCATATATCAATACAATATCAATATGAATAATATCGAATGGCTTTAAGTTAACACTTGAAAGCTTGTTGACGATGCATTATAAGGATTAGAATGATTTAAGAGTCATTGGAGGATAGCGGCCATTTTAGATAATTTTAAACAGCTGCTAAAGAGTTAATTTTCATCCAAAAATATTTTTTCAAACCCGTGAACTACTCTGAAGACGGCTGTTTGCAATGAGGCCAACACATCAGCACTTAGGAATAATATTCCACCTATGACACAGAAGTAACGGGCGACATAGTTAATAGATGATCTCATCTAATCTTTCACATTAACAGGCCCAATACCAACCTCAGTGTCATTCTCGGCATGCACTATCTTCTGTATGTTGAAATGGACGCCAGCCAGTGACGTGACAGGTTCGTCAGTGAACTGAGCTCTGGACAGGTTAGCTTTGACTTTGTCCAGCGACTGTTGATAGTCTCGCCACACTTCTGCATCCTGCTCCAGCTGAGCTTGTCTGGAAACATACACCAAATTTACAAAATATTTATTACCATATCATATTTTTCAAACCTATGAACCAGTAACATTTTGATAACCAGAAAATTATCAACTGTAAAAAGTTTACTTTAATATTACATTAGGAGTACCGGTAATTCAAAATTAGAACAATACATAGAAAATACATCCGTTATTGAAAAATCAAGGTTACACAAGCAAAAATAGGGTTACCACCAGCCATTGAACTATTGATGTTTTTGACTTGGCCAGAACACAAAATGATTTGAAACATAGTAAATTAAATAACCATCCAGTTCAGAAAAAGATATTATGAATGAAATGAAAAATATCATAGGAAGACAGGCTTTGGACTGGTGTCTCAGGGACAACAAAGATAAGAAAAACTTAAACATACCTGGAGGAGGACAATAGAAAAGAACATTACAGAAGAGGGGCAACTGGAGGCATGTGAAGGACTTAGCTGGATATTGAGATCGATGTAGTTGTTTTGTCGAAGCCCTTTGCTCCAACAGTATGTGCAACAGAAATTAAGTCTGTATAGTAGAACTTTAATTATTATCGATTGGGATCCTAGCATATTCCTATAACTACATAACAACATGTTAGTCAAACAAACTTAAAATAATTCAGTTTTTTACCGAAATTTGGAGTATTTTATATAAAACAAGCACAGAGCTTTTACCATAACGATCGCAGAACGTGTCTACGAGGAATTAGCAATTGAAATAGATTCCTTAATAACAGAAATATGATTGCAGAAAACAATGATGATTTTTCCCTGACTGTGCGAGTCGATGATGATGTGTACACAACCCTTTTGTCAATTATGAAAGACGATCATGTACGGCGGAGATGTTCAGAAAGATGTCAAAATCACAGCTTTTTACTTCTTCAAAAACAATTTTTTTATTTCTGTAGTTTCAGGTTTTAAAAATTCTGTCTGTGGATGATCAGTGATTCGGATAGTTGGAGTTAGGATAATTGGAGATCTACTGTATATCAAATCATGGCGTATGAGTAATAACACACCAGTACAGAGGTGACAAACCTGCTCTTGGCCAGATTGAGTGTGTTCTTGAGCAGCTGTGTGAGCCGTTGTTGTTTGAGGCTCAGCTCCTCCTGCTCAGTAGGGCTCAGTGAAGGCCAGATCTCGTTGCTGGCTGCCTGTATCTGCTGAGACACCAACTCTCTGATTGCCGGCTCACTACTGAAGAACAACTGCAACAACAATGTTACAGCGGTGAGGTGAATGTTCTACATTTGCAGGTTTTAAGATCTGCTCAGTACAGTGTCAATCAATGCTCAGTTTGCTAGTTTCATACAATTTGGTTCGAGCTAAAGGATAGATTCTACGACTCTTTTCTTTAAAGATTTCTAATCCTACGTCTCCTAGGTAAGAACTCATGCACAATAAGCTGTGTTTAATATGCCTGGATATAATAAGTACCTGGATTAATAGTCCACCCCTTTCCTTCAGTCAAGAAGAAGTGTTTTTTTATAGGAGGATTCCCTTCCGCTTAGTATCCACATAATCAGTGGATTTCTATTACATTGATAAGATTTTTTTAAGGCAAAGTGCATATATGTACTAAACATTGGTTCATTATGGATAAAACATTGTTTGAACAAATCTTTGACATTTTGTTTATTAATTTAGAGGAATTTATATATTTTTAGGTGGAAAATGTAATATTTTAGCTAAAATTTTATTTTAATGTTTATAACAAAGTAATCAGTCTTAACAAATTAGTACCTTGTGATCTTCCAGGTCATGAGCAATATTTGCAAAGTCCACTCCATCTTTGCCAGCCTCAAGCTTTGCTTCTGCTTCTCGGACCCAAATATGGAGTTTTTCCACTAAAGCTTCGTAATCTTCCCGGTATCTAGAATATAAAATTTAAAAATGTAAAGTGAATCTGATACAGACAAGTAAAGAATAAAAGTACCAATTAATTAACCTTCCAATATTTTATAAACATTATATTTTTATTTTCTTATACGATCTTACCAATACGATCTTTACACCTAGTAGGCAAGGAGAATTTTCAAGTAGCACTAATGTAATATCTACAGCATAGGCGGCAGTGAAATGTATGTTTTATTTCTTTTTTTGATCCTTCATCTGAGGCAATGGAAACGATGCCAAGATTCTTACAATATCCAGTCAAGAAAATATTTGAGGTAAATAATTTCCACAAAATACACCTTGGTTGCATCCCCCCCATTTTAATTGCTCAGGGATTTAGTGTAGATCCTGCTATAAGGGACTTAGATTATAGCGACTTATGAGGATTACTTAGACTTGTAGATATAGTTGGCCTTCGATTTTATACTAACATTAATTTAATAAACCTACGTTTGGTTCAAGATTATCCATGTGGAATTTTCAAACATTTTAATTTTAGCTTCTTAGGACTAGGATTTGCAGTAGTTTAGACTTAACTGCTTTAAATCTGAGGGTGACTGGTTTACTGTAACTTTCGAGGTTTGTGTCTGACTAAATAAGCTGATTTTGTCATGTTAATGTCAAGTTCCCTGATTTTTGTTTTATAAAATTGACAAAATTCAGGATTTGAACCAATATTTAACGTCGCCTATGTTTCACTCTACCTCTTATTGTCCTCCAGATACTTGGCTCTCTCACTCAGTTGTGGAGGAAGAGTGGTCAGCAGCAGGTTAGCTTCACTCAGCCGTTCCGTCAACTCCATCGGCAGCCCCTCCTCATGCTTCACTGACTCCTGTGCAGCAGCTATCCTCCCCAGGTGGCTCTCCACCTCTGCAGCTAGTTTCTGAAACATTTAAATTTCTATGATAGGGGGTTATCAGTAAGCAGTCTGATCAATTCAGATGTCTGGCATTAAAGGCTGTCTTGTTACCTGTGTGCTGAAAACATTTTCCCTTCTTTCCTGAAAATAAAATTGTAGCTAGGAGTGTTTTTAGATGTTTACTTGATACAATCATGGAGTTTGAAAACAGCTGTTGTCAATTTAAATTTGGTTGTAGTAGTTTACACAACATTTGCGTAAAGATAGTGTTGACGACACAAGTTGGAATCCATTTGCCTACTTTGACGAGTCTCTCTCGCCGCCGCCGAGCGCCCTAAAATACTTTGATGAAGTGGCCTCACTGCTTGCTCGCATCGTAGTAGTTTGCTGTTAACTCAACAGATAGCAAGAGAGCTGAAGCATCGAGGTCAAACAAGGTCAAAGAAGAATTCTTAGAGCTTGGTTATTTTGAAGTAGAAATTGAGGGTTCTACTATGTGTATAAACAGCCATGTTGTTGTAGCTCCAAAGGTTTACAATAAACTCATTGGCCTTATCTCAAAATATGATGTCAAACAATTCAAGAGAAAGTTTTATAACTGGTTATTAATAAACCCACTTTATTCACTTAATGAGTTTTTTTCTTGCCAAATTGCTTTCTAGATCGTTCTATACACTTAAATACAAATCCCACACTCTATTAATTAATAGTCTATATAAATCATTCTTCACATTAAAACTATTATTGAAAACTAATCCTCTCTTTTTTCATTAAGATATGATGTTATCAGAAATTATTTTCTATTTTATCTGTTATTGATGTTCCAGGCCAGCTTGAAGGAGAAATTGTTTGTTTAATTGTTTTGTTCTATATACTATAAAATTTAAATTTAATTTTATATTTACATCTACTTTAATTTGCTTCATGACAATTTGTAAAATGCAATCTGACCTATCCTATTGTACTTTATTGTACCGAATGGAAATAAATATATTTGATTTGATTTGATTTGATTTGTATAATGAACAAAAGGAATTGCTATGTAAATAATCAACAAATATTCAAGACTCTAACCTTGTGTTTCTCCATTTCCAGCTGAACGCTGGACACATCAATGTTGAGCAGTGGCCGAGACTTGACCTCCGCCTCGTGACTATGCAGCCACTCCAGTATTGTGTCCAGCTCCGCAGCCAGCTTGAGATGTTCCGCCGCAGCAGCTTCATGTTGCTGCCTCTGTCTCTCCACGGCTCTTCGCAGTGCAGTCAGCTGTTGCTTCAGACTCTGCAGCTGTTCCGTCACCATGTTGCGGTCTGATGCGGAACCTTCTGCAGCGATCTGTTCACCCTTATCGGTGGCTGCGGCCAGCAAGGCCTCACACTCTTGGATCTTCACTATAACCTGTAGTAAAACCAAGAAGATATTTTTTTTATTGCTTAGAGTCTTAAGATATAAGTTTAAAAAGAAAGCTGAAAAGGAATATGTTGAAACAATGGATGTGTCTAAGCTTAACAGAATAAACATGATTCAATTCTTTGTATAAAATGTATTTTTGGTGATGGTAAATTTATGGAGGACTGGTTTTTTGTATGTTATTGTGTGTTTTTTGTGAGTCTTCTTCGTGTTTCATGGCCTACCGGTACTTATTCTAAGGTAAATTAGCTGCCATCCTCCTTTATTGTACAGTTTAAAGTCCTGGACTAGAGCCTTTCCTTGAAAAATACTATATAGAAGCTATAATACTACAACACAAGTCCTACTCCCGTACATCGTCATATTTCCTGATCTTCTCCTGCGTAGAGTGTCCGCCGGTCTCAATGTCCTTGATGACCTCAGTGTAGCGTGTTATGAATGTTGTGATGTCAGCTATCAGCGCTATGAACTGTTCCCTCAGCAACAACAGCTGCCTCAGCCTGTCCAGCTGATCCTCTATGGCTCTGATCAGGTCTTCTTGCTGCTTAACTATGTCCTGAAGGTTAGCAATGCCCTCCAGATCTCCAACGTTGCTCTTCCAGTTCTTCAAGTCGTCCAGTAGTTTCTGAAATTTCAAGGTATATTTTAATAAGATTCCAGAGGGAGAAGAACCCTTCCATCAAGAATGAGGAAGATGCATCAATTTCACAAAGACATAGGAAGACTTAAAGTTCAACATTTGACTACAGTTAAAGCAGAAGAGGGCAGAAGTGAGTGGTGAGGCACAAAACCTACTGAGGTGTCAATGGCGAAGGAGTGAAAGGGAAACAGAAGATAAAAAGCACAACAAACATGAGCAATTTATGAATTGTTTGCATTTTTGTTTTTTAACGGAATATAGGGTTACATTAATATCACAGGTATCGACGGTGTAATTTAAGCAGATAGACAGTAAAGGATAATGTTTTTGTATATATTTAGCTTGATGGACCTAGCTGTCCATGATAATTAGGATTTTAATTAATGGTTCTGGCTAAAATAACAGATAGTCTCATATCCAAAGCTACACAAATCATCTTGAATGTCCCCCACCTACACTCATTGTTGATACATATTTGGATCTAGCCACACCTCAGTTTCATAATGAATATTCTAATTATTTGGTAAATAGCCTAATGCACTGTGCTGCTGATATTTGGAGATTGGAATTAAGAGTCATAATTATATTATTAAAACTATTATTATTATTAAAATTATTATTCTATTCTATTATTATTAAAACTATTCTATTGTTTTGCTACCGTTGAAAGTTGTTACAATTGGGATATAAAAAGGTTACTTTCAATATGGTTTGACTTTATGGTTTGCAATTAACAAACCATTAATTTCTTTGAGATACTTTCCAATTAACTCTCTAGCCACTAGGGACTTATTTTTGGGTCCAGGTTGAAAATTTATAAGACACAGTCAACACATTCTAACCACTGGATATTTACCCTCCATTTTCTTCCAACCCAAAAATCTCAAAATTTTCAGTCTAGATTTTTGGCGTCTGATCATGAGACAAATTTTTGGAGGGTATGTTTACAAACCTGATAGCTTTCCAGCATTGCCTGCACATCCTCCACCTTGCTGCCTACAGGTCTCTGCAGATCCTTCAACTCAGCCTGTATGCGAGCAAACATGGCGAGACTCTCATTGGCACGCTCTTGTGCTTGACGACATTTTTGCAACGCCTCGCCCAGAGCTTTAGTGCGATCCCTGCAGAGAAAGTCAGACTGATTACATATTACCAAAAAAGATAAAGATTTAAATAAATAAGCATTAAGTTAATTTATTAGGCTCCACTTCTGATCCTACTCCTTTTCATAAGTCCACAACATTCTCACGTCTTTCACTACTTCATTTTTCCACCTCTTCTACGAATGATCAGAAAATCTTCTTCCATCCAAGATTTCCTTCCATTAAGCTTGGTGATAGTTTCGTCTCTACTTCTTATCACATGGCTAGTTCAGGTCTTACCCGTGTTGTTCTCACAGGAAAAAATTATTTTTAAGTAAATAACTTTCTGCTTATGGGAAAGAAACAATAATGATGTAATGAAACATGTATTATAAGATCACTGGAAAGTCACAGGAACAAGTGAACAGGTTCTGCTGCTGATAAAGTAGTACTGATAAATGGTAATGCCTGACACCTGTTCCGATGAACTACTCTAAAGATGGCTGTCTGCAACAAGGCCGAAAAATCAACATTATTAGTGTAATGTTGACCGTCGAATCTTTACTTCCAATGTATTCACATAGTCATGGTGGTATTGATGGCAAGTATTCTCGTACCTTATGTTGGCAGCAATTCGGCCGTGACGCTCGTGGAGGTTGTTGAGGTTCTCTGTCAGCTGAAGCAGGTCTGGAGCTCCGAGTACCATTGTTCGTCCGACCTTGTCAAGGTTGTTCAGATCATCACCCACACGCACACACTCCTCATTGAGTTTGGTATACTGCAATTGAAAAACACAGTATATAGTTTTCTGTGTTGTACTTTGAACAGTTATCTAGATGTTTTGGCAACAGCATTTATACATATTACCTATACAGAAAGTCATACAGGGTGTTTGAAAAGTCTGAGTACGGCTTAATATTTTACAAACCATAGCAGAAAACATCTCTCTCAGAGCTTTTAGAGAAGAAAATTGTATTTTAGCTTGTAAGCTTTACTTTTTTATGACCTTGACTGTTGCTAATACATGTATAATGTCAATGGCAAATAAATATTGCTATTTATTTATATCAACTTTGCACGATGTCATATCGCAATGTAAACTATTTTTCCTTGCAATTGCCATGACATGACAACCATGGGGGGACGGCCCACAGAGGAAGTCAAGAAATTTTATATGTAAGCACGGGTCGAGTGATACCTCATTTCAAAGAGCTCAGTTAGTAGAGTTGAATGCCGCAAACCGCATCTCAAAAGATGTATCCAATCAGAAATGGCGGGTTGTTTTAGGTACACATTGTGAAGTACATTATGCGCTGCCATTTCTGACTGTATTGTCTTATTCAGATGCGGTAGGTGGCGTTTCACTCTACTAATGTTTTCACGGTGAGATTAGTTAACTTACCACTTCATTTTAGAATTAAATTTTGTTGTTATTTTTTAATCCAGTCAGAAATGGCAGCGCATAATGTACTTCACAACGTGTACCTAAAGCAACCCACCATTTCTGATTGGATACATCTTTTGAGATGCGGTTTGCGTCATTCATCTCAACTACCTGAGCTCTTTGAAATGAGGTATCACTTGACCCATGCTTACATTTAAGATTTCTATGACTTTCTCTGTGAGCCGTCCCCCCATGTCTCTCATTTCATGGCAATAGCAACAAAAAATAGTTTACATTGCGATATGAGACTTTGTAAAGTTTATAGATGTTCTCTGCTATGGTTTGTAAAATATTAGGCCGTACCCAGACTTTTCAATCACCCTGTATAATCTGCTTGCTAGGTAATAAATAGTGATTTTTTTTGTGACAGTTTTAAACGTGACCATTGATTAAACAAATTTAGGTATTTTAAATAGGCCTATTTTCTCCTGAGAAAAGGCAAAATTAGAAACAGGATAATAATATGTAACAAAGATTTAATGATTTCATAATTTATGATTGGTGTGATTAAAAGCTCGGTAAATCCAATAGTATCCTGGATACTGGTTGGGGACTTAATTTTTGCCCAAATGTACTTTCTGCTCACTACTTCCTAGTAAGTTAACTAATCTATCAGCAAAACTCAATAATTCTTAAAACACGGTATGCAATTAACTAGTTAAATAATTAAGATAATACTTACAGTCTAAGAACATCATGTCCAAAATACATGCAGCATAGTAAGAAAAACTAATTACATGATATACAGGTGTATTAAAAATAAAAATATATATTTTTTAATAAATCTTATTAATGGCAATAAATTATAATTAATGTAATAAAAAGAGGGAGTAAACAGAATAAACTAGATTATCACCACTTATAAACATTTTACTAATGCTTTTTGATTTATTAAAGTTGTTGCAGTGGATTACACTCAGTACCAGACTAGACTAAGACTCGAGATGGAAATTATTTATTGCTTATAATTTAGGGATGGTCAAGTCTCAAAATTTCGGGAAATTTTAAATCTCGTTACACGAGACGAGATTTCTTTTTAGCCAAGATTTTTATCGAGACAAGAATTAAAAAAAAAAAAATTAAAAACGCCTGCAGAAAGTTAATGCAATACCCGCAATACATGAGCGTGTTGTAGTTGCGTTTCCTTTGCGAAGGCGATCTTATTTAATTAATTCTTTGAATGTAAATATTACTTTAATTATTTTAATAATATTACTTTAATAACATTTGAGAAGTTTTGTTAAGTGTAATCAGTGTGAGGAATGTTTTATTACTATAAAAAGTCAAAACAAGTAACTATTTTATAAAAATTAATATTGCTTTTATTTTATGATTTATTTTATTTTAGGATGAGTTGAACTCTATCCTAACTGATATCACTATGTTTCCTAATCGTAGGCATTTTTAATAAGTTAGGCGTGATTAATAGAAAAATGTTATGCTGATGTTTTTTTAATAAAAGATTGTAAATATTCTTGCCTGTTATCATTATTTTTGTATTTAAACAGTAATCTAACAATGTTACAAAATCAGGTAAAAATTTTGAACGTGCATTTCCCGTTGTGTATGAGAAGGGAGATCCCGTCTCGAAATTTTATGAGAAATAAAAAATCTTGTCTTGTCTCGTCTCGAACTAAAAATCCAATCTCTTCCATCCCTACTTATATTATTTCTTTTTCATAAAAGAAAAATAATTTTACTAGTTTAATTTACCTTTCCTTGGCCATCATTAGCTATATGTTTTTTCATCGGAGTTTATTACTGTTGTAAAATTGATGACAAGATAAAAACACTGAAATGGATCAAATTGACTTATTTAGGAAACAATTCATTATTTTGGAGAGAGAAATATAGTTTTTGACTGGTTAACTTCATTTTAGCAAAATCAATCTGTCAAGGAATACATAGTAGGCTAATTAAAAACTTTAAAAACAATAACAAACCCATAAAAAGTTGAAATTCATGGATAAGACTAACTTTATCCACAAAATAGGTTTCTGTGTATAATTTCAAGTTATTTTTTACCAAAATCAAACTAATGTAAAGTAAAGGAATCTTGGTGCAATTCAAATCCAGTTAGTTCTTAAAATACTCAAGATTTGCCAATATCAGCGCTTTCTCCACAGTATTTCAGTGGCAATTCAAGTGATTGAGTCAACAGCATATTTTTATTTCCATTGTTATTCTGTAGCTGTATGTCTCAATTATAATGTAATCTGTTCAAAAAAATTTGTAATCAGATATTTGTTTGTTAAAGAAAAAGATTGAGATGTACTCACATTGGTCAAGCAAGATATATCTTTTTAACTTATTGTGAACGTATTATTCAGATAGTTGGCACACCTTATTGAGTTGTTCCTGTATGAGTTGAAGGTTGGAGGTCCTCAGTTCGGCTGACAATGCGACCTCTGCCTCGTTCATCCAAGCCTGACAAGCCTCGACATCGGCCTCAAACTTGCGCCGTCCAGTCAGCAAGTCCTGCATGGACGACAGTTTGTTGCGACACTTCTTCTGCAGCCCTTCGTGCTCCTTAACCAAACCTGAAGATGGATGGTAAGATAAATTGTGAGAAAAGGAATTAGTGATTGAAAAGAGCTTGTTCTTATACATTTACTATAGTACTTTATTCGTGGATAGTTTAAATCGGATGCAATTTTGTATGTGTCCTGTTTCTGTCACTAATCCATAACTGGATCAATGCAATTGGTTTTTAACAATAAAAAAGCTACCCAAGCGGTGGCGGTATACATTAACTACATAATTTTATGACAATTTTTATCGTCAATCTTGGATTTGACCAATATAGACCTACTGTAAGCAAAATTTTATTTGAAAAAAAAAACAATTTTAACACAAGATATGAACAAGCAATAAAACATACCGGTACATATCAAATACTATTATACAAGCATTCTAGGAAGTGTTTACTGTTTAGACTTTGAATAGTTAATTAGTAGGATTACAACAAAACTCAAGCTTAAACAAAGTTTATCATTCAGAAGAGCAAAACGGATATTGGAAAAAGTTTCAAGAGCACAAGGAGAAAAGATTTTACATTCTATATAGCTGTATTTCCTGTAGAAAATGTGGCAAGAAAATCTTTAAAACATCTTGCATCATCTCAACATAAAAAGACTTTCACACATTGTGGTTTGTGTTATGATAAAATAAGGCAACCAATTTCACAGTATACATTACATACAAACTTTTGTGTATACTTCACATTGTGTTGAAAACTCACCTTGAATAACAGCGAGTAGCTTGGCTTTGTCAGCCTCATCACAATCCTTAATGAGAGCGTTGGCTTGCTTCTGTAATGGACCAAGCTCATTGTCTCCGAACTTCTTCAAGGACGATTCATAAGTCTGTGAATAACAACAAACCATCAAAATCAAAGCAATTAAATAATTATCATATTACGATTTATATGCAGGAATACTTACCTTTAGAATTAAGATATTAATTATGGTAATTTGAAGACAGACTAATATATAAATTGGAATTAACTAAGATAGTTTGAACTTGTGAGAGGAGGGAATTCATAGGAAAATTAAGTTGTGTTGATGGAGTTTGAAAAGAGAGACAAATACCTAGATTACGATCGGTAGCGTGAAGTAGGGTGTGTAGAAGAGAACTGTGGAAGTAATAGGAGATGTTGGGGAGGCCTAATCAACACCCAAATCTAACTGGAACGGAAGAAGCTATGGACACCCACTACAACTGTAGTAGACATATTCAGCACTTTAACCTATTTACCTATTTAACTATTTACCTTGTAGTGATCAAGTTCTTTCTCAACACCAGCCGCTGTCAGTGGTTGTTCTTTTATCGGATCGAGATCCTCAGACGCCAAGTCTCGCAGAGCTGATTGCACAGCGGCCAACTTGTCTTCAAACTGCTTCCTCTGACCTGCTGCACTTCCAACTCGTTCAATCTCTCCTCTCAAGCCCTTGTTCAGCTCACCAACCTAGAGACAAGACATAGGTTACGATTAAACCTAAGATCTGTGCAAAAACAATCTTCACGGCTACGGCCACACTAGTCGACAAGTCTCCCCTTCAAACCCAGTCCCTTCACAGTTTTACTGTTTACCTGTTTTTTTTTTTTGGATGACCGTGATGAAGAGTGCAGTTGGAAAATATGCTGCTTAATGCAAAGTTTTATCAACCAAATAAGGGTGAATATATTTCTATGAGATGTAACCGTAAAACATAAAGAATATTCTGGTGCAATGGGAACCCGAAACTTCATGTATTTCACTATGTTCTCTTCAATAATTCTAGGAGTTTTTCAAACATGGCTATGATGATTAAAAAACGAATTGTAACTTGAAAATACATCATCCCTAAGCAATGATTTAAGAGTGGAAAAATGGTGATCTTTCAAGTGATGCCCTCCCAATCATATTTACCAAATTAAATTTCCCTCAAGGGAAGAAGCTATCACTGTAGGTGGTATGGTAAGACCTTAATTCGGGACCAATTTTTTATTTTTATTTCTCCAGAGGCCAAAAACACTATTCATCCAGATTTGCATAAATTATCACAATCCTTTGTAAAGGAAATTTTCATCATGATCATTTTTTATAACTGTCGGTGAGTGTACTTTTGTTCCACATTTAGTAGAGATTACTGAATTCAATTCGTTATTGAGAGTACTTGTAAACCCCCAAGAAAATATATTTGTAACTCATATATTTTAATACGAAATACCGTTTACTGGCTACAAACCTCAGTCTCCAACAAGCGAATGCTGCCTCCCAACTGCTGCACTTCGCTAGGCTCCAGCTCGCTAGCAAGAGCCTGCAATCGCTTGTCCACCGACTCTGCTAGTAATTGTTTGCCTTCAGCTTCTTTCAGTAAGACCTGCAATAGAAACATTTATTGACTTAATGTAATGGTATTTGCCTATTAGGAAAAACATGTGTAATTTATCTAATTGTTCATTTGGTTTGCAAGGTGCGGTGTTTAAGTATATTTAATTTTTACTTGGTCATCATAGTGTTATAGTTATCTTTTATAAGATGAAACTCTTGACAATTTATGTAGTTTACTAGTTTATGTTCTCAAATTGTGCACTTATGTTAAATGAAGTTATAAGGAATTTCTGACAAAGAATTAGTTATCAATACACCTGACACAGGGGTGATGTGCAATATTCTGTCCATAGAACAACAATTACTCCTAGAAAAAAATTAAAGCTGTAACAATTCAATATTTTCACCAATATTTTTTTTTATAGAATAATTTAATTTCCACCATATGTTTTCATTTTATCTAAACGTTAATCCCTTTTCAAACCATATATAGTAATTAATTGTCCATGCAGAACAATAGGTAATCAATTTAATACAATATAATATAGAAATTTTCAAATAACCTAATATCATGTAAATACATAATAGCCTATAACTTTTGTAACAAAATTGCTTCAAATTCAACATAAATTTATTTAAATAACTTTTCAAAATTATAATTCAGCTCTCTAGCAAATGAAATGTGTTAAGTATAATATATATGTGTGAACAGTGGCCTATAATTTTATGTTATTAAGTCGGCATTGACATATGTGAGTGCAACAATACATCAGACCATCATCACTTCCAATAGAGCCAAGATAGTATGAAGATGCAAATTAGACACTACATATTTAATATTAAAATTTTATAAAGAAAAGTACATTATTCGGACAAAATTTGTGAAATTTGTTGAAAGAAGAACCATCCTTGTGACGAACATTCATAATTTATAACATCAAGAACTTTACTTCAAAGAAGACATCAATTTTGGTGAGATTACTCCAATAGACTTTTACCCCTTTGGAAGCCATTAAAACTTTTTTAGGCCCAACCTTTGGACATTTGTACTCAAATTCAAAGTCAAGAACTTATAGAAGCTTAACCTATTCAAAATTATTATTAATTCAACCAATCTATAATTCGAACATACTTTATATTCTAAAACAAAATTTAATTAGGCTTATATCACAAGATTAATTTCAAATGCCGCTCGATCACCCCACCTGAGAAAGATCCTTGCAGTAGCCTAAATTATAACATTGAACTTAAATAATTAAAACCATTGTAATAGGCCTAGCCTAAAGTTTTTTTTTAAAGTAAATTCATTTCCCACTGTTTGTACAATTTATTGTGAACCCCCTTTCTTTTCTTTCATTATCAGATTTGTATAATAATTAATAAATTTAATTTTCGATTTTGTACATGGAGTTTCCATTGTAGACCTAAGTTGAAGGTTGTTTACAAAGCTTAAGAAAATATAAATTTAACTTAAAAACTAAGATAAAAAAATAATGGTAGTATTTATGTAGAATGTAGACTTAACATGACAAATAGGAAATAAACATTTTTATTTCTTACTATAGCCATAGTCAAAGCTATAATATTATTCTTACAAACTTTATTATCTCTACTCTGGTCACCCACCTTTAGCAGTTGTTGCCGTTCCTCGGTAGCTTTGTTTTCATAGCCAAGTGGCGGAGGCGCCGTCACATACACCATTTTCTCCCTGACCCACTCCCGCGCCTGTCCTATCTCCGCCTGCGCAGCCTCCGCACCCTTGTGCGTGGTCGCCAACACCTGTGCTTTGCGCTGCACTCTCTTGGCAAGGTCGTTGTATCGCCTCTCAACGGCCTTAACCTGCCACAAAATCCACAAGTCAATAACAAATTTTATCGATATATTTGAATAGTTTTTCTTTAGTCTGTGTAAGGTAATATTTACTGTGAGTTTGAGTTATTTTACCCAAGCGATCCTATTATGTGGCGATTCTCAAGATTTTGCCTTCCAAGTTACCTGTTATCAGTTCAGATTTTGAAGTCTCAATTTCAGTTTTTAAGTTGTTCCATGGATTAAAATTGTACCACAGACAAAACTACTCGTAACACTAAACTTGATATCGTCTCTTAACCAGAGGGCTTATAAAAAAAAGTAGTGGAAATCCCACAACACCTTATACTTCTCCCCCAAAAAGAAGTCCTGTGGGAAAGACACAAGATAAAGTTAATGCAACGTCAAACAAATTTATATCTACCAAAGGAGTAAGCATTTTTATTTATTTCAGTGGAGGAAGGTAAAAATAGTTTAGAAGGCAGACGAGGAGTCATGTATTAGGTGATGAAAAGAACAATGACATGGAATATGGTGGAAAAAGAGGAATCGCGGAGATAGAGAAGGGGTGGGGTGGCCAAGAATTGATGCAACAGAAGAGGCTGTATGTACGATTAACATTTACCTGGTCTTCAATCTGCTGGGAGTCCAGGTTACTGACTACTGCAATCACATTGTTGGCCAAAGTCTTCACTTCTTCCACCTTTGGCAAAGCCTTCTCCTGCAGTTCATTACCAACCTAACAAAGAACAATGAATATTTCTTAAATGAAGTCGGTGAAGAATTTATGAGTGTAAAATTTTTATTAGTTTTTTAATTGCTTAACAATAATGCACTACTAAGATGTCCTTTGGAGGTATTTATTACACGTTGTTTTTAAATTGAAAACAATATGGGTAGTGTTCAACATAGGTTAAATTTCTTTGACATTAAACATTTTTTTATGGTTTTTATAGAGTAAAAGAGTAAATCTTTTTGCCTAATCAGAGCCAATTTAAAAAGCCAATTTAAAATAAGCGGTAACACTGACATATACTTTCTTCCATAAGCTTATCAACAACCCTTATATTAGGTAAGCGGTGGGAGTAACTACGGTATTTTATGGATAAATCACAAAAGTTGCAATGTGCAGCATTGGATGTTTTACCATTTAGTGTATAGGACCATAACATACTAAATTTTTATCAAAATAAATCAAGCCGTTTTTGTGAAAATTCTATTTTTTCATTGTTTTATTGGTGTTTATGACAAAATAAAAAAATAAAAATTTCTTAAAAAACTGTCAAATTCCTCCCTATTCTGTAGTTTTTCCTCCTTGGGAACTAAACATTTAACCACAAGGTCAAAGCTCATGGAGATACAGTAATGGTGAAGATTTTACACCATAATCGACTAACAACAACCTACTGACCTCAGCTAGAGTGGCCAGCTTATGTTGGCAGTCCAGTCCACTGCCCTTCTCCGCTGAATCTACTTTCTTGGCCAGAGTGTCCAGGTAAGCCTGTGTACTGGACAGCGAGCCTCGGTACTCGTCTATCAGGCTCTGCTCTCCTTGCTTCTTGGCTAGTGTCTCCATCAACTGGTTGAAATAAAAAACATATGGAATAGTTTTCATGATTGTGGAAATATGTCATATCTAAGTATTGATTAGTGATTACTCAACTAAGGTTGATTATTAGCTCTTATTTATATTCAAGGAAAATAATGGCACAGAAAAATTAACACACAACTCAGCAATACAGCTTATTGTAAAATGTCCTGTAGAGATGGACAGGTCTTGAATTTTTAAGAATGAGAGATTTAAAAAATCTCGTTTGTTCGAGCGGGATTAACTTTGCTCCAAGACTTTTTCGAGATGAGATTAAAAAACCCCATCATAAAGTGGTTGTTGTATTTCCTTTGCAAAGGTATTCTTATTTAATTTATTCTTTGCGTATAACAAAGATTTTTGCCTTATTGAGTGCACTAAGTATAGTTTTTATAGGTTGAAGCAGAATCTTTGTGGATAAAGAAGAATCGCGGATAAATGTACACCGGATAAACAGGTTTTAGTGCTGTACTACAACTCTTTTTCTTATAGACTGTTTTTGTTTTGAGACAATTAGTTGTAGTATGCATGTTGTAGTTTTACATTAAAGATGTCTTATTTTCATTTTATTTTAAATTTTTTTCTTACTGCATTTAAGATTTTCATAACTATTCAAGTTCCTGTAAGCTTTTGTTATTTTATACACTCTTTTTGTATTGACCTTTGTAATAAATAATTAGTTATTGTACTTTAGTTGTTTTAATAGTACTGAAGTGTTATTTATTAACTAACTATTGTAAAACTGAGCATATGAATACTTCCCGTAGTAATGAGATCTATAATCTTATATTGAATTATAATGAGAAAATAGAATCTCGTCTCATCCATCCCTAAAATCCTGTTGCAGCCAACCTGCGGACTAAGCCAATTTCTTTGGATAAGTTTTCATTCAAATTTATAATTATCAAAATTATACATCTAGATACACTTCTAAATAATATTGGATTTATAGATCTACTCAGGTCTGATTCTATGGTAAACATGTGAAGTTGTTGTTTCGAAAAAAATATTTCTTAAAGCTTGCAGTAGTGTAGAGGCATTTTGCCAAAGGTTTTTTAAGATGTGTTTGTAAACAAGCAATCTACAACCATTAATGTCGTTTGGTATAACATGGGATATTTTATTTTGAAAGTTTATACATCTTGATAACAAATAGGCGTAGACTAATAATTTTTAAGTGCCAGATAGTTTTTATTTTACGAAAATTAAAATCAATTTAAATTGGAGAACTCTTACAAGAATTGTCATGCTTGTGAGGATATTTTTATATGAACAATGCCAATAACTCCTATCGGTGGCTACACCAATAAGGAATCCTCTGTATCTAATTCATCCGTTAGTTTGACGTAAACAGCAATACTACTACTTGGCTCACCAAAGTCTCTAGGCTATCCAGCTGAGTCTCAATCTCAGGTGGTGATCCGGACATCTCTGTTGTCAGTTTCAACTTCTTATCACCCAGTGTCACCAACAGCTCCTGCATGGCTGCCAACTCTGACCTAGCTGTGTCGGCCTTCAACTTGGCTGGCTTGGCTCGCCACTCTGTCACCTGGAAAATCATTACGGAATTACGATTGTGTAAAGCCAAATATTTCGAAATCCTTTGGTTAATACTACTGCTTTCAATACGCTTGCATAAACTCTCATAAAGTAGAAAAAATGCCGTTCAATAATTTTACTAATTTTAGTAATTTTAGATACAAAGTTTCGCACAGTTATAGAACATTTTAGAACAACACTTTCTGTGTCATTAGAAGCACAGAGCTGTACCCTACGCTGTCTGAGGAGGTAAAAATAAATATTAGTTCCTTTTTTAAACTGAAGCCATGTGTGAAGACTATCAAGAGTCCTTACCAAACCAATACCAAGAGACCAATATATAAAAAAAGTTCCCGTAATTTTGTGTATTCATGAAGGTTGCGAGGGCAGTTGACACAACCCACATCTCCATAAGAACAATGTTGCTAGTCTGTCAGAATACTGACGGTTTTACAGAGAACAGCATGTTTTATTATCATTATAGACTAAAACCCCTTCAATATATATATATACAACTTATATACAACTTCTTAGATGTTGTAAGATGGAATTGCATAGTAACAAATACAAGAAAATAGACGTAGAAAATAAAATGTAGGAAATACTACTTTTAAGTTCAAATATAATAAAACATATTTGCTCCCATTGAAAATACAGTATTTAAATTAGTGATGAGTCAAACCACAAAAACTAAGGAGAGGTTTTGGTTTTGAGATTTGATCGGCAAGGTTCAAGAATAAAAATTAAAATCAAAACTTGGTTCTTTCAGGTTTCAAGTGTCTTAGTAATCAGGGTCGGGAGTTCAATTTCTTTCAGTTTTGATTGCATACATTATTATTATTACGTATTGTTTTGTATCTTTAACCAACAGGAATAACATTTTGCCTTCAAGTTTTGAGGCTTGGGTTTGGACTTTAATGCTTTTGGTTTTAAGATTTATCCTAACATTCCTGGTTTTAATCATCACTATTATTTATAATGAGAGAAAATCAAATATCGCTCAGGTTGAATTTTTACTTCAAACAATGTTTAACAGTATCTCCCTTACCAAGTGTTTAGCCCTTGCTACACCCCAAGTTGAGGGAGTTACCCAAGAAGACACCCAAAATCCTCCTAACAGCTTAAAAAATGGAATGAAATGAAATGAAAATCCTTCTTTATTGAGGCGAACTTAGGACCTCGTGGTCTTTTCTTACAGTTAACCTAAAAAAAAAAAATTACACACAGTTGACAGAAGCGCTTTTACAAAACTGAAATCCAAAAAATGTTTGCGTTTTGTTATTTTTATTAATGTTTTTATGTTTTTAGTTTTGGTTTGGACCATAACTAATTTAAATGTTGTTAATGGTTTATACAAATTAAAACAAAATTATTCTTTAAGTAGTAATCATAAGTTATAGATGACTGCTGACCTGATTCTTTTGGTCTGCAACCCATTGTCCCAATGTTGCGAGTTGGCGGTCCTTCTCTTCTAATTCAGAGACAGCAGACGTCAACGCAGACAAACGATTTTGCGCCTGAAAATAGAGAGTAAACATAAAAGCAAGTCCAGTATATAATCTTGAGGTTGTAAATTAACAAATGAAAAACATATTAATAAAACTTTAAAGAATTTATGTTTAACTGTGTGAAGTTAGAAAACATGTTTTAAAAATTATTCAGCAAAAAACTTCTTATGTTATTTTTATATAATGGCTAACTTAAGCTACTACAAGCTGGTATTTTACATGACCATTATAAAACTACCTGTCAAAAAATGATGACATAATAGCTATTTTTACTCTAAATAAATAATAATTTTTTGGAGGTTTTTTGTAAACAAATAGTTAATTGCTGCAAAAGAATGTATATGGATACTTAAATTTAAGGAATTGTTGATATCTGGCTTTTCTGCAAGAGGAAATCTAAATACACTTAGGGTTTCAAGACCTAGGAAATAACATTATATTGGAAATGTTGAGTAAAAACAGGTTGAAAACCTTCAACAAGATATCAGAGTAAACATGACTAAATAACAAAATTGTGCACATCCACTTACCTTTTCTATCTCAAGGTTTACTTTGTCAATGAACCCTTCATCTCTCAACCTCTTAAGCAGTTTCTGGAGACGAATTGTTTGTGGTTCTTCGTCCTTTACTTGGCTCTATCATTCAAAACATCATGCAAACACAAATGAAAACACCAACACAGTAAAACCATGCAGTTAAAGAATAAGAAAACACATAAAACTGAATACACATAAAAAGGTCCCTTTGACTGAGAAAGGAAAACATTTGTGTTGGTAAAAAAATATAAATAAAAAGAAAACTGATTTCTGATTTCTCTAACCACTGTTCTGACAACTAATCTACAAATATAGTGGAAGATTTATTAACTTGTTGTTGTAGCAAAAATGCTAAAGGACGAGTTTTTTTATCTTTCATCAATTGATTTCAATGTAAGTTTACTATTTATTATAACCTAGGCCTATTAGAATTTTTGGGAAAAAAGATAAAAAGAAAAAGTGAGTCGTGGCTTTACATAAATGAAAATTTGTAATATTAAATAACATAAGCTTTTCCTCTGAAATGCTTGAATCACAAGTCATTTGGAAGCTATTTTCAAGGGTAAAAAAATGAAATGTTAACACATTAATATTTTTTTCCTAAAATAAATCATGATTAGACAAGAAATATATAAATTAACCATGCAAACACATATTTGGAGTGTAAATATAAAACACATTTTACTATAAAACAAAACTAAAGAATCTACATAACACAGTTTCAGATATAGGCCTACACACAAAAGTGAGTGCATTTCACTCTGCAGGAATATTCTTTATGCACATTTGTCAATTTAAAAATTATATCGCTTTTGAAGTCAAACACCAAAATATTTTGTGCTTTTAACCAAACTTAGTTGTAAATCGTATCTGTGCAGTGTAATGTACCAGTGTTAAGTAACAAAACTACAGTTAAAAAATGTATTTATGTATGTAGTAGAATCATGCCAATTTGAACTATGTCAAATGAATCTTCTTTTGGTTAGGAAAATGTCTTATTTTGTCTTGTAATGCACATGTAGGTCCCTCAAAAACTTAAGTTAGTTTTCTGATACAATACATTTTAGACTGCACTCTAGTGTAAAAGTGATAAAACAGGTGTGGCAGGTACGTATGTCGTTTTCTCTTTTCCCCTTGTCCTGTTTGGATTTGGCAGATTTATATGGTCATAAAGCAAATATATAGCAACACTACTGTATGTGATAAAAACGGTATAGACCATGGCATGCACTACACAATAGGAAACACAGCAAGGTGATCACCTGATCTATAAGGTCCTCGAGACGTATCCTAACAGCGATCTCTTTGTCAGGTATAGGTGCGTGGGCCGGGTCCTGGGGTGACGAGGGGCGAGAGATACAAGCAGCCGCAGCTTCGCAGGCTTGTACTGCAACAGCCAGTCGGGACTTTTCACCCTGTAGCCTGTTGTGTAACACCTGCAGACAACGATAGGCCAAGAGGTCAAGAAGGAACCACTTCCGGTGTTTATCCATCATTAGAGATAATAGTGTAAGAACCTTAACATTACTACTTCAACACTTTTTGCAGTGAACAATGTACTTTGTGTACAAATTTTAAGCTAATACGAAGCAAATGTAGAGTGAAGTATTTTACCTAATAAGTTAAAATCTGTTGTTTCTTTAGTCATGACATTTCCTAAAGCCCAATAACCTAGGACATCTATAGCACGTTTAAACGTGTTAACCCGGCTTCAAAGAGTCACTGACTTTCATCAGGAATGAAACGGTTTTTTTAGCCATTTGGTTAAAGTTTGACAACACCGACAGAGTAGGGAGTGTACTTAAAAGCAATGATGATTGAACAGTGCGTCTAAAATGAATGAGATGTCACCTTTATTACTGACTAAGACAAGTTGGTTCTGGATCTTTTATTTTAGCCAATCAGTCCAGCAGGTTCCAGTATTGAACTGTTAAATAGCTTCAGACTTTTCTGAGGATTCAGGATCAAAGGTGGCGGATTCTATAACCGCCCAGCTGTCCAAAAACAGATTCGAAACTGAATTTTCAGTACTGAAACCAGATAACTAGTTATGAGTTGTTTTTAAAAAGAGACTTAGTGATACTCACCCTAGCTTGTTCCAGCTGATCCTGTGCCTCCGCTAGTGAAAGTCCGTCGTCTACCTTCAGTGTCACCAGGGGCTCACACTCGTCCAGGTTGGCCATGATACTCTCCAGTGTGTCCTCATACTGCTGGAACTTGGCCAATGAGTCTACCAGTCGAGCCTGCACAAACAGCACACATCACAAACTCATCCTAAAACTTCTTCCTGGTTTCCCAATAAGTACAAACAAAGTTTTGATAAAACCCTTTAAAGAATATGACAAACTGTTGTTCATCCTCTAAATCACGAGGTAATTTGACTAACCATCATCACCTTCACAAATCTCACTTGAAAATTATTAACAAACAACAATGTTATATACCTATATAATGTGTGCATTATTGATTGGGTGACAGCAGACCTTGCTGAATTAATAGAATTGCATTGAACTGTATATATACCTTAATCTGCTGAGCAGTGTGTAGTAGTGAGTTGTAGCTGTCCTGTACATTAGACAGTTGCTGCTCTATCACAGCTCCAATGTCCGGGTACCTCTCTATCTGGCTGTGGCCCTTAGCCTTCAACTCATCCAGCTTAGCTTGGTACCTGAACAGCAGCACGAGTAAATGTCAGTAACAGACATAATCAATATGAAAGGGTGGCTTCATTGCAATGAATATCAAGACAATAGTTCACCTGGGATGATATATTTTCTCTGAGTAGTCTATGACAGTGGAAACTTAAAGACTTTAACTAGTTTTATACAGCAAAAAACTGTAATTATTGAATTTGGAGGAATCTGGCAACCTATTATGTGTAATTAATTTCATGTAGGTATGCTAGATTTGATTTTTATGTTTCCAGTATTTCAACAATGTAAACTTGAAAAACATTTCAAACCAACAACACATAAAAAAATCATTTACAGCAAAGTAAAGTGTACGTACATATAGTGAAAAGTAGCCTAAAATCTCAAAAATTACTGTCAAGAGTGTATTCCACAGATTGCAAACCAACAGACAAGTTGTATTTATCTATTGTATATGGGTGGGATAGCTGGTACCTCTGTATCTCGGCCAGCAGTGCGTCATGACTGATGATCTGCTCCTGTGTCTGCTCCCTGTTGGTGATGTAGAGAGAGTTGTGAGCCATCAGCTGGAAGGATATCTGCAGCAGCCACTTCTCAGTCTCCTGCAGTGACTGTTGATACGTGGAGTGTTCTTGTATCTCTCGCTCGACTGACTCTCTCTTCACCTGTGCGACAAGAGTAAAAGTTTGAGAACAATGTGGTTAATTTTAGTTCAATAGTCGTTAGCAACTATCCTGAAAAGTAAACATTTTAATTGTCATTGGCATTTGAAAGTGTTGTCTGAAACATTGGAAATCCAGCACTTGAACAGTTGATATTTTGTCACTACCATACAGGAAGGGAAGAGAAAAAAACTGAACTGTTCTTTGCTCTGAAAATTTTCATCCTATCTATAAAAAAAAAAAAAAAAAAAAAAAAAATAGGAAATAGATAACATAAAACAAACACTTTCTTTGATCAAACAGTGCAACAGTGCAAAAACTATAGATTAGACTACGTAGAGAGTAACACACCTTGCAGTCTGCGTCTAGTTTCTCCCAGCGAGCCTCCAAAGCCTTCACTTCTCTCTTGACATCGTCTTTCTTCACACACTGACTCAACTCCTCACTCTCCTCTAGCAAGTGTTCCAAGTCTGGCCGGCGGGACTCTATCTCCTCATGAATGTGTTTGAACCTGAAAATCAAATATCACACTTGTAACATTTCTAATGGTTAAGGTTTGTGCAAACTGAAACAGGAAGACTTTGAAACCTCTTAGTCAAAAACACTTAAAACTTACCAATATTAACAGGGTTTTATGAAAATTGAGTTTCTCAAAAACATTATAAAATCCATACATAAGTAATTAATTGTTATGCCATGATATAATAAACTAGGATATATACAGGGGGTGTTTTAATTTTAATTAAGACATTTTAAGGATATTCATTGACCTATAATGTTAATTATTAGCCTTGGATATACTAGGCTAATAATTAACATTATAGGTCAATGAATACCCTTAAAATATCTTAATTAAAATAAAAACACCCCCTGTATATATCCTTGTTTAGTAATGAATAATATAATAAATTTCATTATTCTCTAACATCTGTACTACACAAATAATTGTTTTTATAATTATAACAAAACTAACATTTTCACAAAACTTTAGACACAAAATAATTAAGAAAATTATCATTTTACCAATTATCAATGTAGGCTAAAAGGGGAGAAAATACAGTATACTGTCTCATAACCAACCTTGGATTGACAACTTCTCAGATTAACTGCCTAAGTTTGAAATAAAATAGATACTAGTTTATTAAGTGTACAATTAGCAGTAATTTATTTTATAAGAGACAGATTGTCTTTCTATGTTCTTTTTAACCAGTGCAGGAACCACTTTTCATTACGTACCTCTCAAGTAACGTCTTCATCTCGCCCAACTCGGCTTTCGTGTTGGGTCTCTCGGCCAGTCGCCCCTCCGTTTCACCCAGCCAAGTCTCCAGTTTGCCCTTGGAGTCATAAAAGTCGTCCCAACGGGCAACCAGTGCCTTGAGCTGAGCTGTCACACAGTTTAGATCCATATTGAGCTGGTCCCAGCTGTTACGCAGCACTGTCATTGCATCTCTCAGGGACTCCTGCTGATCACTTGGAGTTGTGTTGACAGCTCGGCTGAACACCTCCTGCATCCCGGACATGAGATGTTGACCTGTCACCAGGACAGAACGTAAGTCAAAAATCTAGTAAAAGACATGTAAGGAATCGTTTGGGTAGAGTTTGGATAGTTTACCTGAGATAGAGAGTCTAGAAGCTAATAAACACACAAAGTAACAAAATACAACATTGCTATTTCCTTCTATTACAGGGCTTCTTCAAGAGGTGGGCTGAAGAGAAAAGAAAGGTGAGAAAGTTTTTGAGAATTGATAGAGTTCAGCTAGATTGCCAGAAAAAGATTATAGTCCAGGGGAAAATAGTTACGCAATATAAGTCACAAATCATAACACGCATTTAGTCCTAATGTAGGAATGTTTCAAGGAGTGTGTGAAAAGATAAAATTTTAAAATTTTTGAAATTAGTAATAGATCGGTAGTCTATCTATAAGAAAGGTTAGCTTCCAGCTTCCAGTTTTACTTGAATGATCACATACCTCAGATCTGCATTCTTTGTTTGTTTTTTAAGTTCTAAAAAATGGTTTAGGGAGAAATTGTAAAATTTTATTTTTATGTTTTAGGGATCGAAAATGGGAAAAACCAACTATTTATCCAGCACACCCCTCACGTCCCCATAGTCCCATCAAGCTGGTGCATGAACTCCTTCAAATAAACGTAGGTTTACACAATTATATCAAATTTCATCAAAATCCTATGATTTTTATTTGAGTAAATAGGCCACAGATCTACCATCTACCATCGACCACAGGTCTTACCATGTTACCTTCAATAATAGGGAAACTCACTCGCAAGAAAATCAAAACTAGTGTTATAGCCAACTGACCTTCAGTGATGCGTGTTGCGACAAGTTTGATCGTGTCCAGTTTATCCCTGGCCCAGCCGAGGTCTCCGGAACCTATACAGTCCTTGACTGTTCCGTGAGCTCTAGACAACCAGTCCTCCACCTCCTGCTTGGCCTTCAGAAACTCTGTGTGGTCCGACAGGTTCTTCTCTACTCTGGATACCAACCTGACCAATAATAGCCACTTCAAATATGTCTACTCGCAAGATTAATTCAATACCAAGAATTATAAATGTTTAAGTTAATCTACATAATTACATATTATTGATGTTCACAGCCCAAAACTATGGTCATTTTCCGGCAAATAATATAATAATAATAAGTTGTTTGGGTGGGATAAAAACATCAGGCCGGTTTAGGAATGACAATCTTGCAATTTCATTGCTATCGAGGGGAGTACTTTGGATAAGTAGGCACTACACAACTTAGAAAAATAAGATTACTAAAGCCAATAGTAGGGCCTATAGCTTTTATTTAGTTAAGTCAGAAATGCTTATTCTAGATAGGAGGAATAACTGTGTTTGAAGATGTTTACTTAACAAATATATTGTCAGCTACAGTTACAGAAAAAATTGGTTGCAGTTTAGGTAGGTTATCTGCAGCATATAATTGAATTAATCCCATTAAATTTACAAAGAACACACGAGCAAGTATCACAGGACTTTGGAACTGTCACAAGTTTCTATGCTTAAAAAAATTGTATCTCTGTAGAACCTTTGTACGTAGAATGGGGAAAACAGTTTGAATAACTCACCCCTGTACACTAGTAAGCAGGTTAGTGTAGGCGCTCTGCAGTTGTACAGTCTCGTCTCGCACTCCAGGACAAGCGCTTAGTTCCATGAGTGCCTCACATCTGTCATTCAGCTCCTCCACGGATGGTTTCTGCGCCTGCACCTCCTCCAGGAGAGCTCGACAACGATGCAAGTCCTCGGGAGTCTTGGTGTCCCCATCGTCTGTCTCTGCATCCACCTGCACATTGATGACATGTATTAGTTTTGGCCAGAAATTATGTTGAGAACATGTCTTCACAGGGGTTTAGAACACATGGAGGTTATGGGATAAATGTTATATCTATCGGGGAAAGTCATGATGAAATTAAGTAGTGTTAATTTAGTATATCGACAGGCAGAGTTATTCTTTTTGCTGATAATGATGCAGTATTTATTTCAGGTTGATGAACATGGATTGACATCTTTAGCACAGCTGTTATGACCAACAAAAAACAAGCGTAATAACTTGTGTTCATTTTATGTGAATCTGCTTTTTGGACAAGCTAGATCTGTACTTGTTTTTTTAAGTAGGTAATAGTAAAGCTTGTTTAATTTTCAAGCCAAATGGTCACATTCTCCCTCTTTCACTATTCACGACCTATTTAAACTTAAGAACTTAAACTACGATTGCAAAATGAAACTTGATTGTCTTTTTATAAGCAAATCAATCTGAAAATCCATTCTATAATTGACTAACCACTGTGTTCCTAATGTTTTTAGATCTCTACTTAAGAGAGCTAAACCATTTGGAGTAAATAAAAGAGCTATTACTTGCTTGAATATATCTTGAGAAATATTAGTGAAATTAGTGAAAATAAACAAAATTCAAAGGAAATAGTGAAATAGCCTAATCCTTCAGTAGTTATACAAATCACCCCTTAAAGCACTTTCACCAAATTTCTTCAAATATAAGTAGGGTACATCAAAATCTACAGTAAAACATATCAGCAAACCTTTTTCTGAAAGGTGGCTAGCCATGTTTTCATACGTTCCCTTGCGTTGTTGAAGTCGTTCCAAGCGGTCAGACACTTGGCGAGTGTCCGCTGAGTGTCTGAGATCAAGTTCCGCAGACTTTCCCAGTCCGATGTCAGTTGACGAGTCTCCTGTCTCAGAGGCTCTTGACCTTCAGGCCGAGTAGACGCAAACACTGTCTCACTGGCTGCAATGGCCTTCTGCACCAATCCCTCTCCTGCAGAACAATAACAGAGAAACAGTAACACGAGTGAATCAATTAATAGTTGACTAAAATGATAAAAGTGTTGTATGTAATAAAAGATCATCAATTACGATGAGTTGGTGGCTCGGTCCGTAGCAAAGGGGATCTATAGCAGTGACAAATATGTGCTCAGTTGTCAGACAAAATCTTTCTCATTAGGGCCTATGGTTCTAGTCTTCTACTATAACGTCTCAACCCTTGCTTTACTGGATATATTCCTCCAACAGTCCCGAGGTCTATGTGGATGGGCAAATGTCAGGCTAAAAGAGGCTACAAATTTCTTGTAAAAAAGGTTAAGGTGAAATTGCCACTTTGAAACTGGTACCTACTTGAGTGGTTCCATTCAAATATGAAACTCTTTGGTTCGATTCCAAACAAGATTGTTACTAAATCGAGATGCCATTTGTCATTGGGCTAACAATTAACAGTGCTATTTATGATTAAATGTGCTTGACAAAAAATATGTTAGATAATAAGAATACCAGGATTCAGATGGTTCAATTACATAAAAATAAAAAATTATAATGGTGCGGATACACATATAAAAATAAATTTATTCAAGCAAGGAAAGTAGCCCATAGTGTATCTCAGGAAGTATAACATCCCCAAGCAGTTAAGCAGTTAAGAAACTTCTAATCAAACGGATCAAATCCCAGGGGAATGAAATGGTTCACAAAAACCGCCTGTACTCTATCAAATATATATAAATCCAATGATTACAACAATAAAGCTATCATCACCTATAGGAAGGGTGTTGGCAATATCGTTGATCTTCCACTGTTTGTCCACTGTTGCCTGTTTCTCGCCATGACAGTCGCTACATTGCTGCACAGATATTCTAGTCTTGCGGACCCAGTCTAGAGCCTCCAGGTGTGCGTTGTGGTAAGCCTCATGTTCCTTTACGTAACCCTCTAGTAGGCTGACGTTGTTGGTCACCTACACAATTTACAAGCTCAGTCAGAGACAAAACTATCAATTTATTAGTGTTCTTAATTGTACAAGAATTTGTATACTAAAACTAAGATCTAAATGTTTAAATTATTTAAAGAGTAAAAAAGGGCCTATAAAGCTCTTTAGGTACTTTCTTAATATTTTCCTCCAATTTAAAATTTGAAAGCATATATATTTCAAAACGTCTTCCTTTAACAGCTATAACTTATAACTTTCAACTAAAAAAATATTTTTTTCTGTGTATTGTAGTGATCATAGATTATGCTTCATTTATTAAAAAGTCAAATGATTGGTATTCCATAAAATATTATATGAGTGTGACACCAGTTTACAAGGTAGGCCTAAATTAAGATGGTATGACCAAGTCAAGAAGGATATGATCCAATGCGGAGGAGAAATCTAGATGGCGGAGGATGGAAAAGAGTGGAGGAGGCCAATCTACGATGCAACAAATTGACTGAGATCTGTGACGCCCCATCAGTAGTAAGTAAGTAATATACAATACATAATTAGAAAACCCACAAATTTTAAATCAAGACCTAAATTTACCACTTCAATCATACATGAAGGAAAATATGTTGTAAAAAAACTTATTGATGAGAATCACTCACTGTGTCTTGAAGTTGTTTGTATTTGTCCAGGTTGGGCTGGAAGTCCTTTGTAGGTAGTGTAGGATCATCAGCAAGCCGACTTCTGACTCTCTCAACCTGCAAAGTCATTGTACACTAAATTTTAATAGTGGAACTAGTAACAATGTTTAGATTGAACGATAAATTGGCTACAGCTGGTCCATGTAGCTGGCATGTCCACTTCGGCATCCAAAAGACAATCCTAATGGTAACGGACATAAATGACATACATTGCAGATATACTCAATAGGTAATTATTTTCCTTATCTTACATGTAAACTCATTTAACTTATACCCTCGTAATATTTACAAAATCCAGCGATTCTTTTGATGTTCTGATCCTTTGCTGTGCAGAGCTCAACAATTTGCATTACCTTCTCTGATTTATTCTCTTTCACCTTTCATTGCAGAGACAACCTACATAATCAAATAGTATTCTGATTATGTACAAGATGTCAGTATTACAATTCTCATTCAAAACCTACCAGTTCACTGTGGCTGGCAATCTCCCTCAGTAGAGAACGGAACTTCTCAAGGTTGGCTCGTTTCTCACTGAGGTCGTTGTAGAGTAGATCGTTGTTGTCGTCTGAAGTGACTTTACTCTCCAGCTCTTTCAGCCAATCAGAGAGCAGTTTGTTGGCTTTGTGGATCTCCTCTAGTTGCGAGGCTCTGTTGGTCAACTTCTGTCTCACATCCTGGTAAAATATTTGCACGTTAGCCTGTATTTTCAAACAGATGCATTTTTCCCAGGAATTAAATGATGTTGTGCTTGCCTTTAGAAGTAAAAAAAAAACATCAAAATAAGAAGCAAAGCTGTAACTAATAGCAAGACTCTTAACTAATAACAAGACAAATAGAGGTCTAAATTGTTGGTATTCCATAACAAAGTTCCAACTGTATAGAACTAGAACATTAACTCGACAACCATTGTACATTGGGATTTTCCTGTATTCATGTTTTGCTTAGGAATGAAACCGTTTCAAGCAAGATACACTTTAAGTAGGTAAGTACATACTTTCCATAGGTGGACAATTTTATTTTCTGTTTGAAGTCTTTAGGTATGTCAGGTTAGATAGAATTGTCAAGTTAATGTAGATCTTAGATAATGTAGATGCATGTGTGTTAGTTAATGTAGATGTCACTTGAAAATAGAGAAAGCTTCATTACATCACATAAAGTAGTGTAAAACATATTACCCAATGTTATGGTGCAAACATACCTGTACATCCAACACCAGTTTTTCCAGCTCTGCTTGGAGAGTGTCTGTATCTTCTTGTATCTTTGCAGCTCCATTGACTTCTGTGTTGAGGATTACTCTCTCCTTCAGCTCAAGAGCATATCTAAACAGTGAATTACCATAAACACACTATGAAAACAGTGAAGTTATTAATATCAATATCTAATACTTTAAAGGAATTCCAAGTTAACTGGAAATATTTTCTTTACCTAATCTACCTTCAAATGCCATTCGAATCCAATTTTTTGGCCTTACAACAGCTTTGACTCTTAAACTTTCCATTTAAAATGTTTATGCAATTCAGCACTTGAAGAAAACTGTTGTCTTTTGCATTGCAAATCATTTTCTGTCATATTTTTTAATATGCACTCTACCTTCCTTAGAATTATATCTTATATTGTTATTTTTTACTCTTGAAAATCTTTGTCTTTGCAATTTGACAACCATTTGAAAATTTAAATTAAAGTATTAAGATATTTAATAAGTTATTACAATCTTACCTGAGCCGGTTCTGTCCTTGTTCCAATGTTTGTCTTATTGCTTTCACACTCTGCAGTCGGTTGTTCACTTCTGTCAGAGTAGTTGGAATCTCCATGCATTCATTGACCTGCAAACAGATATGAAAGGTCAAATAAATATTTTAAAATCTGATTAAACTTTCACATCAAATATTGAAACAGACTAAAATGTTCACATATTTTTGTTTAGGACTTCAAATCAAATCAAAACAATTTACACCTCACAACCCTTTGCTTTAGCCTCTTTGTATCAATTGATCAAGGCTATAGATTGAGGCTACATAGTTACCTTGTCTCTGGTGCGGTCCACCCAGTCTTGACACTCTTGGTACAATGTGCTGTGCTGCTGATGCTCCTGGTAGTGCAGTTCCAGTCTCCTCATCATCTCCTTGGCCAATGACAACAGAGCGTTGTACTTGGTGGTCATTTGTGTGACAGCGTTGGAGATACGAGTGTCTGCGCACGTCTCCAGCAGGGTCTAGAATAAAAATAACAGGGCAATTGTACAATAGTTATTGTTAGAACAAAGGTTTTAAACCAGACAAAACAAATCTTCATTCGGATATTTCAATATGACAAATCTCCATTGAAATTATCCAATACCACAAATATTTTGTCCAAATACTTCATGACAACAAAACCTCATTGGAATGAATCAGGAAAAACAGCAGAATACTAAGACTGGTGTGGGAGTGAAATGGTAACGAGTAACAAATTGGTAGCACAGACAGTCTTCATACATATAGATTTTTGGAAATTCAGAATTCATAGATTTTTGGTTAACTGTTTTCTCAAGTGAAAATCACTGCCCTCAGTATTATAGCAGTAATATAGCATCCTCAGTGGCTAAACTAAGATTCTAAACTGGGGATCTCACTTCACAGCAAGGGCAAAATGTCGGACAGTGAATTTCATCTGGTAAAGCTGAATATTAACTGAGCAGAGACAAGTCTCACCTGTGCTTTCATGTTGAGACGGTCGAGTTCTTTCTGCCAATCAAACAGAGTCTGCAAGTGGACTTGAAACTGTTCCAGGACGTTCTTCTTCTCCTCCAAGCTGTCTTGCAGCTTGTTGTATGATCTGACAAGTGTCTCCGTCTGGTTCAACCAATCCGATGCTTCTTTGTGTTGTTCCTCATATTCTGTCCACTGTTGAGGTAAATAAGCAAAACATTATTAATAAGTAAATAACACTGGTAAATATGTCCCTAGCATATTATATGTAACACAGACATTGTCAATTACAAAATACAGCAGGCTTAATTAATACAGTGACCTGATTACACTTCCTTATCACATTTAAAAAGGTTGTAAACCATGTTTACAGGCACCTCTCAATCATCATTAACGGTAATATACAACAATAATAGTTATTTAAATCTTCGGATAACAAAAGAAATGGAGAATAGAAAACCAGAAGCATTACAGGGAACTGTAAGAACAAGTACCATACAAGGTTGCTAAAAAAGTAAACGTTTGAGACGGTCATGTTATAAGATAGGAAAATGAAGCTATGATAAAACAAATTGAGATGAAACCCCCGTTTGAAAGGTTAGCTCTCGAACATTTTGGTAAAAGGGGACATAACTAAATACAAGAGAATGTTGAAGAATACAGCCATGATTGGAAAAAATAGAGATAGTTGGTGAGGCCAGATACCATCTTTGGATATAAATGGCTATGGAAGTAAGAGTAAGTACGTGAAAAAACTCAGTTATTTTGGATGTGTTGCCAGCCTAGTGGGTAGCAACTCAGACCTTGGTGTGAGTGGGACGGGTTTGATTCCGTAGCATCACCACAAATATTTGAGGACTTTGAACGACTCACCTTAAAAGTGTTTGAGCTTCTGCCATTAAAATTGCCAATATCATAAACACTTACAGTTTTCTTAATGTCCTATATTTACCTTGACAATGCCCTCCTCAAGCAGTGTCTTGGTCCGCTGCAGACTGTCCGTGTAGTTGTCAAACTCCTCCTGTAGTATTGCCACCTCCTCCTCAATCACCTCCTTGTCTTCAGGCTCGGCCACGGCGCAGGTCACCTCTCCCTGGCGTAGAGCCTTCTGCAGCTTCTCCTCACCCACTGGCACTTCACTCTGCAACACCTGTCACACAGATTGGGGTCAATTTCCTAACAAAATTGAGTCATATTATTTTGTTTTAAACCTGAACAGTGCAGATATCTCTGTCAAAACAATGGCATATCTTACCCAAACAATGTGCTGTCATACAGAAGCAAAACTTACCAGAGAGTGATGCGGAAAATACAAAATACTCCTACTTTATTTATATGAAAGCAATAGCTTTGTTACCTTGAGTTGAGACAGTTTGCCACTGAGCGTCTCCTTGTCTCCTGTCGGCTCAGCACACTTCCCAAGCTTCTCCTTGGCCGCTCTCAACCACTGGCCAAAGTCATTCCCTGCGTCAATGAACGCTTGGTGCTGCTCTACAGTCTCCTGTAAGTCAGATAGGAATAGGGTTGAGGCAGTTTCCAAAGAATCCTCAAGGTTAGAGGTGTACGATTAAGAATTATTTAAATAAATCTTGTTCGGTTTTTCAGTAGACCATTACCAGGTTTCTTTAAGGGCACACTCCTACTCCTTAGCTTATTTTAAAAAACTAGAGTAGGTAATACATTTTTGTCAAGAGATTCAGTCTCTTAAATTTCTTGCAATATTCCCAGTCTCAAATACAATTAACCCTGTAGGATTACTAGGATATGGTGGCCAGATTCTGGAAGATATGTATGGGCTAAATACATCAAGTCAAGAATCTGGCAACCATTAGGTAATCGAAATAGATTCCTCCATGTTTCATGGCTGTTTCAGCAATTAATCAAAGTCTAAGCCTTATACATCCCTAAGGTATAGATTGTATTAGTGAACTAATAAAATCTAAAAAGATCCACACAGTGCAGCTAAGCCACACACTAACGACTAACGAGCTTAATATAGATTGTACACATATGGGAATTAAACCCCCACATGGAAACGACCTCAGCAGTACACTCGTCAATGCAACGAGTTAGCCTGTTCAGCCACTATGTAACCGTTGGCAGGACGTGATGTGCTGCTAAAGCCTAAATGAACATTGTAGTGCTTGCAGGTGATATGGTGAATTACTTTGGAGCCAATGTCTTAGCTTTAGTTTTCTGCACTGTGACGTACGTTAAAGTAGATCAGAGTACAGATGAGTACCTTCTGTTTGGCATACAGTTCTTGAGCCGTCTTGCTAAGGCTCTCGTACTTGCTGCTGATTTCACTGGCTGGAGCCGCTTGTTGTAGATCCTCCGCTTTGCTGGTCACTGACTGAATCATCGGCTGGAAGCTGACAATATCTTGCATGATACTGTTGGTCTGCCGTAGAGTCGCCTTGCGCTCTCCGATAGCCAACGAGCTCAGACCTGACCCTGTCTGGCCTTTCTTGGCTTTGGTCACCTGAGAGTTGGAAAATATAATGTTTTTTGAATCTTCACTTTACATCTTAAAATCTAAATATGTACCGTATAACAAAATATATCCCTTATAAAAGACAAACTATATGAATTGTCTTCGTAAAGTTAGAGAGACTCTTCTTATCTTTTGAGAGATTGCTAATACTAGAAATAATTGGTAGCTAGGGAAATCCTACAATTGAATAGGTAATCCAAACAATATTACAAGAGACAAAAGTAAATATTTTCAGAAAACACGAAGACTGGCGGTCACATAGCCAGATTCCAGGCGTTCAATAGCTTGTACAAGAGCTGCCAACCTTTATATTTTCAAAACAAAATATACAATGCAATAGTCATGAAAATCGCACAAAAAGTGTTGTTTGCAACTTTGTTTGGTGGAAATATTTAGTTGGTTTAGTCTCATTGGGCAAATGTATTTGTGTAAAAAAACTAAAAATCTATAAAAGTACCACTTTTGGTTCATCTTTGATGAGTATTAAAAAATGTAAGCTTGTTTGCTACCAATGTTTAACATTTAGATAATTTAAAATTGTAATGTATTCTAAAAAAATTGGTATCTGATCTTGCTATTGCGATTGTCACCTTTTGTTCACAGACTTGTTGCAGCTTAGCTTCTCTGTCTGTTATCCACTGTTGCAGTTGAGAGTATGAAGATGAGTAGTCAGCCCATTGTAGCAGACTTGTCTCTAGGTAAACCTACAAATTTCACCATATGATAGCACAGGTGTCACAAATTTGGGTTTTATTAAAGTGATAACTTTGGGCTTTTTAGCAGCAATTGTAAAGAAGATTATGATAAAAATTATAGCTTGTTGGTATACAATCTTACTATTGATCCAATGAAACCACTATATAAAGCTTATTAGTGCATTTTTAGATTGAAAAAAGGCAATAAGTGAAATACTGTGGCCACTACTTGAAACATCAACATGACCCAACAAGGAATAAGCTCAAGGTTCAATATACGGTCCACAACTTTTTAGCGACTGAACGTTAGTTACAAAATTGTGGTAATACCTTAGCAGTGGAAATCTTGCGTACAACTCTTTCCCACTCGTTCTGTATCTCCTTGAGCTGGTTGTTGATGACTTCTCTTCCATCAGATCGAGTGTTTCTCAGTACTTTCTCCCCACAGTTGACCGTGGCGTGAACCAAACTCTGACCTTCTTCTCGATTGCGCAGAAGCTCCTGTAGGGATGAGTAGTTTACTAGTTTAGTGTTGAGATTGGTAAAAGTTTCTTAGCTATCATAGGAGTAGTAAATTTTAAGATATTCCAGCTTTTTGCTCTAAGGAGTTACAACAAAAATACCTTCATCATTTACAGACTGTAGAAAATTTCAACAGATATGCCTTTATCATTTTTAAATTCTAACCAGTCATTGCCTAAAACAGGTAATCAAATCAAATAGTGGCTTTCTCATTCTGTAAAACCGTAGTGAAGGCTTTTACAGTCAAAACGAAACCATACAAGCTCAACCATTCATCAAGAGCTGACATTAGCAGCAATACAGACATAAACTAACCCTCTTTCACAGTAAAACAGTGACAAAACTTTCCCTCTTAATTTTTGTAACTTTTGACAATTAATTGTTATGACATCAAAGATGTTTTATAGCTTAAGCTGGGTTTTCCTAGCACAAAGGCAGAGCAGGGGGAGTGGAGTCTACTCTCCTCTTGTCTTTGATAATTTAATGGTATTGTTTTCCTAGAAGCACAACGGACTGCCACAGGACGAGCGGGAAATCACTTTTCCACACTCCACTGTCCGCGTACAGCACTACGCTTCCACGCTAATGAAAACTCAACTTTATTGTAATTTCTTATTTTTGTTTGTACGGATTAGACAGTGAATAGAACAGATATCATTAATATAAATCAACACACTCTTTTCGCTCAATTCAACTATGTCGAGGTGTATTTCACACCAGTATAATTTAATTTACACAAAGAAATCAGAACAAAGTCAAATGTAAATCATTCTAAACATTATTCTATAAATACCAGATTATTTTACTTTTAACTGTTTTGATACAAAAAAGGTATATAGTTTCCTACCTGTATCTGCACCAGCCTGGTCTCTAGTTGTTCTCTGGTAGCATTGCTTGATGCTTGACTGCATCTCCTTATCACTTCTTTGGCGTTCTCGATCCACGCCTGACCCTTGTGTAGATTGTCCTCGTATTGCTTGTGTTGTTCGTGGTTTGTCTCTACCTTCTTCAACACATCTTTTGCTAGATTGACTTGCACCTAAAAAATAACATAGACTTTCAAATTATTTGATACTCTATTGACACGTCCTTATTGTATTGATTTAATATACAAATTTTTGTAAAACTGCAATATCAGTTTTCTTTTATTGTTTTTTTTTTTTTTTTTTTTTTTTTTTTTTTTTTTTTTTTTTTTTTTTTTTAGAGCTAAAAGTGTACCTTCTTATCTTTTCATTGATAAAAATTCTACATATTTCTAGGATAGTTCAATTATCATTTGCAAAGATGGTGATTGTAAAAATTTATCTGTACAGTTTTCAAACAATTTTTCACTACTAACTCACCTGATATCTAGAGTTGAGATGTCTCAATTGGTTGTTGACGTAAGTGTCGAGATGTGAAGACAGCAACACTGCAGCTGTCTGGTTGAACCTTTCAATCTGATCCTGACCTTTCTCTAGCTGATCAAGCACATCCTGGGGGGAAACCAAACAGTAAATTAATACAAGGTAACATAATACATATTCTAAAACTAAAATCAATGTAGACAAAATTAAAAAAATAAAGCAAATTAAAAACAAATTCAAACTATAGAACAGTTTTTCCTAAAAAAAATTGCAACCTGCATTCATAAACAGCGCTTCCAACTGGTTCCACTAAAAGGGTTCCATTAAACAACTATTTCTCAAACAATTAAAATATAAACTCTGATTTTAGTAGCCTCTAGTGGTTGGAAACTCACCCGTGTGTCCTTTACTTGTTTCTGTTTCTCCTGTACGGTCGCCAACAATGCATTCTTCTGCGCCTTAACTAGAATGTCCATCTGCTGCAGCCAGTCAGACAATCTCTCATACTCATCTTTGTAATCCCTCCATTGAACCACCATGGCTTCCATCTGCTCCTTCTGCAGCTTGATTTCTGGAAATTAAAACAAACCGTGTGATTCTTTCTTTAGGTAGGAAATTATTTTCAATCTTGATTCACAGGTCCTTTAAAGCAAGTGTCATAAGAATTTAAAGTGGTATTTGGGGTCAACCGTGTTAGTTGGAGACTGCTGCAAGACATTTTACTCTTTGAAAACACATCCTCAGTCTCATTCATCATCTAAGGGATCAGTTGCTGAAGGTCTAATTCCCGGAAGGTCTAATTAGACCTTCGACACACATTTTGCAGTTTGTACTTGTTGCTGAGGGTCTAATCTGGTAGTATGTCGAAGGTCTAATTCCCGGAAGGTCTAAGAGTACAGTCAATGCAAAAAACTTATCCACTGATACTGTTTTAGACCTTGCGGGATTAGACTTTGGGCACAAAATGTTACTTTTTTAAATAAATGTTTATATAATGAGAGTTGCTGAAGGTCTAATTCCCGGAAGGTCTAAGGTTCGAGTCCCGGAAGGTCTAATTCCCTGAAGGTCTAAGATTCGAGTCCCTGAAGGTCTAAGATTCGAGTCCCGGAAGGTCTAAGATTCGAGTCCCGGAAGGTCTAAGATTCGAGTCCCGGAAGGTCTAAGATTCGAGTCCCGGAAGGTCTAAGATGCGGGCGGGCATTGCGTCGCCATAGATGAAGGCTATACAAGCAGGCAATAACGCAACAACTTGAGTTGTAATTATCGATATGTTTCATTCGCTCCAAGATGGTTCACTCCAAAAAGTAATTTTACAAATTATTTGCCTGTTCATTCACTCCACTGTTCATTCAATCCAACGGGTATAGTTAGCTCTATAAGTAGACTAACAAGTAGAGAATATATTTTTTTGAATTTTACTGTACATTTTATACAATATCAACAACATGTTTTATAATTAACTAGTGTCCCTGTTGCTCGAAATCGAGCAATTGCTAAGTATTACAGGCGTTATTTTAAAACGAAAAACAGTCATATTTTTTATGACTATAAAAGATTCGACTCAAAGATTATGGAATACTTAAGATGTAGATAACAGATCGATATAATCAACATTTCTTGTAAATATGTTATCATTTTTCGAAAGCTGATTTGGTTTTTTAGTGTTTATAACACACATTATTTCTATTTCTTCCCCTTGGTGGTGTTCTATGACTTTCCTATGTTTCCATAGTTTGCAAATCGTCTCTTTCAATGATTACTAAGAAATGCAGCACAGTGTTAATTCAGTTTTCTTTTTAGTATATCAATTTAACCAGGCTCTCTCGTTTTAGCGAATTTCCCTATAGGGAAGTAGCTATTACCGTAGGTCTCATGGTAAGACTTAGGCCCGGGACCGATTTACTTTTTCATTTTGATGTCCCCAGAGGCCAAAAACACCATTCGTTCAAATTTGTATATATGTATATATATATATACATATATATATATATCTAATATATAAAATTCTCGTGTCACAGTGTTTGTCTGCAAACTCCTCCGGAACGACTTCACCGATCGTTATGAAATTTGGTGTGTAAATTCTGTAGGTATGCGAATAGAAAGTAAACTATTTCCCGTTTCGAAATTCTTAAAAGGGCTCCGCCCCAGTGGCTCTGGAGTTTCCCATGTTAACCTTATGAGAAATGGAATTAATGAATCTTAACAGCTGTTTCAATTAAACAAGTTGGTTCTGTTCTATGATGTTCAATAGCATTAAAGTTACAAGGATTACCAACAGGGTGCAGCACTATTATTTCTTTTACATTTATGACAACAGCTAATTTGCAACCAAAAGGTGAGTGAGCGTAGCGAACGAACTTCAACCTGGAGGCGAGTTAGCGTAGCGAACGAGCTAACCTGAAGGCAAGTGAGCGCAGCGATCGAGCTCCAACCTAAAGGTGAGTGAGCGTAGCGAACGAGCTCCAACCCAAAGGTGAGTGAGCGTAGCGAACGAACTTCAACCTGGAGGCGAGTTAGCGTAGCGAACGAGCTAACCTGAAGGCAAGTGAGCGCAGCGAACGAGCTCCAACCTAAAGGTGAGTGAGCGTAGCGAACGAGCTCCAACCCAAAGGTGAGTGAGCGTAGCGAACGAACTTCAACCAGGACGTGATTGAGCGATGCGAACGAGATCATCTTGAAAATTAAACTTAACGGTACTTTCTTTCCATCGGTCTGTCTTAGGGGAAACCTATAACTTTGGCGATACGAAGTTCGCCGGGTCAGCTAGTATATATATAGATTTATATATATGTGTGTCCGTGAACACGATAACTTGAGTAATTTTTATCCGATTTTGATGAAATTTGGTTTGAAGGTGTAAGGCGGGATAAACTTGAATGAGTTTGCGATCCAGCATGATCGGACCATGGGAACAGGATTTTATGGGGGGTTTTATGGGGTAAAAATTGGTTTTTCTCACTTTTGACCCTCAAAACACAAAATTTCCAATTTTTCTCTAAACCTTCTTAAAGAGCTTAAAAAAACAAACAATTCAGTATATCAAAGTGTTTTTGTACGGTTATTGGTTACGGAGAAAACAAAAAAAAATTTAAATTCCCATGTTATCCTTATGGAGAATATTGTAAAATGTTGTAGTTTGCTTGTTTATGGATATCTTTTGATCAAACTTGGCAAATATATTCATTTTATACTAAGCAATAATTATTTTACTTAAAACACACTATTTATAAGTTTCCTTGTAGCAACAAACCTAGGTACTCGTTAAACCTAATGTTATTTAAATAGACCAATTGAAAATCTATTCAGCCAAATGGAAATTCGCTTAGACGGCAGGTTTGCTGCGGCTGGGGTATTTTCCCATTGTAATAATTACGCCAACCCAAATTCAAATAGTAACTATTTAATTTCAACCGAGTAAGTAAATGTTTGTGGCAAACTAATATTAGCAAACTTATTGACTGTTTACAATTAACATATGTTCTTCTCTTCACTTTTAATTTCTGACAACAGCTGGAGTTTCATAACAATATTTGTTTCCCATGTTAATCTTATGGAGAAATACGAAACTTTAAAGGGCTCCAGGGCCTCAACCTCTCATTATTTCCCTAAAATGAAAGTTTCCTGCACAACTTACACATAACTGCACAGGTTACCCTCTTTCCAATGACACCAAAAGCATGTCAATCGGTTCAGTAGTTTTGGAGGAGTAATTGTCACAAAAATCCTGCTTGCGTATTAAATAAGTACGAGGTGTTAGCCCGTCCTACGTACGGGAATTCAGTAGTCAGTTAAAACCGTGTACAATTCAGATCAGCTAGTTAAAAAAGACAAAGTTTCTTGCAGTTTTAATGTGAAAAATCATCTTTAAACAAATTTTGTGCGACCAAATATGTTTTTATGCTTTTTAAATCCGATAATTTTACAATAAAACAGCAATTCTGCAATTTTTACGATGTGAAAAACGTTGAAGTGAGATTTGCAGCCGATTCGCACAGACGCACACTGATTATAAGTAGCATACAGTAGAGAGAGTAATAGCTTTGACTATTAATACAACACTTCTTTATCTTATACAACTTATGTATCCAATAGTCAAAGGTAATAGTCAATTGAGAAGTGTAGAGACCTAGTCAACGATACTACCTTCTATAGCATACCTGCCTCTTCCATAATTATTATCACCACAATGCCACAATACAACTAACTTACTATACACAATTTCCAGTAGGTCTGAATAGAAACGACCTAAAATAAAACGATAATATCCAATAAAATTCACAGTACACATAATTTAACTTTGGTGTCCTAACATCAAACTAATCGTCACACCTATCCTTTGTTTGAATTTCACTGCATTAATTACTAAATAAATAAGTCTAAACAAAGAAAAGTAAAAACAATAACAATTTGTTTTGAAACAGCTGTTTGGTTCAAATAACATTCATTTGAAAAAAAGAACTGGTCACATGTAGCAGGAATATAAAAAGTAAACACGCTAAAGCTAATGACGTAATTGTCAATGTTTATTATCCATACGGTTATCAGTTCTACCCTTGATAATTACCCACCCTCATTGAATATATGTACATCGTAATTTCCCATATTAGTTCATTTAAACTACAATATATTCATAGTTTAAATAAAAGTGATATTTTCACGTTTGGGGGCGCTGATATAGGCACCCCCAAACGTAACCACAACTCAACACGATTTCATAAAACATGTAAACATTGTTATTTTTCTATTCTTTCCTTGAAAAGTGGAGCAGTAAAATAATTTGCATTTATCCTTTTTTATTAGGCTCGTGTACAGAGCCTCAATTTGTTCTGTGGTTTAATTAATTTTGGTCCAAACTATTTTAAACTGTGGTCTAATTATCTCTACTAATCTGACTTATTTCCTATAATCAATGAAAAAATAAGAGTAAATAAAATAACCTCATAGTTCCATAGTTTATATTTAATCAGCTGTTAGTTAAAACAAATTATATTGCTCTAAAACAAATCAAGATTACAAAGATTGCTTTAAAAAATATTTTGAACATCCTAGTATTTTACTATGTATATTTAATTAATCCTGTCATCCTCTTACAGAAGAATTGAACGTATCAATGATTAGCATTACACATAGTATAAATAAGTCAACGCTAAGTATGTCTTTACATTTTTATCCAAATGCTGAATTTGTGACACAAAAGCTGAATGTTTACAGCTGTTATATTAAGCAAATTATTTTATGCCGAAAGCTAGTTTAGAATCTTAGCGTCGGCTGCTAGACTTTTTAAAAATTAAAACTTAATTTATCAAAAACTGGGACCCAAAACTAAAATTATGGCTTCGACATTCCCTAGTTCTCAAAATTATCTTTCTTTCAACACAAAAATCATGTAAATCCGTCGAGTTTTTGATTCAGAATCGTGAAATAAAAAAAACACTGTTTCGTTTTAATATTATAGATAGATAAATAGATGCCACACTGTGTACAAGTAAAAACTATCCCTACGTTCCTATCGGAAATTCCGCGAAGAAGTTTTAAACTTTCCATTAGGGTTCCAAGGTCTCGCTCAAAATCACTTAATATTGATATAAAATTATTCTCTGGCAACGAACACGTTTGCGGTTGTATTTGGATCCGAGGTCCCTCACCAGGACCTCGAAACAAGCGGGGACCTCGGACCCACGGTGGAAATTCACATCGATCGCCTCGGAACCGGCCTTATACGCACGCACGCAAAAATTCACAAACTTTTAGATTTATAATATTAGTAAGATGAAACATTGACTATATGTGTTATTAAATTGTCAATTATCAAAGTCAAAATAAGAATAGTCAATTTCTGTACAACATTTCAATCACTATTTATTTACCCATCATTTTAACATTATTAAAAACCTGTGACATTATTAATCTTCACAAATAAGTTATAGCACAAATATAAAGATTAGATTAATCAATGGTCATACATATATATGAAATTAGTAGTGATGGGCGGATCCAAGAAAATGTCGGTACCGGATCCGGATCCGGATCTTGAAAAAATCGGATCCGGATCTTCGGATCCGGATCCAGATACACACTGTCATAAGGGCGGGTTAAAAAAAACGTAATTAACAGAATGCCAATTTAAATCATACTTTTATTATTTTTTATCAAGAAGCATCGGGTGAGATTAAAAACTAACGGGATATTTTTGAGACAAAATTATAGGCCGTTAGCTTATCATCCAGGTACAAAACTAAAAACTAGAGGTGTGAAGATATCGGATTCAGCTCGGAAAGATACATGCCATTGCCATATATGTTATTTATTTGTATCAAGAGACAAACACTGAAACATGGCCTTGCCATATAAGTTATTTGCACCAAGAGACAAACACTAAGACAATACCTTGCCATATTAGTTATTTGAATTAAGAGACAAACACTGAGACATGGCCTTGCCATATAAGTTATTTGCATCAAAAGACAAACACTGAGTCATGGCCTTGCCATATAAGTTATTTGCATCAAAAGACAAACACTGAGACATGGCCTTGCCATATAAGCTATTTGCATCAAGAGGCAAACACTGAGACATGGCCTTGCCATACAAGTTATTTGCATCTAGATACAAACATCGAGACATGGCCTTGCCATATAAGTTGTTTGCATCAAGAGACAAACACTCTGGGAAAAAACGGTCTTGTACATGGATACAGACAGTTTTGTGTTAGTAAAGAAATCTGGAAAAAATCGGCGTTGTACAGTGATAGAGACAGCTTTGTGCTAGTAAAAACATTCGGGGTTGTACAGTGATACAGACAGCTTTGTGCTAGTAAAAACATTCGGGGTTGTACAGTGATACAGACAGCTTTGTATTAGTAAACAAATCGGGGTTGTACAGTGATACAGACAGCTTTGTGCTAGTAAAAACATTTGGGGTTGTAGAGTGATACAGACAGCTTTTTGTGTTAGTAAAAAATCGGGGTTGTACAGTGATACAGACAGCTTTTTGTTGGTAAAAAAATCGGTGTTGTACATTGATACAGACAGCTTTGTGTTTAGTAATCAAATCGGTGTTGTACAGTGATACAGACAGCTTTGTGTTGGTAAAAACTCGGGGTTGCACAGTGATACAGACAGCTTTTTGTCTTAGTAAAAAATCGGGGTTGTAGAGTGATACAGACAGCTTTTTGTGTTAGTAAAAACTCCGGGTTGTACAGTGATACAGACAGCTTTGTGTTAGTAAAATAATCGGTGTTGTATAGTGATACAGACAGCTTTGTGCCAGTAAATACATTCGGGGTTGTACAGTGATACAGACAGCTTTGTGTTGGTAAAAACTCGGGGTTGCACAGTTATACAGACAGCTTTTTGTCTTAGTAAAAAAATCGGGGTTGTACAGTGATACAGGCAGCTTTGTGTTAGTTAAAAAAAATCGGTGTTGTACAGTGATACAGACAGCTTTGTGTTGGTAAAAAATCGGGGTTGTACAGTGATACAGACAGCTTTTTGTGTTAGTAAAAAATCGGGGTTGTACAGTGATACAGACAGCTTTGTGTTGGTAAAGAAATCAGGGTTGTAGAGTGATACAGACAGCTTTGTGTTAGTAAAAAAATCGGGGTTGTACATTGATAGAGACAGCTTTGTGTTTAGTAATCAAATCGGTGTTGTACAGTGATACAGACAGCTTTGTGTTGGTAAAAACTCGGGGTTGCACAGTGATACAGACAGCTTTTTGTCTTAGTAAAAAATCGGGGTTGTACAGTGATACAGACAGCTTTGTGCTAGTAAAAACATTCGGGGTTGTTGAGTGATACAGACAGCTTTGTGTTAGTAAAAAAATCGGTGTTGTACAGTGATACAGACAGCTTTGTGTTGGTAAAAAAATCGGATCTATCAAAACCGGATCCAGCCCAAGATCCGGAATTTTTTGGATCCGATCCGGTGCCGGTTCTAGCTTGGATCCGGCGGATCCGGTAGTCCGATATCCGGATCCGACCATCACTAGAAATTAGTCATTAACATCTGTGGTATTAAGTCAATGGATGAAACTATTTATTGGCTAAGATAAGCTGAAATAAACAAAACAGAATCCTGAACACCAAGGAAACTAACGATGTTCTTTTAACACCAACTTTAACTTATTTCTGCCGACCACTTATTTAACTTACTTATGCCGATTGCACAATGGTTTTTAATTACCAATTTAAACTGATGTAATGATTTATTCTGAGCTACAGCAACTGTTATGGCCCTGCAACTATGCCAATAACAAAAATTAAAGCATCCAATAATCAATGATATAATATAAATAAGGATTTTTTTATATCTCCATCGTACTTGTAATAACGAGCTAGCAAAAAAAAGACGTGAGAGTTATTAAAACTATCACTAAGAATATTACAACTCTAAAAGTTGTTGCGTTATTGCCTGCTTGTGTAGCCTTCATCTCTGGCGACGCAATGCCCGCCCGCATCTTAGACCTTCAGGGAATTAGACCTTCAGGGACTCGAATCTTAGACCTTCCGTCACTCGAATCTTAGACCTTCAGGGACTCGAATCTTAGACCTTCAGGGACTCGAATCTTAGACCTTCAGGGAATTAGACCTTCAGCAACTCTCATTTTATAATAATTTATTTACAAAATATACATTGTGTGCCCAAGGTCTAATCCCGCAAGGTCTAAAACAGTATCAGTGGATGAGTTTTTTGCATTGACTGTACTCTTAGACCTTCCGGGACTTAGACCTTCGACATACTACCAGATTAGACCCTCAGCAACAAGTACAAACTGCAAAATGTGTGTCGAAGGTCTAATTAGACCTTCAGCAACACTCCCCATCTAAGTATAGTTGAATGTGGGTTGCACAGGGTCACTTTAATAAATAATATTAACTATGAGCGCAGGAGGTTTAAGGTTTGTAGAGGGTGTAAGGAAGAGAAAATGAGACCCGCAATCATCACTCGGGCCTATAGCACACCACATGCAAACTGCAGGTCACTGTGAACTGCAAGAGTATTGCATCATACAATTTACAGTTTCAATTAAACTCAATGGCTTAACAATATATGAGAAGACTTGCCATTAAACAGATTGTGAAAGCTCTCAGTGAGCGCTCGTATCTCATTCCTGATGAGTGTCTGACCCTCTGGACTCGTGCTGGCTAGAACTACCTCTCCTGTGTTCTGCATGTGTTCTACCAGCAGCTCTCCTTGGGCCTGAGGCAAAACAGAATATTGAAGACAGTTATCAGTCAACAAAGACCTTAAAATGCATGCTAGTATTATGGATATGTATTCAATTATTGGATGAACCAAAATATTTATATTGCTGAATTGTTTTAACACATTATATATATATACACTAGAATGTGTTTTTAAAAGGCAAAGAAGAGTTGAAGATGAGTATTGAATAAATTAAAATTATATTAGCCTTTTTACAGAATACGATACCGATAATCATTTATTGAAATAGCTTTTCTCACCATCAAACCTTCAATCCCCAGCAAACTGAGGTACCGGTACCTAGAGATATACATTTGATTTGTTTCAAAAGATAAATTAAACACTATTCACAAGGATTTAAAAAATTCTTAATTGAGCTGCCATGAAATATATTTTCTATCTAGTACCCTTTTTCAACAAACCGTTTATAATATATTATGTCTAATTTACTTTTGTAGTATACCACATAAAAAATTACAAAACATCAATAGAACACACTATGAGAGAAGGTAATGCAATCTTGTTTTCTTCGAGTATTTAAACAACTGGCTAAAACTGGTCTAGGCCCGTGTAGACATAATTTTTAGTTTACTCAAGTCAATGTTATTGCTCTGACCTGTTTGTTGTACAGTTGTTCCAGTGGTGCCACTGCTTGTTCCAGAGCCAGCTTGTCACTGAGAGATCGCTGCTTCATGGACGGGATCTTCTCTCTTGCCCTGTTCAGCCAACACACTAGCTCGTCATGAGCTTCCTTGTACACCCTGTGGTCTCTACATTGGTCCTCTCGCTCGCCCAGTAGACTCTGTCAGATAATCAACATCAGCATGTCAATACAGCACCTTTGACTGTATTGATACAACTACACAATTTCATCCCCATGTTAAATTTGTTACCTGATTTTTAATCAAAATCGCTGTAGTTAATGTGAGCCACCGACAGATTGCGCTAATCTCAGTTGAATGCAAAAACTTTTTAACAAGTCAAACTAATGGACTGACTTATGGTTACCCATAGCATCTGTTATGACCCATCAATCTAGCCAGCAACAAAAGATAGGTATAAAATAGAATTTTACACACTAGAACATTCTGTGACTGACTTACAAAACTAGGTTATTTCTTAGTAAGAAATTTGTGACTGCTGGTCTATATAGATGGGATGTCTACTTTAGTATCTAATAGTCAATGACATAGTTTATTCCCATACGACTGACCTTGATCTTGTTGGCGAGTGAATCAAACTTGTGCAGTATCTCCTGAGCCTGAGAGGCTGCGTGACTCTGTTGTCCGCTCGCCAGCATCTCAGAGGCCTTCGCTTTGAGACCCTCCACTTCGATCATCTCACAGCGAACCTTCTCATCCAGATGCTGCAACAATCATAGAACAAGTATGAAGAAACAACAATAACATACAATGAGACATTAAAAGCAAGACGTTAATAGTCTACCACTGAGATCCCCTTGATCTTCTGTTGAAGTGTTGGATTTACTTTTGTTGTCATCTTTATCTGTTAATCTACTTTTGTTACTTTCAATGAATCTGTTGAATACCTTGTACACCCTCTTATCCAGACACCTTTTAACTGGACATCGGTTTAACCAGACATCGATTTGATCAGACTACACTCGGCAGAAGTGAAATCTCTTTAACTGAACCATTTTTTTTCAGCCTATCGGTCTAACCGGACTAGATTGGCAGGAAGTGGGCGGTACTGATATAACTTTTCTTGTGGAAAATATTTTAGACCCTTGGCCACATGGTTAGATACAATGCTCTCCCAAATTTAGGTAAAATATTCGGGCTAGTTATCAAGTGATTCAGGGGACATAGGTTGAACCAGAAAACTCGTTATCTGGACTGGCCTTGGTTCTAAGGAGTTCGGATGAGAGTGAGACTACTGTATTCTATTACCATTGACATTCCGTTCATTTCCCTTTATCTACTCACTTATTCCATTCCAATTAATGTTGATTTACCATAATAGAATACAGAACAAATGGTCATCCAAAATTTGTTGTCTGGTTAAATTACTACTTATTAAGATCAGAACGAAATTAAAAGCGGACACACAAGTTTAGTGTTTGTTCACATCAGCATATTCCTCAGCCATGGCTTTATGTAAGTAGTAGAGAGTGTAAGAAACGTTTAAGCATGATTTTGTAGCTTAAGGGATATTTGTCTTCAAACCCTATTCCTACAAAGTTTAATAAACTCATTCATCCATGCATAAGACACACTAGTAAAGTGGGACCAATTTATTTACTCAATCAAAAACCAGTGTATTGTATGTAAAGGAAACTGTGATTTTCAGTTTTCTCTCAATGGTATCTAAGTAAAAATATTCTAATAGGACAAGTACATTTGTTTAAGTCAAACACCCAAATAAAGCTAATATGCTCTAATCAGAGCAAATGTTAACCTTGATACGCTCCAGCTGGGCACGTTTCTCTGTCATGGTTGTCTGGAAGGGCAGAATCTCTGCGTAGGAAGCCTCCAAGTACTCTACAGTCTTGTTGAGTTGCTGAATGTTCTCCAGGAATCCAGCCCACTTGTGTATGGACTCATCCAGGATTGTCTACAGATAAAAAAAGAAATAAATTAGAATAGAAATAGAAGGAAATAATGTTTTGGTCTTTAATAGATTACCTGCTTTTTTACTTTATGGTTTATGGTTTGATTTGATTGATACGTATGACAAATTTTGCATAGGTACTAGGACTTCACAAATTGTGAACAAGTCCGAATTAAAATAACAACCTAACCTGTACACCATGACATCGTTTATATCACATCAGTAGTCAAAGTATTATATATTTTTGTGTCTATCCATGCCAATGGCATTTTTAACATGTTGAAAGGGAACAGTCCAAATCCTGGTTTTTTTTACTATATAACATCGATCTTGCGCTATCAATTAATTATGATTATTGATGAGCCTAGTGGTGGTACAAGTATCAACACTTGTTTATTTACCAATTACTACTGCACTGACCTTAGTCTCCACCATCTTGGACGCCAAGTTGCTCCATTGCTCCTGCAGGTCAGCCAGTGCCTGGTTGATCGTCTGGTGTCCGGCTGGTGCAGTGTTGGCTAACACTGTCTGCGCCAGCTCCACTGACGTTTGGATGCGGCTAAACCCTTCATCCTTGTACAGCAGTAAATCCTGCAGAGGGATAACTATACGTAATTAAATTAAATTTTTTCTTAAAGCAAAACTTTGATATGGATACACAAACAAACAACTGAAGTTAAGTTAAATACATTTTTGATTATGTAAAATAACAAATAAAGTTTACTACTAGTTTGCGTTTTTCAACTTTTCAATCGCTTTGTGTGTTTCCAGTGTTGGTTTATATGAAAACTAGACCAATTTTATTCATTACAGCGATAAGGATGAGAATATATGAGAATGATAAGAAAGAATTTCTTGACCCAGAGTTTAATTCAAAACCTTTTGGGACTTGAAGGGCTTTTGGATGTTTAGATTATATGACATATTTCTTATTTTATTCATGATTGTTATTTGTTTTTTTGAGCATTTCTATTGTAATAGTATAAATAACCTTTTTTATGGTAAAAAAATAGAAATAAGTTAAAAAACAGTTTTAAGTTTTACTAATATCACCTATCGACACTGTTCAATGTAGGCCTACTGTAAATATGTGCTAAATGAAAAAAAGATTGTTTGAAATGAAATAGAGATCTAGACCCTTGATAGACCCTGCTCTAGATTCCTAAAAAATTAGTTACCAGTATTTTTAAATTTTGGGGAGATAAACCAACCCCCATAATTTGCCTGTCAGAGACATTTTCTTGACCAAGTTGGTTTCAACATATGCTTACAGCGTTTATTCAAAGCTAACTAATTACACAGTAAATTAAACTACTGAATAAAAACAAATTGAAGATTAACAAACCTGAATCGTGTCCAGCTTCTCCTCAAGGTCTTTCTGAGAGGAAGCGCTCAGATCCGAGCAATATTGCAGTTTATTTTTTATGTTCTCGAGCCAACGAGAAGTCTCGGCAATGTGAGAGTCAAACTCAAGATGGCTGCTGACATACTGCTGCCACCTGGTGTTCAATCCCTGCAAACAGTTCATGATGTCAAGTTAGGATAACTGTTTTGTAAACGATACAAAAAGCAATTAAATATTGTTCATGGAATTATTTTGGCCATAAGCTTAACTATGAATTAGATAGGCCTACATTGTTTAGTAGTGGTATATTCTATGTGCTATTTTCCAATATTAAGTTGAACGGTGTGAAGTAAAACATTTGTTAGACATCACCGAGATAAGTAATGGAACCATTTATTTCTTTTATAATAAAAATCAAAAAATGTATACAAAATAAGGATCAGACCATAATTGTGATCAATTTATACTACTTGCCTTCTCACCTACAACCTAGTAAGTTGATGTACTGTCGCTTGCCTCTAATTTTGCAAAAAGTACTTAAATGCAGTATCTACGAGAACATTTGGACCTGGTACTTGTGTAATCATTAGCTATCAAGTCATGTTAATGCAATTAGTTACTGACAGGAGGCTACTAAGATTACTTTGAATCTTATACTTTTTATGTCACATAAAAGACAAGAAACTCAGCAAAAGCAAACCATAATATGTTAAAGAATATGACATGTGTTTAGTCGCACAGGACATATATTACATCAGTGGTTTAAAGTTGGATCTTTTTCCGACCACTACATGGGGATCAACACATTGCCACAGTACGCAAAATAGCTCATTCTCGCTTTATTCATTCCTGCTCACTAAATCAGCTGATTTCACTGTAGGCCTTTCCATAAAACATTCCTGCTCACTAAATCAGCTGATTTCACTGTAGGCCTTTCCATAAAACACTAACACCCGGTAATGCATCAATGAAAGGGATTCATAATCTAAATATTAAACATAACCTAAATGACATTTTATATAAAACTAGAAAGTTAATCTGTGTGTTATGATAACACGCAGTAAGGTAGGAAATATCTTGTGCGTATTACGAGCATAAACAGTCATTTCCGCTCTCTAAACGAATGGCCGCACTCAGCTAAAACTGCCAATTACATTTCTCGAGAGGCAATGACGTACTTTGCGCTCTTAATACACAAATAAATAGCTATTTGTTTACTGCCTAATTTATTCAAATATTCTCTTAAGTGGTAATAGTTACCACTACTGTCATCTAGTACTGACACATACCTTGACCTTGGCAGACAGCTGTTGGTATTTCTGTGCCAGCTCGGCTATCTGTGTGTTGCGAGACCCACCCTTATGTAATTGCTGAGCTCTCTCTGTCGCTGTGTCCATCTCCAACTCTTTGGCCACAACCTCACCTTGCAGAGCCTGCCAGACAAACAACGAGTATCCATAATGACCTAAGTTCAATCCACAACTAAGCTATTTAAATTTATGCTTTAACAGATTTAGACAGTGATTACCAATTTGAGTTTAACTAAACACTGTCCTGACACTGTTGATATAATGTTACTGAAATAACAACTACTCTAAAAACTCACTAATCCAGGGCATTTGTGACTTTAGAAGTGGCAGATTACTGAGTGCAATCACCCGATGTTCTACATTGCACTTTCCTTTATCAAAGAACAAAAACTCAAAACAGTGATTTTATTATATTCAACAATACATTTCTTCTAATTTAGTGGGTCACAACAGGAATTTTTTTCCTACAACAATGCATTTTTTCTAAATCTGAGAGTTACAACGACAATTTTCCTATGTTCTAAAATGCATTTTTAAATTGACCCAATCTCATGTTAATTCATTATTAAAATACACTTAGATTGATTGTAGAATATTCAATGCGACGGATTATTGGGATTTGCTGTATAGTATACACAATTCGTAACCATATGTTATATGTCACTTCTTACATTTTTACCCATCACATTTGATCATAAAAGTTAAGAGAAAACCCCTTCACTAACATAAAAAAAACATTAAAGCAATGAAATTAAGTTTAAAAGAGCTAAACATAAATAAATAAATAAACTGTATGATATAACAATAATTTATATGATCACACAAAATACATCTCCACGAGAGAGGAAAAAAATACCCCCACCGCAGCAAACCTACAGACTAAGCAAATTTCCATTTGCCTAATTGGATTTACACTAAATTGTCTCCTTAAAAATATCACTTTTATTCCCTATTTAAATAGAATCAGTTAAACAAGTACTTAGGTTTGCTGCATTAGGGGAGGGTAAAACTGTTTTTTGTTGTTTTGTTTTTGTACAATGTTAATAGTTAGTAAGAAATAAAAACATTTTCCATATTTGATCAAAATATGTTCATAAACAAGCAAACTACAACAGTTTACTTGTTCTCCATAAGAATAACCTGGGAATTTTAAATTTACAATTTTTTGGAATTTTCTCCGTAACCATTAGGCGCATTATAACGCTTCAATATACTAAATTATTTGTATTTTTAAGCTCTACAAAATTGTTTGGAAAGAAATTTCAAAATTTTATGTTTTTTGGGTCAAAAATGGGAAAACCCCATTTTTACCCCATAAAAGCCCCATAAACCCCCGTTCCAATGGTCCAATCATGCTGGTTCGCGAACTCATTCGAATAAACGTAGGTTTACACGTTTGTACCAAATTTCATCAAAATCGGATCATTTTTGCTCGAGCTATCGCGCTAACGGACACATATATATATGAATTTGAACGGATGGGTTTTTTGGCCTCTAGGGACCTCAAAACGAAAACAAAAATCGGTCCCGGGTCCAGGTCTTACCATGAGTACTACGGTAATAGCTTATTCCCTATATGGGAAATTCGCTAAAACTAGCAATAATATTTACAACCACATCAGAACTTACCTTAAGAACCTCCAGTTGTTTCTGTTTTTCTGCACAAGTAGCCTTGAGATCAACTGTGTGTAGTTTGGTGTCTGTTTCTCTCAACCAGGCAAGACATTGGTCTTTGAGTGTTTCATAGTCGGCCCACTGTTGTAGCTTAGCTTCCAACGCTTCCATTGTGGACCTTGAAATAAAAAAATAAACCTTTTAAAAAAAAAAAATTAAAGTTTCAATTAAGCAGTTTTTGTAACTGTTTAGGCCATCAACACTTAGTTGGGACTTGGGAGGAACACAAAACGTTTTTAAAATACGTGTTCTAAATCCACCAAAATATTGTGGAAACGGAAACATTAGGAATTGAATCAATTTCCTCTCGAATCTAGGTTTGAAACTATTTGTTGTTTGTAAGACTAACTATTTGTTATCACAAATAACTTTTGCAGTTTGCTAAACTAAATTCAAGACAAGAGTATTATGAACAGATGTTGCAATTATATTGAATAATTTAGGTATAATCTACTTTGTTGTGATTATTCTCATAGATCATACAGTCAACAGTATTTAGCCAATCATCACACATGAGTTTAACACAGTAAATCGACTTGCAGCAAAATCCATTGGAAAAACTTGTCTCTGCAAATTATTGAATTACTTTTAGGTAAGAGCCAGTAACGGATCTCTGTTACATTTTAACACTTACTTGACAGCAGATTGTAGTCCCTCCCACTCCTGTTGGGAAGAGTCTATCTGTGCCCGGATGTTGATTTGTCCAGAGTCCACTGTTCCTGGAAGCACCTTCTCTCCCATTGTCTTGATGCCTGTGATTCTCGGCTCCTCTTCTGGCAGAGATGTTTGAAGATTCTTGAACATTAACATTTCCCTTAGTACATACCCACTTAGAAGTCAACATAGCAGGATGCTGAGTGCAGAGTAGGAGTAAATCCAGATTATGGGAAAACAGTTAAACAACATGAAAACACAATATGTGAAGTAAATACTTAAACAGTTGCAATCCTTATATAAATTGGGAAATTTACAAGTCACACCCCCCTCAACCATATACTTAAAATGTTCGTCATAACGAGAAACCTTGCGCAAAACTATCCATTATTTCATAAATTGCCCTATAAGGTCGTAATTTATTTCTAAAGGGAACTTGCCATATGCCTAATGTTAAAAATTCCTCAAATGTTCTTATTTGTTATTCTATTTTATTTTTTCAGCTTAACCAATCAATAGTTATACAGTATTAATACTTATTGAAGTCAAACAGGATGAAACCCGTGGGTAACAGCTACTTTTTACAAGTTTGATTTTTCATTGATTATTGTTTTGTTGTATCTTGGTATTTGGTTATTATCAACAAAATTATTGCGTGACTAACAACAAATTAAAACCGACATTCCCCATCAATTCTCAGTTTTTGTGTACTTAACTGGTCAAACTTACAACCGCACTGACCCATTCCTAATAGTTACGATAGGCTGACTTTAAATGCCACCTCCACCATTACCTTGAGTCTCTCCAGGTTGGTATGCAGAGATATCCGCTCCAACTCCGTGTCACCCCACAGCAACACAGTGTTGTGTGTAGCATCTAGCCATTCCTGAGCCTCCATCACTGCCTTGCTGTACAACTGGTGGTTGCTGACTATCTCCTCATACTGCTGCACATACTCCTACAACAACATGTCGTCGGTTAGGTAATGGCGATTGCAGTTGATAAGGGATGGTAAAATCCAGGAATTTAATCTTAAACCTCAATCTAAATCCTTAAAAACCTTACTCCCAAATTTCGTATCCAACTACAAATAGAATATGAAAATGAATCAACTGTGAAATCTGATATCCAACATTATTAAATTTATTTTAAATCAATCCTATTTATCAAGAATCGTAGCAATTACGTACTCATTCCTAACAATCTTGGTAACATCTAGAGCGTCACACAAAAAAGTACATTTGCTGACACCTCCAAGAAGTTTTAGGGAAATAATTAGTTATCAGTTTAAAAGTCAACTTGTACAGTTAAGGCAATCAATCGACAGACCTGAGCTCGGTTGAGTATCTTGCCGTGTTGAGCTGTTATGGCAGCCAGTTGTTGTTCTACTTGGGCGTTGTGTTCTGGGAGCGACTCAATCTTGTCCCTCAACTCAACAATGTCTTGATTGTGGATGGTTGCATCATGTAAAACGGCTCTGGAGAAAAAGTAAAGAGTGAAATCAAAACTTATTGAAGACATAAGAAAACCCTTTCAACTCAAACTAGACTATTTTAACAAACAAGTTGCCTCTGTTTGAAAATTAAATTCACAGTTTACACACCGATTTTCAGTCACATTTGTTGTGATGAGATAAGTCTCAAAGAGCTTAGGACATTAAAAAGACCTGAGGGACAATTGGAGTAGGTTACATAGGCGAGCAGCAGAAGCAGCATGTCAGCTTGAGACACACAATAATTAAAAACAAGCAGCTTAAAATTAAGACTTATTTATTTTAGAAATTCGTACTCCTGGTCCTGTGGCAGGATTTAAAACATTTCATCACTTTTTTGGAACAGCGATTATGGAGGCTATCTGCAAAGTTTGTGGGATAGATAATTAACATCAAATATTGGTTTGGCATAGCATCAAAAATGGTGAGACCAAATGCGCCTATTAAGGTTTCAGTGCCCATCAAAAATGTATCGCGATTTGATGTTTCTACAATTGAGATACAGAATTGGTCAACCCTATTTTCAAGGTTTTACTAGAACATTAAGGCTAATTGTGGTTTTATTTAAAGTGTTCCTGGTAGAGTGGGTAAGCTTTTAAAAATAAGTTTTTTGTACTAATTAATATTCAATTTTACATTAACTTGCTGCTTACACACCTATATAACTGCAGCTGGGCCCTCTTCTCATCTAAAGTTGCCTTCAGCTCAGGTTCATTTGGTAGAGAAGCTTCTGCTTCCTTCAGCCATTTCAACAATGCTTCCAAACACTCTTCAAAGCCACTCCACCTAAACAACACCAATTATGTTCAGTTTTTGACAGAATATTTAGTACATAATGAAAAGATCAAATATACTGTTGTGCTAAAGAATTTGAATTTTTTACAATATAAAACAGATTAAACACTGGATAATGAGTTTAGAACATTCATTACACAACAAAATGAGCTATAAGAACTTTACATTATTCATTGAAGCTAAAAACCAAGATACAAGATATTGATTAACTGGGACTAGTTGGTCTAAGTCAGTAACAGCTACAAAGTCATTCACACTTTAAACATTCAACCTGCATTCACAAAAAGCTTTTTCTTAAAGTCATGTTTTAACACACACAAAAACTGCTTGGGTGTCTAAAGTGATTAGATTGTTAAGATTTGTTAAGATATTTTACACAAAAGTTAGAATATTTCACTGTCATCGACAGCATTATAAAATCAAGGAAGATTCATGTTGGGAAGAGAAAGTGTTTAGTCAGAGAAATGTTTTAACTCTTGTGTTACCTTTACACAAAACTCACTTGATAAGTGAGATAAGACACTTGATAAGTGTTTTATTTTTATGTTTCTTGTGCCAGAGTGAACTCTTTCACATACAGGATTTTGAATTGTATAATAAAGAGGATAGCAGCTAGCTTACCTTGGCACAGGTAGGCCATGGAACACACAATATTTCGTCCCTTGGGGGGCTTTGTCAAGTGTAGAGAAAGTGAAAGAGTCTCTACACTTCAAGTCTCCCAAGGGACAAAATATTGTTTCTGTTTCTGTGTACGTGTTTATGTGTGTTCTTCTGTATGTTCTATGGTCTACCTTCTTCAAAGTAAGCTAGCTGTTATCCTCTTTATTCCACAGTTCATAATCCTGGCCTAGAGTCTTTCTTCAGATTGACTTCCTTGGATCAGTGTCCACCATACCTGGACAACTTGGCCTGCAGTTCCCTCTCCAGGCTGGACACTCCATCGTACAGAGTGTCTAGCGTCGTCTGCAGTTCCTCCAGCTGTGACCTGATGACCTCTCGGCCTTCAACAGCTGTTGTTGGGTAACACTTCTCCCCTGCCTCCACAGTGCCATGCAACAACAACGTTGCTGTTTGTCGCTCACTCACCAGCGTCCGCAGCTTGCCACTACGATCCACCAACTCCTACACACAACAGTGTGAAAATTACTTCAGTACAAACACTAATGTGAATCAGCAAAGCTTGCTATAGCTTTCCAAATGTGTCAACCCACACATGTACATGAGTATTTGCATAGTAACCATTGAAAAATTAAAAATTAATGTTGGTTTAGCATTTAATATGAACAGTTATAACCATTTCTGAGAGAACTTAGCAGTGCTTACATTTTTAATGCAGTAAATGTAGAGTGGGCCTAGATGTAAAGGCAAAAACGTTAAGAAAAATCCAAAAGAGTTTCAGGTTGTTCTCTGCTTTGAAATAATAACTAAAAGACAGATTTACAAAAAAATAAAAAATACGATTCTATTTGACTTTCAGCCATCTTTAAAATTTGTATAGCAATCTAGTTCAAAATTTGGAACTGTTAGTACCAGTTGATATTAGGTAGGGGCAAATCCAGGAATTTAAAGTTTCAAATTTCAAATATTAGTAAAATTGTTTTGAATATGCTATTGTGTGTGCCGTAAAAATCAATTCTCACTGATAATTACTTTTTTTTATTAAAACTTCTAATTTATTTTCAAATCCCGTGGCCATCTATAAAATCTCAATCACATCGTAAAATTCAAAATCTCAAAAAATCCTTAACTATTTAAATTCTTAAAATCAATTATTTTGGTGAATTTGAGACAAGATGGTAAAGTTGGGCACATCACTTTTACCTTTTACGTGTATTAATTTTTGTTCCAAAGGTGATGTCAGTATACCTGTTGAGTAGCGGAGGCAGACGCGTCACAACAAGACTGGTAACGAGTCTGAGCGTTGCCAAGCCACTCTAGACACTCTCGATGTTTGCCAAGATATGCCTTGTGGTCACTGACGGCTTGCTCACACTTCTTGACAATCTCCTGGAAATTGTGTAACTTTAAATTATACAGTTTGTGTCCTTTTTGTATTAGATACAAAACAACAATCATAAAAAGAGGGTAAAAAAGTGCTAGGGTGGGAAGGGGGCAATGAATTTCAATGGGGGTTAACTACCTTCCCACAGGTGAGAAACCTAATCACAGTCCTTGATTTAGAATTGAAGGGTAGATTTTTTTAAGATTGTTACTGGCCACTATGATAAGACTTATCATTCCATATTGGTGGAAACCAGCTAGAATAATGAGGGAAGGAGAGATGGTGCTGGAGTAAGATTGGAATTAGCTCGTTAGATACCTTAATTAGACAATCCTTCCTTTAGGTATCTTAAATAATTTTCAATGACATGGCGACCATACAAAGTAGGTATTTTAAGCCAAGTATGAATGGAGATGAGTGTTGGATGAGTGACGCGATCTTGTAGTCTTGATAGTGACTAAGGCCGACATTCCTTAGACACAGCTGTTAATTAATAGCCCATACAGCTAATGGCAACTAAGGGACCTAAAGTTTATAGTGGAATCTGAACCACATTTTTGCCTTGGTATATATGAATTGGTCTATTTATGAGGATAGTACTGCGGATAGTCGTAGTACTCACTCTTGCGGACATTAATCCACTTTCTCAGTGCATGCCTATAAATATCCACAATTCGTGACCTCCTAGTAGCTGGATTACAGGATGATGCCACCCGTCCCAGTCTATCACATCAAGAGATAATTTAACACCAAATCACTTAAAACTAAAAGTCATTGATGGCGACCCTCTGTGACCGAGGTAGTTTCCAACTCAAACTCACCTTTGCAGTCGTCTGGATGGACTGAAAACGAGAGGTGATCTGTTGAACATTGACGGATATCTTGGCCTCTCCTGACAGTTGTACCAACTCTGACGATTGATCGGCCATCTTGTCTAACTCCGCTTCATTCTGGCGCAGGCTTACCAACATTGACTAAAACAGTCACACTTATTAGTACTGTACTTATGCTATGATCTCAGAACAAAGACATTTTTATTCCACCAATATAAACTTATAAAACTACTCATTTAATAAAGTTCATGTTAAAACATCCCTGGAGGTTACTTCCGTGATAAGACCTCCGGAAGGTTAATGTCAAATTAAAATTTTAAAATCTATATAATTTAGGAATCTTAGTTATATTATTGATACAAAGTAATATAATTTTTTAAACTCATTGGTGAGTTTTCATTAAACATTTAGTGTTTTGAAATGATTTTTCTTTTTTCAAAAATTGATAGTTTAGTTATATTCATAGCCTAATTAACTGTTATAGTTTTGCGCTCAAACAATAATCTGAAATCATTTGAAAGACTTTTGTCTTTATAATGTAATTCTATAACAAGTAAAAAAAAATTAAAATGTTGTTGAACGATGACAGATTACAACAGATGTTGTGTTGCGACACATTTAATTTTACAACAACCCTAAAAAACACATCTACAATAACACTTATTCTACAGTTGATAGACTTGAATATAAATAACACAGACTATCAGATAAAACTATTATCAATATCAGGTTAACTATATCTCTTATATTTGTAAGTCTGGTTAGAACTTGATATTCAGTATAGAGACAAACCTTTCGGTAACACCATTGACTATTGGATACAGAATTATTGTATTGATAGTCAAAGGTAACACCCTATGCATGCAGTGTATGTACACAAGCAATATTAAAAAAAAAAAACTACGGTGCTTTTGAATAACAAAAAAATATACACCATACACCTAAAAAACAATGTGAGATCTCTAACAATAACAATCCCACTAAACATTTAAAAATATTCAGATTTCTTTGAAAAACCTTTATTTGAGTTTTTTTATTAGTAGAGCTTGATAAGCTAAGAGTTTGATAAGTATTAATAAACCCAACTGGGAGAAAAGCATATTTTAGGCAAAGAAAGTTTATATTTCAATTCAAGGTCACTCGTGTACCTAACTTTTAACAAACGAGTAACGTATCAGATCACTGACCTTAAAACTAAATTAACGTAACATTTCTTAACAGAGAAGGATACCAACACCTAAGAAAAATTGTTTAATTGAAATAAGGAAAATATTAATGAAGAAGTTAAAATTTACTCTAGCAATGCCAAAAATCCGTTTTATAAGAGACACGTCAAAGGCTGCATTAGGAGCACTGTCAAGGGTGTCGAAACAATAGTAGAACTTCAGAAAACAATGTGAAATGAACGTGAAACAAAACGCCACTAGGGATAGCAGCTGATCAATTCCTTCTCATGATTTGAAAAATCGTTTACAACATTTAGCAATAATGTTAACTCTAATTGGTGCCAAACCTTTCTTATGGGAGCTAAGCTGTTTGCAAGTAGATACTTTAGATCAAACAATTTTATTTGTTCGTTAAATTCAAAACCATACTTCAATACAACAACCAAGGGAAATTCAGATTACTATAAATTGTGTATACATGCAAAAATACAAAAATCTGATTTTGTTTAGCAAGTATAACAATCTGTAATGGTTGGTATGGTATTTATTATTTCAAAGTCTTCCAAAAAATGCAAAACCATGAAATTATTTTTACTTTGTAGCTCTGTTATTTATTCTACAGAAAGAACTATTGGCTAACATGTTGTTTATAAATGATCAGCTGCTATTGGGAACGGTGACTAAACGAGAAGATTACAAGACAAACGACAAGTTGGCTGACAAGTGACAGAGTGAAGCGACAAGTGACAAGTGACACGGACAAGTGATCTTACTTGCTCCAAGTGATCGGCCAGTGTAACCGTGTCCGCCATCTCTGTTTCGTACGAGTCAATAAGCTTACTCTGGTCCTACGAACCAAAGGTGTTAAGGGACACAAGTACTGCAACTGCTATTATTGAGGATGATGCACAGTCTAAAGTTAAGTAAACATTCTGGATTTTAAATTAAATTAAAGTCTCAGAGATCCGAGAACTATAAATCTATTTTAAATCAAATTCTGTTTGATGTCTACCAATCTTCAAATGTATATTCTTTTATTCTATTATAAAAAAAAATGTTTGTTGATATGCAGTCTGCACTTGTAATGGATTTTTGAAACAATACATGAATCTTATCTTATCCCTACAACTGATTCGGAATATGGCCAGCTGAATCGGTTATTAAATGTTTAAATAAGTTGACAATTAATTGATTTTTAGACATATCAATTATTTGTGTTATTTCAAATAAGTTGCTTTTGGGTGAGGTTCTGTTAGGTTTTATAAGGTTAAGTTAAGTTTGGAACAGATTACCCCGTTTCTATGGTATATGGTTTTAGATAGGTAGACATCTAACTCTGATCATTCAAAATTAAATATTCTGTTTGAAAAACTGAAACAATTTTTCTAGCTGATAAAAAATTCTGACTTTTAATTGAGAATTACAACAATATCAACAATGTTATTAGAGTGCAACAGAATTTGGAGTTAATACTGACTGACATGAAAATTATATCAAGGCGTAAAACATTAACAAAAAGTGGATGTTACACTGCCTGATGTTATGAGTGAAAATGATAATATTTACAAATGCAACTAACTACATATCATGATGTGAATTGCAACAAATGTGGCTGCCTCTTAGTATTAGCCTAATAGTTTTATCACAATAATATGAAGCTTAAATGAGCACAGTGCATAATTTGCTTGGGTAGTCAATATTTATAAGATTAAATATTTTACTTTTAAATATCCAACAAAAATAAGAGATGTACATTTGGCAAAAAAGGACAAAATATAATTTGTTTGCTATTCTTTACAAACTATTTCTTTTGCAATAGGTACATGTAGGTCTACTTATTAAAGGAATGAAAGATTTTAAAAGATAAATTTTAAAGAGATGTATTTTGGACTAATTGCCTCAAATATTTTGTCAGGAAAACTATCAGAACTCTATCCCTCTATTAAATGAAAATAAAACTCCTTAATCAGGCACTTGGGTTTCCCTTAAAATATAACCCAAAGATCTTAGCATCATTGCATCTTAACTTTAGAAATAAGTATTTTTACCTTGGCAATAAAAGGGAATCAAAACTCCTCGTTTCAAACAGCAGCTGTACAATCTCAAGCTCACCTGATATTTCCCCAGCTGTTCCTGCTTCTCCTCCACTGTATTGAGAGTGGTGTAGTTCTTAAGAGCCATCTCCGACTCTGTCAGCCAAGCGAGCAGTCTCTCCATGGAGCTGTCGTACTCGTTCCATTGGTTGAGACGACCTTCCAAGCCTTGCTTCACATCGCCCACGGCTGTGGTCAGCTTACCATGGTCAAATCTGGTCAGTGATTACGAGTTGTTAGAGATTGATTGACAGTTAAAAGACGAGAACCAGAGGACTGAGCATTGCTGAATGGTAATTAATTTGATTTAGGGGCAAAATATAAAACATAGATATTTAGGATTCCCGACCGACGAATGTTTACTTATAGGTTTTCAGGTGGGTATACAAAAGACTTATTGTGGTTGATGTAAAGGAAGGTTTTGTTGTTGTAGTTGGGTCGTTGTAGTTGGATTGTTGTAGTTTTTTGGGTGTGTGACTGAGAAAAAGTGAACTTGGGCAGTTGTTCAAATAGGCACTGAATGTAACACTTACTTGAGGTTGTTGAGCTCACGCTCCATGGTCTCCTTGGCCCTGACAGGGATCTTCTCTTGTTTGGTTGTCAGATGTTGTTCTAGCTGCTGCAGCCTTGTCACACCTTCTGGTAGTCCATCCTGAACCTCCACTACCTTGGCTAGTCTAGCCTCTATAGTGGGCTTGTTGCCACTGTAATCTGTAAACAATTGTTGATAGTATTTTGTTTGGTAAAGAATAGTATTCTGCTAGCTTACCGGTACCTGAGAAATTTAGCTGAAATCTATCCTTTAATCCTTTAAAATTAAACAGTCTAACAAGATAAGAGCTTGAAGAGTTTTGTTGATAGTTTGTCCTAAGCACCTGTTCAAAGCACCTGTGCATTTATCTGTAACCTCTGTACGTTTATGTGCTAATAAATATGATTTGATTTGATTTTATTTGATTTAAAATACAAATTATTGATGGAGAAAATAATTATTTCACACCTATGAAAAATTGTGAACATAAAACAAAACGTACGCTTTAAGGTGCATTGTCCCTGAAGCGACTCTTGCGATAGTAGCTGAGCGACAGTAGCTCAGCGATAGTAGCTCGGCGATAGTAGCTAACCATGTCATTGTCCCTGAAGCGATTGTTCTAGAGCGATTTTGTTCATTTTGCTGACTTTTCGAGTGAATTGGTGCCATGAGTGCCATGACACCAGCTAATTTTAAAACGTTTTTATTACCTCACTTTCTTGCCCGGTACAAACTTTGCAATCAAAAACTAACTTCCCGACGAGCTAGAGAATTGAAACTTGAAACATAGCTCAAAAATGGATGATAATACAATATTATATAATTTAATTTTCATATTTCCCTTGGGCTAAGCCCCATGGGCTTCCAAATTTTTAATGTTTACATTTTGGAAGAATGTAGGCCTAAATATATCAATTGAAGTCAGCTGTAAATAATAAAATTATTTCTAAAATTAGTAGAAAATAATTATAAATAAAAATAATTTTTAAAAATACCACGTTTTTAAACACACTCAAAAGTAAAAATAATTTATAAATATGTGGAGAGGATAAATACTTGTAAGTTAAAACGAAAAACGTGGGGAGCATTCAATGGATAGTAATAGTTAAATAGGTGAAGATAATTCTAAATTAGCATGCACCCCACGTTTTAAATCTTCAAGTATTTATTCAATACTTATTCTGTACTAACAGCTTTTCATCTTATTCAGGGGTAGAAAGCAGTTTTGTATTCTTTGAAGACATTACGACCAAAAAAAGTCTACACACAACACAAATCGCTCAGCGACTGCGACTCTGACTCCCCTCAGAGCAGACCCGCTACAGTCGCTCAGCCGCTAGCGCAGTAGTTCAGCCGCTAGCCGCTCCAGTCGCAGTCGCGTCAAGGACATTGGTCCCATTTGAAACAACGCTAACCAGTGCTCAGCTACTATCGCTGAGCTACTATCGCTCAGCTACTATCGCAAGAGTCGCTTCAGGGACAATGCACCTTTACACATAAAACCAGATAGTTGATTGAGTTAAGGGTGTAACATAGTTAAGGCTATAGGTTTTTATGTCTTTACTAGGATAACATGTTTATCTGGAAAATAGAATGTGATATTCAACATATTGTAATATCAAATCCATATATAAATCCAAAAGTACCCATGAACGTTTGAGAAGTCACAGCTAAATACACAATATGGTTAAATACCCCCGCCGCAGCAAACCTGCCGACTAAGCGAATTTCCATTTGTCTGAATTGATTTTCAGTTAAATATATTTTAATAACATTAGGTTTAACGAGTACCTAGGTTTGCTGCTACAAGGAAACTAATAAAGTGTGTTTTTGAGTAAAATATTGATAGCTTAGTACAAGATAAATAAATTTGCCAAGTTTGATCAAAATATATTCATAAACAAGCAAACTACAACATTTGACAATATTCTCCATAAGAATAACATGGGAATTTTAAATTTACAATTTTTTTTTATTTTCTCCGTTACTAATAATCGAACAAAAATACTTTTACATACTAAATTATTTGTTTTTTTAAGCTCTTTAAAAAGGTCTGAAGAGAAATTGGGAAATTTTGTGTTTTGAGGGTCAAAAGTGAGAAAACCCAATTTTTACCCCATAAAACCCCCTGTAAAGCCCCGTTCCCATTGTCCGATCGTGCTGGATCGACAACTCATTCAAGTTTATCCCGCTTTACAACTTTAAACCAAATTTCATCAAAATCGGACAAAAATTACTCAAGTTATCGCGTTCACGGACGTATATATATATATATAAGTATATATATATATATAAGTATACTAGCTGACCCGGCGAACTTCGTATCGCCTAAGTTATAGGTTTCCCCTAAGACAGACCGATGGAAAGAAAGTACCGTTACGTTTAATTTTCAAGATGATCTCGTTCGCATCGCTCAATCACGTCCTGGTTGAAGTTCGTTCGCTACGCTCACTCACCTTTGGGTTGGAGCTCGTTCGCTACGCTCACTCACCTTTAGGTTGGAGCTCGTTCGCTGCGCTCACTTGCCTTCAGGTTAGCTCGTTCGCTACGCTAACTCGCCTCCAGGTTGAAGTTCGTTCGCTACGCTCACTCACCTTTTGGTTGCAAATTAGCTGTTGTCATAAATGTAAAAGAAATAATAGTGCTGCACCCTGTTGGTAATCCTTGTAACTTTAATGCTATTGAACATCATAGAACAGAACCAACTTGTTTAATTGAAACAGCTGTTAAGATTCATTAATTCCATTTCTCATAAGGTTAACATGGGAAACTCCAGAGCCACTGGGGCGGAGCCCTTTTAAGAATTTCGAAACGGGAAATAGTTTACGTCCGATTCGCATACCTACAGAATTTACACACCAAATTTCATAACGATCGGTGAAGTCGTTCCGGAGGAGTTTGCAGACAAACACTGTGACACGAGAATTTTATATATTAGATATATATATATATATACATATATAAAAATTTGAACGAATAGTGTTTTTGGCCTCTGGGGACATCAAAATGAAAAAGTAAATCGGTCCCGGGTCTAGGTCTTACCGTGCCACCTACGGTAATAGCTACTTCCCTATAGGGAAATTCGCTAAAAAATGTACGTCACGACAAGAAACCTTGCACAAAACTATCTATTATTTCATAAATTGCACTTTAAGGTCGTAATTCCTTTCCAAACGAAATGTTCCACGTTCCATATACCTAATGTAAAAAAATACCTCAGCTGTACTTATTTGTATGTTATTCTTTTAATTTATTACCTCAGGTGTGATTGTTTGTTTGTATTACTGTATTCTGTTTGATTTATTCCTGCTTAACTTCAACAATAAATAGTTCTATTACATACTTATTAAGTCAAACGGGTTGAAGTCCGTAGGTAACAGCTAGTACAGCCTAATATAATTTTTGTGTATTATGGTTTTCCTCATGCCAGTGTGAACGTTTCATTCAGGTGGGATTCTAAAAATAATTAGAGTTACTTTAGATGATCTACTTCTGTAAGCTACTCTCAATTTACCCTAAAAATCACAACCCTAGCCTAGAGCTATTTCTTAAACAAAACTAACCTTGAAGTAACAAACATACCACTTACTCTTTGCCTGGTACTTTGTGTTACTATTCTTATCCATATTTCCAATCCATCTGTCAATCTTTTCATTGTGAAAGTATTTTGTTCATGGCTTAGAAACGCCGAGAAGTATGTATTCAAACTAGTAACAAATTATCTTAGTTTATAAAATTACCGATATTGGCTATTTATAAAAGCCATACAATACTTATAATCAGATTTACCAGTGTAGGAAGACAGCCGGTCCCACAGCTGTTTTTGAATGTCTTGGTGTGTCTTGGTGAGTTCTGTGAACTGTTGAAACACGTCCAGGGAGTCCTCCAGCTGGGTGATGGTCCTCAGCAGACGATCCACGAGCTGTTCGTAGCGCTCGCTAATACCCTGCACTGTTGCCAACTCTCCTGCACCTGCGCCAGAGTCTAGCGCAGACGCTTTCTCACTCAACATTTCTAGGATGCGCTTGTGTGACAGGACTTCTTGAAGAGACGTCTGAAGACACAAAATTTCATAGTCAACAGAGTTACTTTATATTACAACATTTTTATTGGAAAACACTAAAATGTATTAGGAATATGAATAATCTTTACGTTACAAGAAAAGCTTGTTTATAAGTACGGCAGTTATTATTATGTGATGTAGTTACTATTATAATGTTTGTCCAAACATTTTTCAGACCTATTATCAAATGCTTTTCTACCGAAAAGAGATCTTACTGTGAGCTTTGTCACTATCAGTGACTTTAAAATTATCACTTACTAGAGAGCCAGCTATCAGGGGTACTATTTTAACAAAACAACCTGTGTTTAAGAAAAAGATTTGGTGAACACAGTTTGGCTAGATTGCAGCATCAGTCCTCAAAAACTTGTGAGCAACTAACATTCTTCAGGATGAAAATATTGGAAATTTTGAATCATTTATGTACACAAAGTTAACAATAGAGCGCTTGAAATTTTGCAATCGGATGAATACTTACAGAGGAAAATTGTGAACACTATGAATACAGCAATGGTGGTAATGACTGGTGCTAATTAGTACTCACCCCTTAATTGAATGATTGAATTGTTGCTTATTTCATTCACAGTTTGGAGCATTAGGCCTTACAAACATAGTGTACTGTATTCAATGCTCAGACTCTGACCTTGTATTTTATGAGCTTCGCCCTGATCTCCTGAGGAGCAGTCAGCGCTGCAAGAGTGTCCTGGTCCAAACTCTTCTCCACACCCTCTAGCCAGGACAGCATAGCCTGCAGTGTCTCCTGGTAGCTTGACCACTGTGTCGCCTTGGCGTCCTGAATCTTCAACTGTTCCTTTACACCTTCACTTAGAGCGTCGCATCTGTCAAATAAATTTGGGCATTTTAATATCATGTACAAGCAACTATTGTTTGAATTTAATTTCGGGTAATAGTAATTTTATGTTATTTGATGGATTGCAAAAATATTCCATCACAATTAGTGAAAAACTAGTTTTGGGGACATTTCAAAATATATTTTATCCTGTCTTCATGTGAGTAAATAAGTTATTGGATAAGTCCATTGTGTTCGTCATTTGTCCCACCTTCATGTCATAAAACGTAGGCTCTACCTCTGAACCGTTTCTCACACTTCAGGCTGGATCTAAAGGGTTGCCACTTAGATCATACCCGATAGTAATCGGCAAGATTTAAACCCGGAACACTGAGGACTGAATTCCTACACTCTACTAATAGACTAGCTTGCTCCCTTCCTTAATTTTCTAATGTTTGTTATTTTCTATTAGGATTTTGTACCCTCAGTTCTTTCAATCAATTGTAAATCAGTTCTTTGTATAAGTTCAATTTTATGCATTTCTAGCCTTAGCAGAGAGTTTGTTAGAACTCTTTAATGTTTCAGATACTTTCTTTCCTGAGGATCAGTTTCTTCTGTTTTTAGATTCCAAAACAACATGAAAACTGGAATTCACAAGTCATTATGGCACAAATCTGCAGTAATCACTCTGATCTTAGTTTGACTACAAAAACTTTTAAGGATGAAAAATACTACTATATTTTTGACGTATGCCTACCTGTCTCTTATCTCCCGCAGTTGCTGACGGATGATCTCTCGTCCAGCTGCAGCAGTGTCAGGGTAGAGTCTCTCGCCAGCCGTGGTCAGTGAGGTGAGACGGTGAGGTGCCTGCTCTGTCTCAGAAACAAGAGACTGCAGCCTGTCATCAGACATTGCGACAACAGTTAGTTACCAACAATTTGAAAATTATTTGAAAGGCTTTAAAGCTAAGAATATTTAATAAGACTTAGCATCAAGTGTTATAATGCTTGCCACCAATTACCAACTATGTTCAAATTATTTGAAAATTTGTAAAGCCAAGAATATATCAATCAATTGGTTGGCTAGAATTATAATTTTGACTGTTACTGATTTGATTTTGAGCATAAACAGTCCTGAACTGCTATGTTTTGGGCTATTAATTTATTACCAACATCAGAAAAGTCATCAACAGCTTTTATAGTTTTATAAAGATCAAAAACAGATCAACAGAGGGGTGATAAGGCAATAAGACAAGGGTTTTGAATGTTTTGATACAACATCAAAGTTGTAATTCTCGTTTATGAACGCGAAAAAGTTTGATTGCTCTTCTTGCCATCAATAAAAATATTTAAAAATGGTTAAGGATCTTAACAAATTATCATTTGACTATATAGTCAGGCTATTGTCTGTAACCATTAAAGAGATTGAAAGTTTGAATTTTGATTTCTGGCACAAACCAAATTATAGAACTTGAGCGTAAGTTATGCTTGATTACAAACAGTAATGTTACTTCAACTATCTAAAACAATAAAAAGTTCAGTTTTCTTCAAGGAAAGACTTTAGACCAGGATTTTGAATTGTAGAATAAAGAGAATAGCAGCTAGCTTACCTTAGAAGAAATTCAGGTAGTAGAGAACACAGAAGAGACGCAAAACAAAACACACAATATTTCGTCCCCTGGGGAGTTTGTCATGTGACAACACGAAGAAATATTGTGTTTTGCGTGTCTTCTAGTTGTTCTATGGCTCACCAGAACTTTTTCAAAGCTAAGCTAGCTGCTATTCTCTTCATTCTACTATTCAAAATCCTGAATTATAACAAACCTTAAACTACTACAGTAAATCTCAAATGTAAGACCTTGAAACTTTCCCTACAAACTTTCCCTCAGGTTTTGTGGACTGCTCGTGCTATTGAAGGTCCCATTTAATGGACTATTCTCTAGCTTGGTTGTATTTTAATTTTAGTTTATGAACTTTTCCTATGCCAAGTGTTTAGTCCACACTACGTTTCGGGAGGTAAGTAAACTCCTCTTGTTTGTGTCAAGTCAAAATCAGCAGCCAAAATGTGCCCCTAGTCTAGAGAAGGTCCCCCCCACCTCCCAGATCAATGCCACCTGGAAACCCCTTGTGCTAATTAGTTTGGTCCGTGTGGCATGTTAGAGTGTGTTGTGGTTTATTTCCACATTTTAGAGGCTTTGGACTGATGAGTATAGTTATGTTAAGCTTTGGTTTTAGTTTCATCCTGTTTTTTTGTGTCTTGGATTAGGTATATAGTATGTAATCACTGTTGGACAAAAAGACTTTAGGCAAGTTAAGTTGAATAGAGTATTTAAGTAGATATAGATTTAGTAGTTTGTTACTTGAAAACTAGAGGGGGTTCCTTACCTCCCAAAACGTAGTATAGTCAAAACACTTTCAAAAAACTCTTAGCATAGGAAGTCCATAGACTTCACAATTAGGAACTGTAAAAGCGTTGTAGTATTATTGAGGTACAGGTGTAATTATTATCAAATTACGCACTTTGCCACAGCGTCTGGAGAAGGTTCTCCTCGCAGATTCTCCAGTTGAGCCTCCAGTGGTTGCAGCCAAGCCATGGTCTCGTCCAGTTTTTCTCTGTACGTCTTGTGGTCGTCCATTAGACCTTGCCATCTATTGATCACCTCCTTGCTGAGCACATGTAGCAGCTGGTATCTGGGAAAAAATGGAATCATCACAACAAACTCTATAGTCTAGCATATTTGAATGTCCTTTCAAATAGTCATAGGGCCAAAAACATTCCAGAGAATGTTTTCTAGACATTTATATTTTCATTATTAAAGTAAAAAAATATACAATTAAAAGAAACAGCATCAAAAAAAGTAAATTAACTATTAACAAATACAACCAAATTTATTGGAGTAGCCTAATTATTTATTACGAGAGGTCGTCCAGTGGTCGAAACTCGACCAAAAATATGTAATGTACTCACTTCTCTATTTTCACCCCACACTGTAAATAAAACATGTGATTGGAGTTTCTTCCATTTGTTTTGATTTCCTGTTTATATTTCGTTGTTATTTCATCACCAGCATGGCAACGCATAAGATCCATGTTAATTTTTTCAAATCTTTAAACTCATTTTTTGTGCTTATCTTTGAGCCTATTTAAATTTATAAAGGGATTCTGCACACCTATAGGAAAATAGCTTTCTAACGGTATGCGTAGATTTTCCCTACGATGCACACGAGCTGAGAAAAAAGGTTTTAAAGAAACATGCTTGCCTATTAATATATAGATTCTTATTATTCCTCCAAATGGAATATATTATGTCTGGGAGAAAGAATGCGAAAGAGGCACAGTCTTGGGCACTCTGCTTTTCCCAATCTCAATAAATGGCCTTCTATCCAGTCTCAAATGTAACACATATCATTATGCTGATGACACGACTTTGCTTACAGACAGCAGAGATTTAGAATCTCTTGAGCTTGAGGCAAATAACACAGTAAACATAGCAGCAGAATGGTTTTCTGGAATCAACAATCAGAATCCACCCTCTTCTAATTTGATCTAATTGGTATTTTTTACTTATCTAAATAAAATACAAATCATTCGTCCACATACCTGTTGTTAATCTGAGATATCAGTGTCTTGATCTTGTCGGCTCCACTAGTGTGCAGAAGAGCGTTGGACTTGTCTACAAACATATCAATCTCCGCCTCCTTGTCAGCAATCAGCTTGCGTTTGTCTCGGAACGAGGCCAGCTGTTGTTCTTTCTGTTCCAGCGTAGCCGCTAGCTGTTGGTCGCGGAACGCCACTTCTGTCGCTCGGAACCACTTGGTGTGAGCGTCTAGCTGTGTCTCAAACTCAGCCCATTGATCAAGTACGCCATTTAGTCTCGCTTCCACAGAATCTGAGGGTAAATAAAGCTTGTGTTTACTCAAATATAAAAGATTAAAAAATGAAAATACTTATAGACACTTTCTTTTTAATGGGGGCTTACAGATGCGGCCACTGCAATTTCCCGCCAGGACACAGTGGCAGAGCAGTGCCTCCTTGCGCAACTGCTACCCAGCAATCGCAATGACGGCAACTGGTCTTGGGACATTGAATTAAATGGGAGCCTTCAGACAAAGCCACTAGTGGCCGACACCGGGTAAGAGCGGGCATAAACTGTTATGGAGTAAACCGTTAGTTCAAGCGCGGATACAAATGCACCTGTGCTAGTTGTGGGGTGTTTTTCTATTGTTGAACTGTTTATTTGTTTGTTTAGAAAAAAATCAGCAGGCAGAAGAAAAATAAGAAGAAGTTGAGGCAAAAGAGAAAGAAGAATTGAAATAGGGATTAAACAAGAGGAAATTAATACTGTGCATCTAATTTTAAGGATTGAAAAGTGAAAATTTAAAAAGTAATCCAAGAAGAAGGAGATGTTTATTCAGGGTATCCACCAGGCCAACCAGAAAAAATTCATGAGTAATTCATGAGTAAAAAAAAAATTCCAGGTAGTTCAGGTCGTACATTTCATACTAAAATTTCCAACGTGTTTTGCGCCAACTCTCAAAATGCTATTTTAGCGCTAACACAGCTCGCTATTTTAGTTATGAGAAAGAGCATTCTCAGTAAGGAAAAAAATATGATTGCTGTAAAATTGCCTGACACAAGTGTTCAATGTTTATAAATAACTGATTAAATAATCGAAAAATAAAAACTTATCACTTTATGTACTTTCATATTGTATAATTTTGGAGTAACGGGTTGTTTTCTAAGTGGCCTACAGAAATAATAATGCAGAATTGACAAAAATTGCACAATGCCAACGTTGTCTCCCGCGGTCACGGAAACGTCGTCATTGTCTCCCGCGGTCACGGAAACAACATTGTCGTCTCCCGCGGTCACGGAAACCCCATTGTCGTCTCCCACGGTCACGAAAACGTCATCTTCGTCTCCCAAAGTCACGGAAACGTCATCGTCGTCACAGGCGGTCACGGAAATATCATCGTCGTCTTCCGCGGTCACCGGGAACGTCATCGTCGTCTCCCGCGGTCACGGATACGTCATGGTCGTCCTGCGTGATCGCGGCAAAAAATTCCCGGTTAAATACAAAATTCACACATAATTCCCGGTTTTCCTGGTCGGTGGACACCCTGTTATTGCTCGTCAGCATTTTATCAACTAATCCTAAAGTGGCATTTTGGAGATTGGCTTGTCAGTTGCCGGCCGGTAACTGGTGGCAGCCACCAGTGGCCTCGTGTGAAGGGGCCCTATAATCAATAAACACACAGCTCTGGTGTGATGGTTAAGTAAAAAAAAAGTGATTAAAGTACTGCAAAATAATCAAAAACCATTTACTCTCCAACATTATTACCTTTCCAACACATTTGTAGCTACTGAACATAATTGAGTCACAAAGTAGCATTATTTTAAAGTGTTACTTCTTACTTCAAAGACTTGTTATTTTTAAAAGGTGATATTTCCCTGCTAAACACAATCCAAACAGCATCTGAAACTTAAGCTTATTTTTATTAGAGGGCTGTTCAGTTACCAAGTTGAGAGGAATGTTGTTTCAGTCCGTCTTGTAGCTTTTTCAATTCTTTCTCCAGTAAAGCAATGCCTTTCTTTGTAGTTGTATTGCTGAGGACTGAGAATAGACTTTGTAGCTCAGTCAGCTTTTTGTTGCCTTCAGATTCGTTGCCTCTCAATGTCTGAAACAGGCATATGTATTTGACACACACGAACAGGAGTAACTTTTTTAAATGTTGCTTAAACTATGACAGTTTCGAAGCAATCTATCGACTCTCATAAATGTCAATGAACTCTTGTAGTAGTATTGTAGTACAGTCCTTCACAGTCTTTTAGCCAGCAAAAAGCTCAGTAGCCCATAGTGGCTAACCAATGAGGTATTTTTGAAAAGAAATAAAATTGCACCCACCTTTATAGCCTCCAGTCGCTGCTTGACATCAGCCTTTTCTCCTGTTCCATCATCACACTCTTCTAGTTTCTCTTTCTCACTCGCCAGCCAGTCTCGTAGATTGTCACATCCAGTGCTGAACTTGGCATGTCTGTCAACGTTCTCTTCAAGGCTGTACAAAATGTATTGACTATTGAATGTATACTTTTAAAGGTTGAGCTGTCAAAATGTTTGCTATTGAATAAATGGCTCGTTTATTTAGATAACCACGTTAATTTAGATTTTATTTACACTAGAATTAAGATTTTGATTGCTATCTACTATCATTGCTTAACCATAGGATACTTCTTCCCATAAGGATCTTATAAAGATATTTCATGGATAAAAATTGAATTGAACAGTTAAAAGACCAAATAGACTCAAGACATTTTGTAATACATTTGATCAAAATTAAAACATCAAATACATCCTGATTTTATTCAAAATAAATGTATTGTGGATTCTAATTTTGGGAAGGTTCTGTAACTGTCAAAAGGTATCAGCGATTAACAAACTAATTACAAACTCATTTCTCTAGATATGTTTGAACCATACAAAGATTCAAATGATTAGATAATTTTATGAAATTGAAATTACTAGGTTCTACCTCTAATTCCTCTCAAATAAGAACAGTAACAAAGAACGATGAAAATCTCAAAAAGAACATACTGGCTGCTAGTAACAAGGTAAGTTTTTTTTTTCTTTAAGATTTTTGTTTTCGTACTTAGCTTCTCTCAAATATTTCTACAACCAGGGCCTGATTACCCGTTAGGCTAATTAGGCTGGAGCCTAGGGCGCCAGTCCTAAACGTACGTTACGCATGTTACGATAACGTCGACGCAGCGCTACTCGCCGCAATACAGACGGCAGTGGAGAAGGCCGTGCGAGTAGCAGTGGAGGCGGCGCTGGCTACATTTAACGAGGCTATATTCCAACTACAAGACGAGGTTGATAAATTACGAGGCAAGCTGAAGGAGGTCAACGTCAGACTTGAAGACAGAACTGACGAGCTTGAGCAGTACCAGCGACGGGAAAATATCCGTGTTTTCGGCGTAGAAGAGACTCCAGACGAAGATACCGATGCATTGGTGGTGCAACTATGCCGGGAAAAACTAGGAATTGACTTGCCAAAGGACGCAATTTCACGGTCACATCGTGTTGGACGACAACGGGAGTTGGAGCCTGGCGAGTTGGCCCAACAACGACCGATTATTGTTCGTTTCAACAACTACAGAACGAGGCAGTCAGTTTTTAACTTAATGAAGAAACTTAAAGGAACATCCATCACCATAAGAGAGGATCTTACGCATCGTCGCCTGGAGCTGTACCGGAAAGTTGCGACGAAGTACGGCGCCAAGAACGTCTGGACGCTTGACGGCAGGGTGCTGTGGGTCAAAAATGGCAAGAAGAATGTGGCAACGCGCATAGAAGACCTGCCGGCTGAGGTGCTAATTCCCACTACAACCAGCTCAACCAGCTCACCCAGATAAGAACATTATTTATTTAGCCTTGACTGGTATTTATGAGATAATCTGAATAACATTATTTATATATTTATTAATTTTTATTTTATTTTTGAAATTATAATATATTTTTTTTCATCCCGTGGTAACGAAATGTTTTAAAATGCAATTTCCCCAGCTTTAAAATGTTTTTATTCTGGTATTTTTATGTTTAAAACTTTTATCTCAGTAGAGGAATGTTTTAGTTTCATAACATTTTATTTTTATTTATGCTATAGGCTGGTTCTACCATTATGATGAACAATAGTATTTTTTAAAATGCACTAAGATATTATATTGAGAACGTTAAATTAGTTTTTGGTATCCAAACAAATCATAACAATATGTATGTATATTATGTGTATGTATGTATGTATTTTGTGTGTGTATGTATGCGTGTTATGCATGTGTATGTGTATGTATATTTTTATCAGTTAATTTATGTTTGAGGAAAGTAATTACCATGCAGTACTTTATTTATGTTACATCAAATCATTTATTTAGTTTAATTGTAATTATTTTTAATTTCAGTATTTATTTTGTGTCTTATCTGTTTAAATAAACATGAAAACTATTGTATTTTTATAAGTGTTCGATTAAGTTTAGTTAAACTAAAGAAGAATCATATATTATTTCGTTATGTACATATTAATTATACTGCTCTATTTACTCACATTTTGGATAGTATACCTAATTTAATATTTCAACAACTTCATCACCATTGTTTTTAGGAGCCAAAATTGTTGCACGTGTAAAAAATTCTGTAATTTAAACTATGTTGTCTGTTTTTACTTTTAGTAAGTGTATGTGTGTGTGTGTGTGAATGTGTCAGTGATCGCGGTGTGTGTGCGCGCCTGCGATGTGCCTGCCGTGGCGCTGCGACCCGTGGACCCGGGATAGCGAGTCCACGTCCTCCTAGTGCTCGTCACGCCGGCCGGCTTATCACTCCCCCCTCGCCCCTCCCTCAGCACCCACTGTCTACCGCCGACTATCTCTCTCACTCCTTATCTCCTTTCCCCAAGCATCTAAAGGCGGCGCACATCAACGCTCAGTCGTTACGTGCGCACATTGATGAGGTGAAGGAGATTTTCAGATACAAAGATTTTGATTTAATCGCAGTTTCTGAGTCGTGGTTGAAGCCAAGTATTCCATCACAGGAAGTGAACCTCCCTGGTTATATTCTGCAGCGCAATGACAGAACTGGCAAGCAGGGTGGCGGTGTTGCAGTTTATATCAGGGAGGGAATCAAATTTAAACTGGTAAATTGCTCAAACTCTGAGTACTCGGCAAAACCGGAATTTTTAATTATTGAAGTTAGCCTATCTGGGGCTGAGAATTTTCTGTTATGTGTATGTTATCGTCCACCTAGAGCAGGCAATCTATTGGATTTTGAAAACGCTCTCTTAAATTGTTTGTTTGGATACAGTCATGTCTTGATCATGGGGGACTTCAATATTAACCTTCTTTCAACCAATGAAAACTATGAATACAGACAACTGACTACATTGTTCGACTCATGTAACTTTAACATACTCCCACTTGACCCTACACATCATGCAGCCGAGTCTGAAACTCTTCTTGACTTAATCGTAGTATCAGATGTTGTAGACATTGTACATCATGGGCAGCTTCCAGTTCCAGCAGTATCCAAGCATGATCTCATATTTTGTGTGTATTCAGTTAAGGCACCTAAACCCAAGACTAAATTTATAAAATATAGGGATTTTAAGAATATGAATGAAGTTGAGTTTATGTCAGATATTCAGAAAACACCATGGCACTTAATAGAAAATTCTCAATCTCTTGATGAAATGTTAAATGAACTAAACAGCAAAATTATAAATCTGTTTGACAAACATGTTCCAATTGTTTCAAAACGTTTGACCAAAAAACAACCAGTGCCTTGGATTACCCCTGAAATACGTAGCTTGATGGCTGAGCGCGACTGTCTTTCCAGGAGAGCAAAACGTTCCCGGAATCAAGAAGAAATGGAACAGTATCGTTATTTTCGAAATAGAGTTAAACAACTTTTGCGGAATTCAAAATTACGACATATTCGTATGCTTTTTGAAAACAATAACCAACCATCTAGAGTTTTATGGCGTAACGTAAAAAGTCTTGGGCTTGGGAAACAACCTGAAGCACAGAGAGTCAATATTCCTCTGAATGAATTAAACTCTTTCTTCTCTTCCTTTGGTCAAAGCATCAATCAACAACAAGTTGAAAGTTATATAACGGAGTAAAGAAACTCCCCTGTACAAGAATTAGGATACCCCAAGTTCACTTTCAAACCTGTACTGCAGTCTGATGTTCTGAAATCTATTCGACGTATTCGCAGTAATGCTATTGGATCTGATGGCATTCCAATTCGCTTCATTAAGGACATTCTCTTTGCTATACTCCCCACTATCACCTGCATTTTCAACACATCTCTAAGGCAAAGCATATTCCCGATTTCTTGGAAGTCTGCCCTAATTCGTCCCTTAAATAAGATTCCAGCACCTGCTTCTTGCCAGGATTTCAGGCCGATCAGTATATTGCCCGCATTATCTAAAGGCCTTGAAAGAATCGTGCACTGCCAAATCACTGAGTTTCTGACTGAAAACAATATCTTATGCAACTCACAGTCTGGCTTTCGAGCAGCTCACAGTACAGAAACAGCACTCCTACGTGTGACGGACGACATTAGACTAGCAATGGAACATCGGCAGGGTACGATTCTTACCCTATTTGATTTTTCTAAAGCCTTTGACTGTGTAAATCATAAGCTCCTTTTGGAAAATCTAAGGGCCATAGGGTTTTCAAATGGTGTATTGGACTGGCTGGGATCCTATCTGTCAGACAGGCGGCAGTGTGTTGAGGTTGATGACTTACGATCTGACTGGGAGACAGTTACTAGTGGTGTACCTCAGGGGTCCATCCTTGGTCCTCTGTTGTTCGTACTATACATAAATGACTTGAGCTCAGTCCTCACACACTGTAAATACCACATGTATGCTGACGACTTACAGATTTATACACATTTTTCACCCAAACAGATCAACGAAAGTGTTCTGAGAGTGAACGAAGATATTGAGAAAATCATTACTTGGACTAACAAACACGGACTCAGACTTAACCACGAAAAAACTAAACCGATCATAATTTGTCATCCACGTTTATGGAACTCTATTGACTTTCTGACGACGAATCCAATAACTATAAATGGAACAGATTTGCTTTACAATGACAAGGTCAAAAACTTAGGGCTTACTATCAACTCGACACTTACTTGGGGCGATGCGGTAGTAGACATCCGTAAAAAGGTGTTTGCATCAATCCACTCACTTAAAAAGTTACAGAATTTCTTGCCTTTGCACATAAAGTTACACCTGGTTAAATCACTTGTTTTTCCCCACTTCACTTACTGCAGCTCTGTGATCAATGACATGACTGTAAACCTCGCTGATGCTCTCCAACGCGCTCAGAACTACTGCCTAAGATTCATTTATGATCTAAGACGCAGTGAGCGCATCACACCTTTCTACATTCATTCTAAGTTATTAAAGCTATGTGACCTGAGATCAATCAAAATTCTTTCGCTAACCTATTCAATATTAAAAACAATTTTCCAAAATATTTTGTAGATGATTTTAGGTTTGTAGCTGAAGAAAGTGTCAGATACTCACGCCATGCATCATTAACTTTGCGTATGCCTCACCATAGGACCGCAGTTTACGACAGAGCGTTTATTGTAACTGCTTGCCGTCTTTGGAACGATCTTCCTTTAGCTGTTAAATCCCTCGATAGTCGTTCCCGGTTTGTGGCAGCGCTAAAAAATCTCTATTTTGAACGTATGGCCATGGTAGGTTTGTCGTAGGGGCCTGTGCGCATGGCGGTCGCTGACTTGTATGTTTGTGTGAGTGAGTGTGTGTGTGTAAGTATTTTTTAAATTTACTGATTTTTGATAAAAGTTTCTGTATCTGAGTTTTGGTAGATTTCTGTTTTGTTTTATTGTATAAGCTGATTATGTTAAAATATTTATATTATGTTTTAAAGTACAGGTTAAGTGTAAGAAAGGGCCATGTGGCCCTAACGTTGCCTGTATAAATAAATGATTTTTCATTTCATTTTTTTTTCAGTCAGCCAAGTGTTTAAGGGGGGCGCCAGACAGCTAAGACTTAAAGTTGGGACCGGGGGCGTAAAAGCCCTATCTAAAGGCCCTAATAAAATTGATTTAGGCCAGGTGATTAACAGAGTTAATTTAGAAAGTACGTATATTATCGTTCGGTTTTTTGATATTTTAGGTTATGTCTACTTTTGATTTAATACAATCATGTTTAATAAAATGTAAATCAAAAAGTTTTACATTCCTTGAACAACCGATTTGTTACTATATTTAAGTGCAGCACGACACGGACGGGCGGCCGACATGACATTTGTCTAACATTGAACATAAGGTGAAAAATCGCAGGTTGTCCGTTGCCGGCGTCCCTGGGACGGCCGGCATTTTCCACCATATGTTCAATATTAAATAATTCCGTGACGGCTGCCCGTCCGTGCGGTGCCACCCTAGTACGAATGAAGCTTTATAAGGCCGTACCGTGAACTTTGTTTTAAACAAAGTCTGTACCTTCTGTATCAATACTCAACCAGAATTAATAGTGCCTATGACTATGACATATTGTTTAGCTCTTAAATTTAAAATATTATCTCAAAGTCAAGATTTGCAGTTTTAAAAGTTCCTAATCAAACCATGCATTAATTTATGATCAGTTTTCTTTTGTTTTTAAATAAACTGAATAGTAGTAAAGTAATAGTAGTATCTTTGGCCATTTTTAATATTTTGAATTAGGTATTAGTATTGAACATATACTTTGAAATTTTGAAAGTGGTGGCAGAGGGGAGTGGTAGTTGTAGGGTGGAGGGGGGGGGCGCGAAAAAATGTCAGCCTACTGGCGACTAGACCCTTAATCAGGTCCTGTCTACAACCAAAACCACCTTGTCTGAGATTAAAGATGGTCAAATGCCATTAGCGGCCACAATGGCCATTGCATCCTTTGCAAACCTTTTTGTTACACAAAGAACATATGATAACTCTTACCTGTCCAACAGATCTTGTGACTTGGACACAATGTTCTGGAACAACTGTTTGATGCTCTGCAGATAGATGTTAAGACTCTTGTCTTGTGTCTGGTCAACCAGTTGCTGTGCCTTATCACAGACTGACTCTACCAGTTGCTGGTGTGACGTGATCTCCTGATGCATTATCTTGTGATTCTACAACAAGAACCATGTCAGAAAATTTAAAAAAAATTATTTTTAGAATGATTATCTTTCATTTTGAAGAAATATATAAGTCGTTGAATGGGGGGACTACCTTTGACTATTAATACAACTAAACTTACGATCCCCATGTTAAGGTCGTCGCCAGTTTTTAAATCAAAATCGTAGTTGTTAATGTGAGTTACTAGATTGTGTAAATTACTGATTTATGTTGGATACACAAACTTTTTTTCAAAGTCAAACTGATGAATGACTTATTCTGAGCTACAGCAACTGTTCTGACCCATAAACTATGTAAGCAACAAAAAATATGGTAGAGATAATAGTATTTTAGACACTAGCGCATTCTGTGACTGGTTCACTTTTATATATTCTTTTGAAATTCAAAATTTACGTCAGCTGATCCATATAGATGGGATGTCTGCTTCAGTATAGTAGTCAATGCTGCTACTTAAGTTCTGAAAGAAAGAGAGGCTTGAAGAAAGGGATGAAGAAATCAGATGATGATGTTTAAATTTCCGTTTAAAGTGTCCTAGGGGTGCATTAAAGAGGTACAAGGTTAAGTTAACATTGTTTAATACAACTAACTTATCAATTTTTCCACAACATATTTTATGGAGAAGTTGTCAAATTTCTAGACTGGAAACGCTTAATTTAGACTTTGAGAGATATTTTATTGAGTGCATGGAAAACACTCTCCCAAAATCAGAAAGGAGTCCATATTTCTACCCAAACTGCTACACTGGAAGTGTTAATCATCCGACTCACTCTGACTTCATGATGGATTGGGCTCTGAATCATCGGAATTGACAAACAAAACTTTAATGTGACGTGAGTTGTGGCTGGAACAAGTTTCAACTACAGCAAGATTATGCTCCATTTTCCAAACCAGTTGGTTAAGTTCTGGGTCTGTAGTAGGAGAAGTTTTACATTACAGCAGATGGTAAATTACAGCTTTTGGTTTCAATTCAAAAGCAACACAGGAAACCTTATTTTTTACTCTGATTACTTCTCAGTTCTCACTGTGGAAAAGGTGTGTCTTTCGATTTTCACAGTAATTAAAACGTCAAAACATGGTGCATAAAAATGTACTCCTATTCTCTAACATGCACGAAATCCAAAAATGTCTCCAGAGCAATTAACTGTAGCCTACTATATATGTACCTGCAGTTGAGCCCTCTTCTCCTGCAAGGTACCCTTGAGTTCGGTGTGTTGTTGCATCGCCTTCTCCACACCCTTGAGCCACTTAGTGAGCTGCTCCTGGGCCAAGGTGAACTCAGCAAACTGCAGCAGACATTGGTCTAGACGGAGAGTGCCAGCCTGCAACTCCTCAGAGAACCCATCCCACAACGTCCTCAGTGTCCTGGGCATCAGGTGTAAAGTATTATTGGAGTAAATAAAGAATACAGGCTCAAATAGCGTCAGGCAGAACTAAAGTGCAAAATAATCTATGTTTAAAAAAATGAACAATAATATATTTTAGTGAATGTCCCTAAGGAGGAGTAGTCATCTCCATAAAAACCCAATGAGTTTTTAATGGGTCTTTGTAAGCCAAGACTACTGTTTTTCTGTTGTCACCTTACCCAAATTACCCTGATCAGTTGTTTATTTTGATTTTTTACTGAGGATAATTATTTTGTAATGTAAGCCCAATAATAAAAATACTTGGGTCCTGTATCAAACCATAAGGGTTTTCTCAGGTTTGAACCAGTAACATTCTCATTGCAAAGTCAGCACATAAAACTAATAACTGCTCGCCTCACAGCTATTTTAGTAGACAAAACAACAAATCTACTAGTCCTGATAAATGTAACATTTTTCACCACAGTAATGAGTTGCTGAACTAATTTGAAATTGAAAATAATACACCCACTCAGCAATACTGTTCAAGAGTAGGCCTATAATATTGTTTAACTACCATACCTACACACATGTGACCCTTAGTTACGTAAAAACAAAACCTAGCATCACTGAAAGTTTAGAATCAAAGAAAAATATTTAAGAAATACTAACAATAACTCTAGATTATCTTTATAGGGGTTATCCGCCTACCTGAGTTGTTGCCGTATGATTTCTCGTCCGTCAGGGGAAGTGTGGGCGTAGAGTTTCTCTCCTTTCTCCATAAGACCGTCAAATACTGCGCTCTCACGAGACTTTACATCCGCCAACTCTCTCAGCTTCTTCTGCCTCTCCTGGAACAAAGCGCAGTTAAGGGTTAGTAAATTCCACAGTATTAGTCTAGATAAAACTTCGAATGGAATGAATGTATTTTTTTAAAGTCTTGAAAATGTACAGTTTTTATCTACATGAGAGTGCAAAGAGGAAGTGATCCATCCAATTCTAAGACTATAAATTTGATTCAGGGACACAATTTCAACTGCTAACCACTATCACTATTAAGTCTGATCTAAGATTCTAAGAAGGGTTGTGTTGTTAGCCTTGTGGTTAGCATCTCGGACTTCGGTGCGGGAGGGACGGGTTCAATCCCCGGCACATCCACAAAACTTTAATGGGTTTGGACCGCTTTCCCTTAAAAGTGTTTGAAATTACCTCATTACAAAAATGCCACTGGCGTAGATACGAGCAAAAAAAAAGATAAAAGTAGCAAAGTTGGACTGGGACAGTGGCATCGTCCTGTTAATCCAGCTACTTGGAAGTCACAAATTGTGGATATTTATAGGCAAGCACTGTGGATGCAATACTCCCTGATGTTGATTAACGTCAACACTAGTGAGTACTATCAGCAGTGTTATCCTTATAATTTAACCGATTCGTTAATTACATTGCAAAACTGTGGTTCGGATTCCTCCACTATTAACAGTAGGTCCCTTAGTTGCCATTGGCTGTATGGGCTATTAATTAACAGTTGTGTCTAAAGAACATGTCAGGCTTAGGGCCTTTTCACACAGAGCCACAGATAGCTGCTATGGCTATCTCTAAGTTTGTATAAAAAATTAACTAAGTTCAGACGATGTTATTGTTTGGACTTGTAAAATAATGTGAGAAGAGAGTAGGGCCTATCCCTAGAAAAACTCAATTGATGGTATTGGAGGGAAAAAAACTAGGAGAAAGTTTTACAATGGGTGTATGGTTGAGTTATAAAGGGATGAGGAAAAAGAGTGAAGTGCGGCGACAGCAGGCAGAGTAATGCTAGAGGGATAGGAGAAGATTAAGAGGCCGATGTAGGATATAACTGGAATAAAAGATTACATGTTTGAATATAACACCACAACCATAATAAAAGTATTCTACTCTACACTTGAGCTACCTGCAGCACTGCCAGGTCCCCGACAATCTCGCTGTGTTGTTTCACCTCCGCTTGTCTTTCACCGAGCCACTGTTGGAACTCTGCGTTGCTGCTGTTGAAAGCTGCATGTTCCTTGACAAACTGATCATACCGGGACACAGCCTCCTACCACACAATGTAAATGTTAAATACTTTCTTATGGTTGTAGGATTTGTTGTATGAGGAACAAAATACAAGAAACCCTATTCAAGACAAATTTACATGCAAGTTTTACAAGATATATCAAATATCCGTTTAGTTATAGAAACAGCACAATGTTTTTGAGGAAGCATTGGAAAAAGGCTAAGTGTGCAACAAAATTAAAAATAAAATTGATTACGATGGATGAGATGCCTTGAGTAGCTTTGTTGTTATACTAGCAGTTTATTTAGCCAGGATCATTTGTTAAAAACCCAATGATTGAGGCAAGCTAGGTTCAATTTTGCAACATTAAAAGGCTACTGGCTTTTACCAGGATCAAACCAGCCAACTAGAAATTAGTAGGTTGTCATGATTCAAGTTGTTATTGTTATATAAACACAAAATAGCACTTGTAGCTAACCATAACATTTTTGTAATTCAACACGGCAGATTTTACATTGTTTTTAGAATTAAGTAAGCAGTCTTTTACCTGTATAGTTTGAATCATTATTTAATAGTTATCAAATCAACGTAATAAATTAAATAATATCCACTTCATATCTCACCTTTGTTTGGTTCCGCAATGTTTGGTATCTAGTTGTAATCTTTGATACTTTTTCAACTAATTCACCACCAGCATCAGTGACTTCAGAATGCAGGGCAGAAAAGTCGTCAGATTTTTTAATGATTTCTTCTTCTAGATTTCGCAGTCGATCTAAATGCTGCTGCTTGGCTTCCTGTGTACTTCTTAGGCTCTGGTCTTTTACTTGGCTTTCTTTTTGTTTCAACCAAGCATTAATTTCTTCAAGTTTCTCTTCAAACTGTGTCCATCTGCTGCACAATTGTCTCAGCTTGTTCAAATTTTCATTACACCTGTTGATAAATGAATTCCAGTTGTTCTTTTGCTCTTCAAGCTCGCCAATCAAAAAGGCATGACCAGGTTTAGAAGTCTGTTGTACAACAGCTTTTAACCTCCCATCACAGTCGCTGAGAAGTTTGTCACCTTCTTCCTTCTGAAGGAGTAAATCTTCCAAAATTCCCAACTGAGCATTAGTTCCGTCTTTTTCAGACTTTGCTTCTTCAGCAACAAGTATATTCATAAAATCTCTGAATTTTTCAAGTGCTTGAACATAAGCTTCGTGATCAACCACATGTTTTTCAGAAAGAGACACTCTGTCATCCACTTTTTTCAATACTTTTTCATATTTACTCATGATGTCATCAAACTTTCCACTTGCTTCTGAATCAGAAAGAGCAGCAATTTTTTCTTTTAATTGTTTGAAAATGGCTTGATGGGAGTTAATATCCTGTGCTAGAGTCCTGTAGTTATGCAGGGTTATTTTTTTGTCTGGCAGAGTAGACTTCAACTCATGTTTTTCGCCAATTTTTTTATCAACATCTGAGAGCCACTGTGTTACTTGGCTGTAGCTGTCATCAAAGGAAGACCGTTGCATCAGCAAACCTTCAATCTTCTTTGTGATGGCATTGGCTTTGTCAATGAGAGTTTCTGAGGAATCACGCAAGCTACGCAGTTGCGCTCTTACAGTATCTCTGTTGGCTGGTGTTATATCAGGGAATAAAGCTTCTCCTTGCTCCACTGCCTTATTCAGCAGAACCTGTCCTGCCTCTCTATGCTCTGTGAAAACCTTCAACTCATCCAATTTTTCTTGATAAAGAGAGGGTTTGGCACCAGCTTTGATCGCCTCATCAAAGTTTGTGAGCTTTGAATTGGCTTCTTCTAACCAGGTCTCTGATTTCTTAATGGCGTTGTTGTAAAGCCCATGATTTTTGTCAAGTGTCTGAAGTTTTTCTATGAATCCATCAGCAAACTTCCTGACAGCCTGATATCTTGTTGCCAACTGACCAACAAAGTGACCAACTCTGGATTCAGGGCATTGCTTCATCATCAAATTACCTAGTTTTTCAACTTCTTTGAGCTCAGGTTCTTTCTTCTCTATGTCACCTCTAAATGTTACCATTTCTTTCACTTTGACAGGAACAACTGATAGATCTGTCTGTGAGCTGCCTTCTGTTCTTACTTGTGCCTCTATATCTTTTAGCCAAGATGAAAAGTTTTCAGATTTCACATCATAGTTTTGCCACAGATCCAAACTACTGTCTAATGTATTCTTTGTCTCAGTATAACTAGCTTTCAATGCTGCAAGATCTTTTTCTAATTGCTCTCTTTCTTCTTTTAACTCTTGAATATTAACATCGTCTTCAATTTTCATTAGCATATCAAAGGAGGCATCAAGATCCTTTTTCTTCTGTTCACAATCATTTATTCCTGCCTCAAGATCTTGTAGGGACACTATCTTTGCTTCTAGATTGTACCTATCACTACCTGGTTCTGGTCGGCACCATAATACTTTTTCTTTGTAGGTCGCTATGCCTCTCTGTAAAGCTGACAACTTTTCTTTGTGATACTTTACAAGGAATGTTAGAAGAGTTTTTTCCACTTTATCTGCATGAGTGGTTACACCAGAATATCTTTTGTTCAAGCTGTTAGTTTCTTTTACAATAGGAGAATCGATAAACGATGGATAGTTACTTTTTAAACTGTCCACAGAGCTATTAATAGTATCTACATCAGATTTCAAGGATTTTAATTCTGATTTCAACCCTTGGCATGTTTTTAGTCTTTGTAAAATTTTGTTATTTTCTCCAGTCAAATTGTCACATTTCATAAGCTTCTCTCGAATTTGTCCCACTTTGTCTCCGGCAACTTTAATTTTATCTTTCACAGCTTTCTCACTCTCTCCCAAAGTGTTTGTAATATCTTCAAGTTTCTTTGCAAGCTCAGCAAGGTCATTGAACTCTTCCTCTAACAACTTGTCGAGCGATTCCAAAGTAGGGATGGATTTTCCACCATGAATCTTTATCAGCTGAGCAGTTTTTGTTTTGATGTTTGCACTCAAAGTAAGTTTTGCTGGTAGATCATTTTTATAAGCCGCAAGTCGAGTCTTACCCATCTCACTATCAGCAACATTTTCAGCAGCATCAGTTAGCGCAGCATTTGTTTCACCGATCCATTGCAGCAAGTCATTTTTGGCCTCATCGATGTGTTTCCAAATAACCATTTCAGCTTCTGCAGATTGCAATTGCTTACTAACATCATCTTGAGCTTTCTTCCAATCATTGTGAGCACTCTCCACTTGATTATTGATGTCTCTCAAGTCAAAAGATTCAAGCTTCTTCACTTGTTTAGCAATATCTGCAGCCTTGGTGTCCATCTGATCTAAAGAAGATTTGGCTTTCTTCAGAGTATCCAATGATTTCTTGCATTTTTCATATGCTATAGTCGCTTGAGTCAAGTCGTTGACATTCTCTTCTTCTGGTTTTGGTTTGGTTTCCGCGGATTTGATAGCGTTGTAAAGCTTATCTTTGGCTTGATTAAACTTTTGTAAAGAAGACACAATGTTCGATAGCAGTGCTCTATTGTTTTTCACTATTTCATTGACCTTATCCCAGTTGGCATCAATTGAAGCGAGGATGATTTGTATTGTGTTGACATTGGACTCATCTTCAGCCATGAGAGATTTTCCTTCTGCAGCCAAACCATCCTTGGCAGTTCTGGTGGTGTTGTGAGCTTCCCATAGAACATCCAGCTCCTTGATTGCCGAAGGTAGTTTTTGACAAGTATCAGCATTGAACACAATTTCTTGCACTCTTCCTTGAGTTGCCAACAGATTTTCTGACATTTTATGTTGGTTTGTTTGGAAGTCCTCCCACTGTTTCCCAATTTTTGCTTGGAACTGTTTTTTAGCTGTCAGTTGTGCCCTGCAAAAATAAATCAAGCATAAGGATGACATGAATAGGATCTCTATAAATGGTAAAATCACACTTGCTGACAGTTTTTTTTAAACATATAACAACTAACAAGAGTATGTATTTGCTTGGGTAGTCTACATAAATTTATTTGGTTTATTTTAATTTTGAATCAAGTACATTTGAGTTACATTCGTAAGCAGTGCTCGATTTGTGACAGAACGCGGCAGAACGGCATTCCGGTACCTTTTTTTCGTAAAGATAAAATATTGGCACAAACAGGTACCTATAAATACAGCTCCGAGACCTCATGTTTTACAAATCGAGCATTGGTAGTAAGTAAATTTCCAATTATAGTAGTAGGATTGAGGAATAAAACAAGTTTATGAATGATAAAACAGAGATAAATTAAATTTATGAGAATATGAGTACAAAATAAGACAGAACAGGATCAGACAGAAACAGATGAGACAAAAGTGTGTCTGTCACTTAAGCCCCGTGTACACGAGGCTAGTATTAGCAGCTAGTTGATTAGCGCTAATAAATTCGCTCCGTGTAAACGGTCTATTAGCGTAAAAAATTACTAGCGCGCTAGCATTTTACTCCCTGCTAGTCGTTTTGAACATGTTTGATAATACTAGCGCTAATAAGTGGAGGGAGTCCACTAGCGCTAGCGAATTAGCGCGGTACTAGCGGCGTATTTGCACTTCTGCTAGTGCTAATCGCCACTTGCCATACTCCAGTGATGATAGTGCATCAGTTGTTGTTTGTCTGACAAGTAGAATTGTTTGTTAGTTTGTTAAAATGAGTGGACTTAAGTGGAGTGATTAGTTCCAAAACAGTTCTTTAAAGCATTCATTCTCAAAAACTTAAAGTACTCTATAGGGTCTTCCAATGCCAGTTCTCTTAAAAGAGTATTGGAGGCACCAAGAAGTTCTCGCCTCCTAATCTACTTCCCACCCACTTCCCAGGGAACACCCCACTAGGCAACTCAACAGGACAACACGTGATACCCTGGAATAGGAAATCACCTAGAGACATTGCTTTGGCTAGAAGATTTTCGAGTAAGCTGTTCAAGCCGGAGGTCGTGAAGTGGGCTGTCGATTCATTCAGCGCTTTCAAGTCTCCAGGCGGGGACGGAATATTCCCAGCTCTCATCCAAGAAGGACTAGAGGTCCTTTTAAATCATATGATAGCTCTGTTCAGGGGCAGCTTTGCCCTAGGTTACATCCCAATTTGTTGGAGGAAATCAAGGGTGGCGTTTCTGCTGAAAAAAGGTAGAGACCAGGCCCAGCCTAAATCCTACAGGCCAATTTGCCTGTCGTCTTTCATGCTAAAGACTATGGAAAAAGTGATAAACCGCCACATTAGGGATGCATATTTAGTTATCAACCCCCTAAGTGCGAGCCAACATGCGTTCATGAAGGGCAAATCTACAACGACGGCCCTAAGCACCCTAGTGGCAAAGATCGAGGAAACCCTAGAACACCAGGAGATTATGGCAGGGGTCTTCATGGACATACAGGGTGCCTTTGACAACGTGAGTTACAAATCTATAGAGGCTGCAGTCAGAAGCAGGGGCATCTCCCCCGACGTAGCAGCTTGGATAAATGCCCTGCTCAAGAGCAGGGTGGTGACGGCAGAATTGGGAGGCTACTCGACAGCTATCATTGCTCGGCAGGGTTGCCCTCAAGGAGGGGTTATCTCACCCCTGCTGTGGGCTCTTGTGGTGGATGATCTACTGAGAGAGGCTGACAGGAGAGACATAGACCTCCAAGCCTTTGCAGACGACCTAGTGCTGACTGTCAGAGGCAAACACGCAGCCACAGTGAACAACCTTACCCAGACAGCCGTTAGCTTCATTGAGGGGTGGTGCTCCAAAGAGGGGCTCACAATTAACCCTGACAAAACAGAGCTAATCTCCTTTACGAGAAGGAGAACTAACCTAACAGCCCCAAAAATTCAGGGGAAAAGTGTAAAACTTGTGAAGGAAACAAAATACCTTGGAGTTTACCTCGACCAGAAACTGACCTGGAGCAGGCACTTTGACTATGTACTCGCAAAAGGTACAGGTGCTTTTGGTGCTTGCAGAAGAACCTTTGGCAAGAAATGGGGACTCAGTCCCAAACTCACACATTGGACCTATGAAGCCATAGTCAAACCAATGGTTACATATGCAGCCTTAGTATGGTGGCCTAAGGCAGAGCAGACAGTAGCTGGCAGGAAACTGCAGCAGCTGCAAAGGCTAGCGTGCTCGGGGATCTGTGGAACCATGAAATCCTGTCCCACAGCTGCAATGGAGGCAATACTCGACATGCTCCCACTAGGGCTGGAAGTTAAGAAATGCGCAGCCATATCTGCACTAAAAATGGGCAGCAGAGGTGAGCTGAATCTACAGAGGCAGTCTGGCCACCTGTCCATCCTGAGGGGATTCCCAAGCATGGACATGGAACTAGGCACACCAGACCTCATGACAAAGGAATACGACTTCGAGATTCCTTACCAAGTTGCAATAGGGGGAAGAGACAACTGGCAACAGTGCAACTTCAGCAATGACAGAGCATGCTTGGTCTATTACACCGATGGAAGTCGGAAGGATGAGAGATCAGGGCTGGGAGTGTATGGTAACAAAACCAAAATATCTCTGGCCTTGGGCAGAACAACAACAGTTTTTCAATCAGAGGTCCTGGCGATTGAGTGCTGTGCTAATAATATTATTAGCAAGAATCTAAGAAAGGGTAAAATCCTTATTCTCTCTGACAGCCAGGCAGCACTGAAGGCGCTGGGGTCATGTGTGACACAGTCACGAACAGTAAAAGGGTGTAAAAACACCCTCAAAAAGTTAGCAGAGCGAAACCAAGTCAAATTGTCTTGGGTTCCTGGACATTCGGGGCATGAGGGGAACGAAAAAGCCGATGCATTGGCCAGGAAGGGTGCGGAAGACCAACTGTCAGGACCAGAACCCTACTGTGGTACCCCCATAAGCTCAGGAGTAGCCAAAGTCCAAGACTGGGTCAAGGTTCAAAAGGCTCTGGCCTGGATGAACCACCCAGGTATGAGGACGTCCAAATTACTAATCGACCCCACTGATAAAGGCTGGAAAGACTTGCTGAGCCTTAAGAAAGGGGACATTAGTCTGCTAGTAGGAGTGTTAACAGGACACGGTCCTATCAGGAAACATCTCAGGACCATAGGGAGGTCACAAACAGACCTCTGCAGGTTCTGTGAGAACGAGGTAGAAACCTCAGAACATTTATGGCTGGACTGTCCAGCGTTGGCCCATAGAAGGCTTATATCTCTGGGGAGGTTATTCCTGGAACCAACAGAGATAAGGAAGCTGGGTGTCTTTCAGCTCCTGGGCTACTTGAGGAGCCTAGGGCTGTCAGAATGAATTAAAGGGTGCTACAAAAGGTCTCCAGGCCGAAGTAGCCAGGGGTATGCCATTACCCCAGCCCCCCCAAAAAAAAAAAAAAAAAAAAAATCTACTTTCGAACCCACACAGATCGTCTCTTTTTATTAAGTTCATGTTCACACAACTCTTGTACACCAATTCTTAAAATTTGTCTCAAAACATTTCAATTTAAAGGCCATGTCACACCGACATCCGCCGCTCCCGTCGCGGGAGTACCGTGCGGGGATGTTTTTCCTCGAGCCATGTCACACCAAAAGTTTGCGTCCGCGGCGGGAGTTTTGAGATTATTTCATTACAATTCGTTTTACATAAGAAACACATCTACCTGTTGGGTATGACATGTAAGTTTTTTGGTTTTTAAAGTAGTAAAGTGTTTTAAGAAGCATTGAATGCGTTTATTTATTTGTTAGCGTACATTAAAAAGTGATCTGTAATTATTTTTTTTTATTTTTTTATATGAATTGGACCCTATGTTGGAAGTTCAACAATTTTAAATATGGTTGAGGATAAATTATCCACTTTCAGTATTTTGATCGTTATTTTTTGCTACACTATAAAGACTACTTACTTTTTAAATAAAAACATTGGGCCATTTTAAAACTAATGTAATTTTCTTGCTAAACCTTATATTTAAAAGTTCAAGTTTACATTCATTGTACAGTTTTGGTCGTTGCAAGTTGAAACCTTTGATGAAACAAAAAAAATATTTGTTTACGTCGACAATATAAATAATTTGATAGTAAACAATACATTTTTACTGAAAACATTATTTTTGCATGTTGAACAAAATTCATTTTTTCTTGTGATTAACATTCTACCAAGATAATACAAAACAACATACATCGTCAAACAAAAGAAACATATTAAATTTACTTTCAAACTGTATTAATCTGTATTACTTTTAAACTTTATAGCTTGGCCATTCGAGATGACCCTTTGCGCATGTGGCAGACAAAACTCCCGGTGTGACTTGGCACATTTGATAACATCGTGAGCGATTTTTCATAATTCACTCCCGCCACGGAAGCGAGCTCGGTGTGACATGGCCTTAAGGGAACAAAATACATTTTGTGCTAAACTGAAATGACTATTGCGACCAATGAACTTTTCACTTCTACATGACTAGCGCTAATAATAAGCCCTATTAACTAGCCACGTGTAAATGGGAATTTTCGCGCTAGTGTGCCCAGCTAGTGCTAATAGCGAATATTAGCTGTTAGTAAACTAGCTACGTGTACACGGGGCTTTAACAACAATTGAATTAATTAAAACGGCAATTGATTTAGTTAGGTAATGTATCAAGATAAACTATGGATGAAGGAAGTAGGGTTATCTTTGTGGGAAAATGTCCGCAAGAATCTTTCAAATAACAAGCTTGTTTACCTGAGCCTGTCCAGCCTAGTGGCCACTTCGTGTACTGTAGAGCGAGCACTCTTGCCTGTCACCTCCGTTGCAGATTGTTCACACAGCAAGTCGACACCTCGTGCTGTGTTACCCCACGTCTCCACCTCACTTGACAACTTGGCTAGTTCTGCCTCCACCTGTATTGGGAAACACATTATGTAAATCAATTGATTGAGAAGTGCTATTTACAAAGGTTTTGTCTTATAATTTAAACTGACTCGAGGTTGTATTTATTATTTGTCTCTAAATTTAAGTTGAAATTGCTGACTGAAGTAATTCAGAAAGTTTCCAAAATACTGAATTGAGTAAAAAATTTGTATCTTTACTGTTACACTAAAACACATTGGAACAGTCTAACCTTTTTGTATTTGGGTTTTAAAGTTCTTAAAGTCTTTTGAAAGACTTGAGAGTCAAACACTTGTAGCAGATTTGTATTGGAGTCTATGTCTACTGAATAAATATGCCCTAATTATGTAATGTCATTAACCTGCCTTTGAGGTCCCTAAGGTTTCGTAATAATTGAGGGTGACTTACCTGGTCCAGAGGCTCATTGGAGTCTAACTGATAATGCAGATGATCTATCTGTTCCAAAACTCCCTTGCTCCAATCTCTCAACTCCCTCCACTTCTCCAGGGCTTGTCTCTTGCTTTGTAGCTTGTCTTCTAGGTCCTACAGTCAAAAGGTACATTTAACAACATTTAAACTCGATTCTATACAAGACAAGACACAAATTACATAGTTTTTAAATAACTTTTAAAGTCAATGCACCAACCACTGTCTCATGTAACCTTCTCTCATTACTGCTTTGAAGTAAACATCACAAGTCTGGGGATAAATTTGAATTGGCTTGTGATTTTTGCCAACAATATTTGATCACAGACCGCACCTTACCACTTAAAAGTATCGAAACCAAATGAATGAAATCAGGAACCTACCATCATTACTTGAATATTTTAAAAATTGTTTATGATTTTTGTGGATATCACTAGTACAGTTTGAAATTACAGTGTTCATCCTAACACTCCGCTGCAGACAAACTACAAGAAATACAGGGTGCGGCAAAAAAACCGATCCATTTTCTGCAGCGCACTGTTCAGCGACAGGTCATCTGAGGGTGGTGGGAGTATGCTCTTTAGAAAATCTATGCAATACCATTTTATGTAGTTATAGAGCAGTGGTCGTATGAGCTACGTGTGGTTGTTATCGAATCGTTTTTAAAAGTAATGATTTAGGCCCGATTTCACCAAACTTTTAAACCGCCGTTAAGCCTTGCTCTAACTGCAGTTAGCTCTTAACTGACGAAATCGGATTTCACCACTCGCCGTTAGCCCTAGTTTAGACTAAACCGTCGTTAGATAATTAACTGCCCAATTTTGACCGGTTAACTTCTTTAATCTTTCGTTAAGTAAGTATCAGCTGTCTTTAAGTTTAAAGTTTATATGGAAAGGCGAAATGGTAGGAGAGAATACGGTACGAATTAGCTTTTGAAAGTTAGTGATGGCAATGAAGAGTAGCCTATGTTATTCGCCTAACTAGGTGGATAAGAGAAAGGGTTAATGATTTTAATAACAAAGATGAAATTGATTTTATTATTAGATATGAACTATCAAAACGTTTAGCCTTTTTCTTTAGGAAATGAATACAAACTCCTGTAGTGGTTTGTGTTTAGGTTATCCCACGTAGTGCATTGCTTTAGGTTATCCTACAAGGTTTTTAGTTAAGGCGTCTATGAATCTATGACTAGTGACCGCATTGAACTGATTGGCGATCAAGAGCCGTACTCTTTTATCCCGGCTAAAAAGAGTGTCCCGGCTCTTCTACCAACATTATCAAATTTATTATTTCATTGTACGAAAAAATAGGCTCCCTTTCCTTCTCCCGGCTTTGGGTAACCCTAACCAACGTTCAAACAATTGTTTTGCGTTCGGTCAGACGTAAGTAAAGCAAAATCTAAACCTAAATTGTCATTATTCTGCTAGTATTTTATAGAAAATAATTATTTTGGTGCTATCTACATTGTGTCTCGTTCTTGTAATTCTTTTGACTCCAGTTTTTTTCACTACTTCAAATGTACCAAACTGGTTAGTGAACAAACAGAATATTGAACATCCCTGTAAAAAGTTGGATTGATGAGTCTTGACTCGACCGCAAAACTCAAGCAATTTGTTCCTCGAATATGTTTGATCAACATTGTTTTGCCTTTATTTACTTATGTTAATTGTTTTGGTATTTATTCTTGCTTTCTGTTGTTATTTTGCTCAGAATCTATTGTATTCCTGTAAGCTTGCTGTCTCCAGTTTTGTTTTCACTACCTCATAAACACTGATTTATTTTCTAGGTTATGTTTACTTGCTCCCGTAACAGCCCGGTATTATGACAGTTCACTGCCACTGCCACCTGGATTTTACTCTAAACTCTCGTTTATAAAACCAGCGTTAGTTTTGACGCGTTTTCGTTGGTGAAACCAGATTTCCTTAACTGTGGTTTAAATCATCGGTTAGTTTTAACCGAAGTTTAACTAAACCATCGTTAGCGAGAATTTGGTGAAATCGGGCCTTAGTCATTGCAATTCAGCGGCAGTTCCATGCTTTTATTCAATTAGGTCAACATAGAGAGGTTCCGTCGTGATTATCTGAATGGGCGATTACCAAATTATACAGATTATTATTCTAAACATTTATTATTCTAATCTAAACATGGAATTAACCTCAAAATTCGTATGACTTAGCAGTCAGACATGTTCAAGGCACCCGCTTGTTTTCGGGTGGGCCTACGAGGACTGTTTTCCACACACAGCAGCACGAACTCTATCGAATGTTTGTTGTGTGGCGTCCTTTGGAAGGCCTGTCAGCTTCCTTTTCAACGCAGAAGCCGTTGTCCTAAAGTAAGTAACCGACCACATTATTGTGCTACATAAGGGAACTTCTCCATGTAGCCTTAATTGAAAGTATGCATGAAACTTCCGTTGAGTAGCAATGAATGAATTCACTATTTTATAAAAACGACTCCATAACAACCTAATAATGCACTAGCTCCGGCGACCACTGCTCTATGACTACAAAAAATGGGATCGTGTGGGCTTTCCAACGAGCCTACCCCCACCACTCTCGGACGACCTGTCGCTGAACAGTGCTCTGCAGAAAATAGATCGTATTTTTGCCGCACCCTGTATAATGTGTATGTGACCGTAGCTGAATGTGTATGTGACCGTAGCTGAATGTGTACTGAGTTTAGGAGCATTCTGATGCGGCAATAGCCCTGCCCTAAATGATGCCGATGCAAATGTCAGTTACTTTCTGGACGAACTATCCCTCTCTAAGATGAATATATAAAACAACCATTATTCCAAACCACACGTACCCTGTATCTGGCTGCAATGACCGTGTACACCTGGTTGAGCCGCTCGGCCTCCTGAGCGTTGGCTCCGTTGGTGAGTCGCTTCACATTGTCGTAGATGGCCTGGAAGGCTGGCAGCTTCTCACAGTGCTCCTGTTGTAGTGCGTGGAGTGTCTGTACCCGAGCGTCTGCTTGGTCTGAGGGCACCACGTCGGCAGCCTCCGCAGTGTTGGTCTCCATGATGGTCAGCCACTCGCCGAACTTGTTCATGTAGGCGGTGAACTCTTGTCTGGAAATTAGATAAACAATATAGTTAGTAGTGCTGGCAATTTCAGGAGGAGTGAACAATGTATTTTTGAATTTCTTCATTTTTCCCATGATGGATTGGGTAATGGCATAACAAAAAAATAAAGATTTTTGTTACTTGCATTCCTGTTACAATCTCGTATGGTATGGTATGGTATGGTGGTGTGCTCGTATGGTGTGCATACATTGTATTTTGAACTAAAGCTGTTTGTGCTCTTGGAAATAGAAAAAATCTTTAGGTCAGAATGTCCGGCTGTGATTGTTCCCTCCTTATAAAAGTTTTCAATTGTTTTCAATTATAAAATTGACACATAACCCAAACAAAAAGTTTATTACATTTGTACTACAATATAACTTCCACTAGCACTGCGTCTTATGTTTAAAAGCCCCTGGTCGACCAGTATAAAATAAATTTTGTTAAGTGTTTATTGTGCTACAGTATGTGATTTGCTTATAATTAACACTTCTTCTCAAGTGAACTCTACCATGAATGATCAATAATAGCAAGACATTTGAACTAAATTATGTTTTCCATTTCTGACAACACGAAACAGTTGTAGTACCGTACATTCATAATGTAGTATAATTCATTGTGACAGCAGCACAAGTAACATAGCCTTTATTCATGTACTTATTGATTGTTCAAACCCCAACATATTCATAAAAAAAATCAGTTAAGTTATTTCAATGCTACAGATACATTTATTTTAAATTTAAATATATACCTTATTAGCCCGGTGGATTGTGACTTCAAATTAAATTAACCCTTGTAGATTTAGATTTTAAGGTGTATTATAGTGTTCAAGTATCTCTGTACGGCATTAAGCCAATTAATAAGATACCTACAACCATATAAAACATGAAATTCTACATTTTAATACCTAGCTGCCAAAGCATCGGCCAGAAGGTTGGCTCTCTGTCTGATTGCCTCGGACAGTTTTCCACTGTTACTCTTCAATTCTTGGATGCGATTCTTGAGAGCAGTTGCCCCTTCCAATGCGATGCTCTGAGATATCAAATCGGCGGTTTGACTCAATGAGGCCATGTCTGACTGGGCCGTTGATAGATCTTGACTCAGGCCCTGCACATGATTAGTTAAAATAAAAATGTAAAATACTGGTGAAAGAGTATTTAAAAAATGTTATTTGTAATAAAAAAGGGAATATAAAATTAGTGAATTTTTTTTTCAAAATAAAATATTTTCTATAAAAAAACATTTATCTGCATGTCCAAACCCTATCTAACAACTAATCCAATTACAACCCATTGACTTTAATTACTTTTCCATTTATAAAAAGTGCAAAAAAGTCCCGAAACAGTAAAATATTTCAAAAAATAATAAAGATGGAGCTACAAAACTTGGTAAATGTTACTGGGCATTAAAATAGTGTTAATACATTTAATTTAATTCAATGATTACGCTACCCCCTCAGGGGAAGGCAGCCTAGAAGACAGAAGAAAATCTCAAATGTAAGCATAGGGTGATATGCACGTCAAATTAAAGGTCATCAAATTGAGGCTGCATTTAGATGATGTTTAGTATAGCAACTATTAATGGAAGTTGACATCTGAATCCCATGTTAAGACTATAACCAGATTAAAATTTAAATTAATCTAATTGAATTGAGATTCTGACTGAGTGACCTGCTGTCAATTACTGAAGATATAAACATTTTAAACAAACCAAACTGAAACGATAACATTTATGTCACATATCAACAACTAATAGATCAAATACAATTTTACAGTGGAACGTCCTATGAGAGACTCGTTCTTCTGAATAAACTATTGGCTATAGATGTTCCATATAAATAAGATATTTACTTCAATATCCAAAAGTCAACGAGAGCTCTCAACTTATTAAGTGATTTACCTTCAACTTGTCTAGTTGTTTCTTCAACTCCTCTTCTGACAGAGAGTTGGGGCTGACGTCAGAGTTGAGAACTTCAGCAAACTCTGGTCTGTTAAGCCATAGCTCCATCTGATGTGCCGTGTCCTCCATCTCATCCCACAGGTTCACTAACCGATCCATCTGTCAAACCAAGTAAATATTAATATAGAAATATTTTTCCTGATAAAAGCCAGATAAATTTAAGACAAAACTTTGCATTGTTTTAAGACTGTCTATTTATTTTTATTTTTTATGATTTCTACGCTGACGACATTTGTTTACCTTTTGGAATACAACGGTCCAAACCCTGGTCTTGTTACTGTCTAAGGTCGACCTTTTTGTTAGATAGCTTTATTAATTCATAGCCCACTGACAAATGGCATCTAAGTCTGGAAAAGATCTCAGATGGAATCAAATCAGCGACCTTCATATTTGAAAGCGAGCACTACCCACTCAGCTACCCTGAGAGTTCAGTATATTTGTTTTCAGGTTGGAACTATACAATTTTTTTAACTTCGATTTTGTATGGTGATTTTATCCATAAAAACCCATAAAACAACGGAAAATCTGATCTTTACAAATACGACTCAAACATTTTTGTTTAAAATTCAGTATTTTATGGCCCTTTTAACAAAATGGTACAACCTCCATTGCTGTAAAAATTACAGTTCAAAACTGGTTGGAACTTTTGTGATTTTCCCCATAAAATATCATTGTTACTCCCACCGCTTATCCACGAAAAAGGTTGTTGACATTGACAAGCTAATGGGAGAAAGTATGTGTCAGATTGCTGTTATAGTCGATTAACAATCGATTAGACTTTAAACACAGCAAAATATCTATAGCCAGTATTCCTTATGACAGACCTAACCATGAATGGGACTTACACCCTGAGCATACAGTAAGTAGTAACCTTCCCGCACAACACTTTACACCAACCTTCTCAGCTCGCTGCCCCGCTGCTGTCTCTACAGCCTGACACCGACTGGCCAGAGCACTGGCAGTGTCTTGTGCCGAGGAAGGCGTCAGATCTCGACCTATGGTGTATAGCATCTCCACAATCTTGTGATGCTCAACACACTCCTCCACGAATATCTGCAAGTTTATAACAGATTTTTTATTTAATCATAATTCCAGTGTAGGTTTGTAAAAGATAAGACCTTAAGATAAAGCTTAAGGAAGCTTGAGGAGAAGGGCTTTAAGAGAAAGTGGTCTAAGCCCCGCAACAGCTCAACAGTTTGTAAACATCTAAAGGGTTGCTCTAATGGAAACTATATTGTTACTATGAGAAACACACTCATACAACACAAGAAATGCTAACAACTTTGCACTACCAATTCTATCATTGTGCCCTAACCGAAGAGAAACCCAATTATGTCGGAGCAAGCTTCTTCCAAACTACAATAAGAAAATGACAAAAGATAGACGCTTCAAGAACAAAACATAATAATGACTGTAAAAGAAAAACTACACCCTTAAAGAATTCTTTGACTAAAAAGCTTTAACATGAAAAAATGTGCAATGGTCTTACCTATAACAGCATTGTATTTCTTGGTTAAATTAAAGTTTCTTTGACTATGGCTGGATATTAATTATTAATATATCCACTCACCCTGACGACTCTGAGCAGCTCACGAGCGTCAGCCAGTGTCGCAGGTTTGCTTGTGCCCATGTTGATCTGCAACTCAGCCTTCTCCAGCCATGGCTTCAGCACATCAACCTGTTGCTGATACTCTCGCCACAACTGAGACTGCCTCTGCAATGCTGACCCTTGACCTTGCATCTGCTGCTTCAGCTCAGCCACTGACTGCTTCAGCACAGACAACTCTGCCTTCAACTGCTGAGCCTCTTCATCAGCCCCTCCTGTAGACATTAAAATTGGAAAAGTTTTACAATGTCAGTGCATCAGACACTTCTTTGTTCGTGGTTCACTATTGAAGATAGTAACTTAGAACGTTTGTGTTTAAGGTATAAGACAAAAATTTTCTGTCGATGAAGTTACGTGATCTATAATCTGATCACATTCTTGGAAAAAGTAACTAAAAAATGAACATATTAGTATACAAACCCAATGATAGCTGAAAAATTACAAACTGTGTACATTAAATGTTTTGTACAATAAAAGGCTTTAGACCAGGATATGAAGTTGTAGAAAAAAGGTGGAAAGCAGCTATTTTACCTAAGAAGAAATACAGATAGGCCATAGAACAAAGAGAAGAAACATTAAACTAGGGATGGTCAAGTCTCGAAATTTCGGGAAATTTTCGGGAAATTTTAATTCTCGTTACACGAGACAAGATTTCTTTTTGGCCGAGATTTTTATCGAGACGAGAATTAAAAAAAAATTAAAAACGCCTGCAGAAAGTCAATGCAATACCCGCAATACAGGAGCGTGTTGTAGTTGCGTTTCCTTTGCGAAGGCGTTTTTATTTAATAAATTCTTTTAATGTAAATATTACTTTAATTATTTTAACGAGGTGTTAGCCCGCCCTACGTACGGGAATTCAGTAGTCAGTTAAAACCGTGTACAATTCAGATCAGCTAGTTTACACATATAAAGACAAAGTTTCTTGCAGTTTTAATGTGAAAAATAATCTTTAAACAAATGTTGTGTGACCAAATATGTTTTTATTCCATCATAGGCCTATACGATATGCATTTTAAATCCAATAATTTTACAATAAAACAGCAATTCTGAAATTTTTACGATTTGAAAAGCGTTGAAGTGAGATTTGCAGCCGATTCGCACAGACGCACACTGATTATAAGTAGCCTACAGTAGAGAGAGTAATAGCTTTGACTATTAATACAACACTTCTTTATCTTATACAACTTCTGTATCCAATAGTCAATGGTAATAGTCAATTGAGAAGTGTATAGACCTAGTCAACGATACCACCTTCCATAGCATACCTGCCTCTTCCATAATTATTATCACCACAATACAACTACTATACACAATTTCCAGTAGGTCTGAATAGAAACGACCTAAAATAAAACGATAATATCCAATAAAATTCACAGTACACATAATTTAACTTTGGTGTCCTAACATCAAAACTAATCGTCACACCTATCCTTTATATCAATTTCACTGCATTAATTGCTAAATAAATAAGTGTAAACAAAGAAAAGTAAAAACAATAACAGTTTGTTTTGAAACAGCTGTTTGGTTCAAATAACATTCATTTGAAAAAAAGTACTGGTCACATGTAGCAGGAATATAAAAAGTAAACACGCTAGTAAAGCTAATGACGTAATTGTCAATGTTTATTAATCCATACCGTTATCAGTTCTATCCTTGATAATTACCCACCCTCATTGAATAAATGTAATTTCCCATATTAGTTAATTTAAACTACAATATATTCATAGTTTAAATAAAAGTGATATTTTCACGTTTGGGGGCGCTGATATAGGCACCCCCAAACGTAACCACAACTGAACACGATTTCATAAAAGGATGGTTTGTCTAATTGCAGTATCCTAGGTCAATGTTGACGTTGTGTTCAATCTATGTCATCCATCTGTTTATCTTTGTTTAAAACCCGGCTGAGGTTGTGGTGGTAATTTAAAATCGTGATTCCTGATTATTCTTTATTTTCTTTTTATGACATCAATATTTCCGGGCATAATCCAAACAAAGCTAAAGCAGACAAACAAACATTAATTGTAAACAAAATGCTACCATGAAGAATTAAACAATTAAACATTATTTTTCTATTTTTTTCCTTGAAAAGTGGAGCAGTAAAATAATCTTCATTTATCCTTTTTTATTAAGACTCGTGTACAGAGCCTCGATTTGTACTGTGGTTTAATTAATTTTGGTCTAAACTCTTTTAAACTGTGGTCTAATTATCTCTACTAATCTTACTTATTTCCTATAATCAATGACAAAATAAGAGTAAATATAATAACCTCATAGTTCCATAGTTTATATTTAACCAGCTGTTAGTTAAAACAAATTATATTACTCTAAAACAAATCGAAGATTACAAAGATTGCTTTACAAAATAATTTGAACATCCTAGTATTTTACTATGTATATTTAATTAATATGTCATCCTCTTACAGAAGAATTGAACGTATCAATGATTAGCATTACACATAGTATAAATAAGTCAACCCTAAGTATGTCTTTACATTTTTATCCAAATGCTGAATTTGTGACACAAAAGCTGAATGTTTACAGCTGTTATGTTAAGCAAATTATTTTATGCCAAAAGCTAGTTTAGAATCTTAGCGTCGGCTGCTAGACTTTTTAAAAATTAAAACTTAATTTCTAAAAAACTGGGACCCTAAACTAAAATTATGGCTTCGACATTCCCTAGTTCTCAAAATTATCTTTCTTTCAACACAAAAATCATGAAAAACCGTCGAGTGGTTGATTCAGAATCGTGAAATAAAAAAACACTGTTTCGTTTTAATATTATAGATAATATACTTTAATAACATTTGAGAAGTTTTGTTAAGTGTAAGCAGTGTGAGGAATGTTTTATTACTATAAAAAGTCAAAACAAGTAACTATTTTATAAAAATTAATATTGCTTTTATTTTATGATTTATTTTATTTTAGGATAAGTTGAACTCTATCCTAACTGATATTACTATGTTTCCTAATCGTCTAGGCATTTTTAATAAGTTAGGCGTGATTAATAAAAAACTGTTATGCTGATGTTTTTTAGTAAAATATTGTAAATATTCTTGCCTATTATCATTATGTTTGTATTTAAACTGTCATCTAACAATGTTACAAAATCAGGTAAAAATTTTGAACTTGCATTTCCCGTTGTGTATGAGAAGGGAAATCCCGTCTCGATCTCGTCTCGAAATTTTATGAGAAATAAAAAATCTCGTCTCAAACTAAAAATCCAATCTCGTCCATCCCTAAAAACACACAATATTTTGTCTCCAGGGGAGACTATGTCACATGTGGAGAAAGGGAGTTCACAAAATGGTATCTGTCATGGCTGTTGCCGCATATGCAGTAAACTGGTGAGAAGTAGCAACACTGGGATGACATTATGTGTGTTTTATGTGTCTCTATGACCTACCTGTATTTATTCTAAGGTAAGCTATCTGATATCGCCCTTTTATAATCATTGACTGTGCTAATTCCTGATGATGATTTTTAGAATAGTAGAATCCAATTGGCAAAACTGTGTTGTAGTTGAGAATCACCTTTAATCAGCTGTTCTGCCTCCTTGGTCAGCTGGTCTATGAGGTTCTCTCTCTCAGCCACCTGCGCCTGTAGAAGCTGTGCCTTGCTGAGCTTGTCTTGTGGAGATACCTCCAGCATCTGAAGGCTCTGAACAGCTGCAGGTGCTTCTTCACTCCACGCTTTCACTGACGCCACCTGCGACGGAGTTAATTACTTGTCTGTACTAAATTTTGAACTTGCAAGAAGCTTTTACATAAAATACTCTAAAGTAAACACATTAAAACTGAATAATAAGTTTTACTTGTCTCATAATCAGTCAGACTTTTGATGACACTTCCTGGAAGATTGGCAAATGTGTAGACTTTTCTCATGTGCCAGGCTGCTACTTTAAAACATGAACAAAATTTAAGTCTGTTTATTGTCTAATCTAAGGTGGCTATTGTTTCTTTACCTGAGTTTCTAGTGTGGTCCATTTAGCAGCCAACTTCTCCAGTGAGAGCACTCGTTCTTGTACGTGATGAAGTGTTGTTTCCAGCCGATCTCCAATCTCAGCCACCTAGAATCACAATAAAAAAAAAGTGAGGCAAGAGAATAATAATAAACAATGCAATTGTTCAGTTATTTGAGTGTATAATAGACAGATTAGGCTACCATAATTAAAACAGATCACACTGTGAAATACCCAAACTGTTTTTCTCTTATACATTAGTATGTATAAAATCATCTGCTGATCTTGGTCAGTAACAAAACCATTAACACATTTATACTAAACTGATCTCACTCATTTGTGCCTCAAACAATGCATCCTTGTGTTGTTGTCATAGTATAGAATCAACAATGAAAGAGTCACCTACAATACGCAATACACTTAATTGTTGATTAAGTGCATAAAAGCCTAATACATCAACCTACCTACCTATCTTAACCTAAATTCAAGTGTGAGTATCTACCAGTGGCGAATAGTCAGCCTCGTTTACTACTCATTACTAAACCTTAATCTTAAGCAGTCTTGTCTGCATAGTATACCTATAATGCACTATACTAGGCTGAATGTGGTGTCAATAAACAGAAACATATTGCTAATCCGGAGGCTTACAACAACCAAATAATCTGACAGTTTCAGACGAATAACTTGCAATCACATACCTCCTTGGTGATGATGGGTTTATTCTCAGGGGCCGCCACAGCCACCAAGTTAGCCCCGAGATCTCGCAGCTTCTTCAACATGTTTTCTGTGGCTTCTCTGAGCGCAACACTCAGATCCTGCTTGGACTGCAACTCAGCCGCAATGTGTCTCGGAGATGCTCCACTACCAACCTGGAAGAAACAAGTTAAACTCAATTCAAGGTCTAAACTGTTCATGAATAAACTGCATTGTCTATTTTGTATAACTTCAATTTATAGTACTTGGAAGATACCCCCCAAAACCACCGAGAGAGAGGAAGTGAAGTAACCAAGATATGAGAATGTTGAGACCTGACGAAGAAGATTGGTTGTTGTTTATTTTATGTAATCTTCTTGTTTATAAAATATGTCATATTCAGTTTACCTGTTTGAGTTCTTCTTCTGCTTGGTTCAGCAAAGCAAGGATTTCATTCTTTTGCTCCTGGTAATTCAGCCATACTTTTTGTGTTCCTGCAATCATAATTTATTCCCTATAAGAATGTTAACACTAAAATAGCATACATTTATAACAGAGTTCCTAACCAGCTTTGATTTCCATGCTACAAATTAAGCCTTTACAGGAAAATTCTTATTTTTATGAAATAAATAATAAACTGCTATTGAATTTCACATGCCTTTGATATTCATTGCTTTCATCTCTGCATAAAACATCTTCATTCAAAAATTTCTGTTTAATTCTTGCAATTAAGATTGGGAAATAGATTCAAATAATAAAGGATAAGAAATTTTAAAAGAGTTTCAGGATAATTAAGCAAATTCGTTTCCCACCATAGTGTAATTTGTCATTTACATTAATGGATTAATGCATTCATAAATAGTATTATTATTGTTTATATTTATATTATTGTGTCAGACATAACTGGATACTAAACAAGATGTAATCAACCAAATGAGGAGTCAAAAGCTAAACTTTAGGGAGACTTTGGAAATACACATTAAAAAAATTGAGGAGCATTTCATGACAAAAAAAACAATTTCCTAACCAATGTCCAATGTTCTGGGCCAGTAGCATCTGTGAAAAAAACTCATACACATTACGAGTAAGGTCCAAACCACACAATTTTCATGGATATTGTGGGAATCAAACCCCGTCCCTCTCGCAATCAAGCCCAAAACACTAACCACTAGGCTAGCAACACACCTACTATGTAAGGCTACAGACTTACCTTTGAGCTGGTTGAGTTTGTCCAGTGTGGTGTTGTATGCTTGATTCCACTCAGTCTCCAAACACAACACCTGCTCCTTGATGAACTGAGGAGCTGCCTTGTCCTTGCTGAGATCCTTGCCTTGCTGCAGCATGCTGACAATGTTGCCTCTGTGTGCGTCCAGCTGAGCCACAGCTGTCTCTTGTTGTTTGATCAGCTGATCCACCGAGGCCAGTGTCTCTGGTCGAGGCAATGTACTCTCACACACCTTCTCCAGCAGGTTACACACCTGTGGTCAAAACATTTACATTGAGAAGACCAAGATTTGATAGTTCACATAAGAAATTGTTTAGTTTCCTGAACAGACAACTTTTGACCTTCAAATCCACTTGAATTGATATTTTTCAACTTAACCCTTTACAGACAAAGTCTTATGGCTTGGGACTGGCAAACATTAATTTGTAAATCTAATTACAGATTTTTTACTTTTAACACTATAAGGACATCCCTACTCTAAATACAAGGGATGGACGGATCCAAAAATTTCAGTAAGTTTCGGTGAAAGATATATTCTTAATTTTCAGGAGAGATTATGTTCGATATGGTATTTCCTCAAGATAGGATTTTTGTTCAGACTTTTTGGGGATTCACCGCGATTGTGAGTGACGGCGATGATATTCCTGCAATCGTTCATGATGATGATGATGATGTCTACATGGTCGCGGAAGATGATGATGATGCTTCTGCGTACGTGAGAGATGATCACAATTTCAAGCAAATTATAGGAGATGATGCCTCATGGGAGATGATAATGATGACACTGATTACATTCAACAGGACAGTTCAATAAGAACTGAAATGTATGGATTTTTTTGTCATTATTGGGATTGGCAAGAATTTTTACTAAAGACGTTAAACATAAACTTCATTTTTCCTTGTTTAATGGGAAGAAAACACTTATCCCGTGAATCAGGAAGTTAAAAAATCCTGTGTTAATCCGAACTAAAATTCCCTTCCATCCCTACTAAATAAATACACATAACATTTTGTACAAAAATATTTAATTTGTGGAAATATCCGCTTCCCGTCTCTAACATCTACCACTATTTGAATACATCCATCATCCATCCATCAGAACAAAAAGAAGAAAAAACAAAGCAAACGTCCATCGCCCATTCAGGAAGGATTATGATGTATTTCACGATTCACTCACCTCTTTCACCTCCTTCTTGTAAGTGTAACACTTGGTGTACAGTTCAGTGCGAGTGACGGTCATCTCTATAGTAGGTATGAGGTTCTTGTACCGAGTGATCAGCTGTTGCAGCTTCGTCTGCTCCTCCCCAGAGTCAGGTGAGTGAGAGGAGAGAGCGTCCAGTGTCTGGACCAACCACTTCATCTCCTCTCTCTTGCCATCTACTTCTCTACAGATACCCTGTAGGCACAATACTCTTTAGTTGCCGAAGGTAAAAAATTTACATTGGGACATCAAACCGGCTGGTTTTGGATCTGCATTAAATCTCAAAATAATTGAATTTACAAGAAAACATTTGAATTTGAGATTCGACCAAGATTTGATAATTCAGTTACACTTTTTTGCGAAGACATATCATCTTAAATAGCATATATCATTTAATAGCATTGTCATCTTAATGTCAGTGAGATTTGATAAAAACCCACCTTGAACCATCTCCAAATCTTACATTTTTGTTTTTGTTTTTTCTTGCATTTTGGTAACAATGCAAAGTTACAGTACATTTAAAGATACCTTTGTTACTTACTAGTAACACCTTCCCCTTATTGTATATTGTACATGGGAGAAATGTTGAGAAAACTAAAAAAAATTAAACATTTATACATCTTCCACTGACCCTTATCAGAATCTTCTAATTCTGAAATGAAGGGCAGATTCGGTCTTAGGTAGTGCGGGGCCAAACATTCAGAGCGGGCAAATTCTTTTTCCTTACTACTAAAAATGTCTCTTCTCTTCCCATCACCATATTGTGGCTCATGCTCATAGGGTGATAAATAATTGCAATCGCGGCAACATCTGCTATCATCCCTCACTATCGCAGTAACAATCGTGATGATTTGTGGACAAGACTTTCAATACTTTTTGTGTAATTTTGCCAAAGAACGGGCCCCCGAGATGTGGGGAACAATTTCTCAAAATTCCAAACAAACTACAAATATTTACGTACTACTGGTCCCAGCCAACAACAGCAATATTCTGAATATTTTATATCAATCAAACCAATTATATTCATGAAAGATAAATCAGTATATTACATGTAAATTACAAAGAGTGTGTACCGATAATGCACGATTTATCAAATGTTAAGTTATTTAAAATTACAGGTTAGGTTATACAAATGTGTTTTTGGTCAAAAGTAAAAGAGAAGGGCTGAGGGGCTAAGAGCTGAGGGTTTACAAAACGTCTATCTTTCTACTTAACTGTATGAGTACTCTAGGATTCATTCTATATGTACATACACATTGGTTAAACACAAAGGTTCATATTACAGAGGATTCAAAAATGATTAATTAAACATCAAACAATAAATTGCATAGTTTACACGTTTACAGCAAACAATCACAGGGACACAAAGATTGCAGGTAACAGGACAAGTGCAATCGGCACAAACTGAACTTCACGCCAATATTACCAAAGCAATGCGAGCTTGATGCTTCCAAGGCAGCAAATAGAAAACAGGAACATAATTAACATTTTATCATCAATTGCATTACAAAGGCCTTACACCAATTTTAGTAATATACTTTGTGTAAAATTTTAGTTACAAGTTTAAAAAATACACATATCTCACCTGGAATACTGCTTTCTCTCTCTCAAACTCTTCAGCTGTCGCAAGTTCTTTGAGGATATTTTTTATGCTCACATCAACAGCATCCATCCATTGAACCATTGCAGAAAATCTAAACAAATTTTTTGAATGGTTTTGATATATTTCATAAAATAATGTTTATGTCCCAAAAGAAAAATAAACAAATTCGAACAAAACTATTTATTGGAATGTTTAAAGAGGTTTATTTTTTTATATTTTAAATAGGCCTAGTGAAGACTTTTTTAAATGGCTGTAGGATTGATTTTGTTCAATTCACAAGATAGTTTAATGGATTTAAATTATTCGTTGCCAATTTTTTATACAAATTTACAGTAAATTCGACATTGGTTGTCACTAAATGTATGAGAAAGCAATCTGAAGATCTGGTATGCATGTTATGAAAAACATAAAAAAAGAAATAATAACTTCACTGCTAACCTACCTGTTGTAAACATAGACCATGTAAGATAAAATTATAGACAAGTCTGATCAAGTATAACCTTTGACTATTGAAATTAGTAAAAAACTTATTTCCAAGTTAAAGCTGCAACCAGTTTTAGAGTAAAGAACATAGTTTAACTAAGTTACCAACATAAAACACTAATATCAATACTGATTTCTGTACTTTACCAAGATTTTTTCAATCAAGCCAAATCGAAAGGACAACTTGCTTGAACTACAGCGTCGTTTATGAAACATCAATTATCAATGGAAAAAAAACAAAAAGCAAAAATCTAATTAGACTTTGATATAGGTGGCTTATTCAACTAAGTTACTTTTTAGTTTAATAAAACGCAGGCTACAGCTGGTCCATATAGTGATGTATACTTCTACTTCAATATCCAAAAATCAATGTTGTAAATTTATTCATAAAAGGTACTTGACCCCTCACCTCTGTCTGTAGACCCTCCATTTGTCAGGTATCTGTTGTAGTTGACCCCTGAGTTGCTCGGCTCGTTGACATATCTCGCCCCATCGCTGCTCCGCCTTGCGTACAGCTTCAGCCATTTCTCCGGCTGCTGCTCCCTTCACTGACAGACTGCCCTTGGTCATATCAGCCAAGCATCTTTTGGCATCAGTGCCGGGAGGACCGGAGATGAAACATTGCTGTAAAAAGTGATTATATAATTCATATTTTCCAATTTTAGAGGTTAGGATAGTTGATTATAGTGTACCCCGTAAAAAAACCAGCAGCTAAAATGATTTTACTGTTGATTTTAGCAACTGAATTTTGGATAGATAGAACCAGCTATTCGGGGAAAATTTGAATTATTTTCATAGCAAACAAATTTACATTCTTTTTAAATGTAGACCTCATGTTATTTTCTTCATAAAGGCCATTAGGAAGGTAAGCTACTCGTAAATGTAGTTTCTGGTGGAACAAACAAGCATTGAAGTACAAGTGCTTATATTCTCACAAATAAATATTTAAAAAAAAATTACGTTAAAAAAAATTTTACAGGAATTAAATAAAATGTAAGTTATGTAACATAAACTTAACAGAAAGCATCTCAGCCAATGAGAAGTAATCCAAATGAATTTGTATGAAAAATGTAATTTCTTAGATTTAATTAATAAAAAAAATTGTATTCAAGAAATGTAACTATTTAGTATTGTACACAGGTGTGTCTTAATCACAAACCTTGTTCCTGGTTAGAATATTTTCTACATCTTCATTCCTGTTGAAGGCCTGGGTCTCGGCTGCTAGTTCATTCTCCAATTCCTTTATATATTGGTTGAATGTGTTCTCGTCAAGGCGGAACTCTAGCTTCACCAGATGAAGAGGAGCGAATGAAACAACTTCCTGTGTAAATAAATAAAATTATAATTAAAATACACCCTAAGTCATATTTGGTGGTCAATATAGCTGCTTCTCAATAAGAAGAACTCACTGAAATGCCGCAAAGGACTAAAAAAACTGTTTATTTTATAACACATTAGAATCATTGCTGGATTTACCACTATTCTGGGACGTTCTACCTTGGTATCAGAGACTGCTCGAGTTAATCTCGCCTAAGGTCTCAAGTACTGTAAATCTGGTATTGATTATGATGTAGATAATTGAAAACATACAAATGCATACTTAGGACGTCTGGGCAGCAACGATAATCAATGAAAAATTACCCAATGTTAAATAACAGCTGTCACATTCGTAACTATTACTAGGTAGGTAGTATTGAAATGTCTTTATCCCACCTTCCATCTAGACTGCAGCTTCTCCACAGTGTTGTACACTTGAGGGTGATCTTCAGGTGGAAGACAGTTTGACAAATCTTGAGCTGCATTGACCAGCTCTCCTAGCCACCTCTCATTGATGTGTTCAAAGAATGCCTATGATAAAACCACAAGTGAATATAGATTATAAGGTGTTAAAAAAGATCAAATACTTTAACACATTCACTACCGGGTCAAAAGACCATATACGGATGTTATGGTCTTGTGTTACAGATGTTAGGTAACACAAAAAACACAATTTGACAATGAATCTTAATGAAATTTTCCAAAAATTAATTTTTACTTTAAATTAATGAGTAGACATTAATCAGAATCAGAAGTGTACCTAACAAACAATACTCTCACACTCAGTTAAACGTTCAAAAAGATTTCTTCATTGAGGAAACTGTTTTACTTAAAGTGGTACGTCAACAAATTGTAAAAAATGGAAATTTTTAATGGTGAAAATCCGTTTACTAATCTAAAATCAAATCCAAGAACAACTTTTATTAAATAGGCCTACTTACAATTTAAAATTTACTGTAAAATCGTTCTTATCTGTAAAAAATTGTCTTAACTTTAAAAGTTTTCTTACTGTAGCCTATTTAATTTTTAATCAATTCTACTTGCGATCAACTTAGGACCGATTTTCAGAACTCCTAACATTAGAATCCCTGATCATGCTTGAAAACTGCTTATACTATTTTCTTAAGAGTAGTCTACAAAAAAATTACATACAAATTATTAACATTTTTTAACTTTATGAACTTTAACATATTTAAATTCAACATACATGTTCTCTGATTCAAATCATTTCTTGTTATTGTGTGGGGATCTTTATTTGGCTTTGATTCACTACAGAGTAAGCTAACCATTTAAAACTATAATTCAGGCTTAGACCAAATTGCTCTAATTGGTTTGTGTTTCGTACCTTGTGATTCTCAACAGTTGCCTTTGAGTCAACGTGTTTTTCCGCAATTAACTTCTCAGCATTCTGCAGCCAGTCTCCGATGACTCTTTCAATCTCACGGAAATTGTGCCAACAGCGGATTGCTTCTTGAAGTTTCTGAAAACATAAACAAAAATAATTTATCACATCTTAAAATTTCATGCATTTGTTTGAAATTAAATAGATGAGGTAATTAGAATTACTTAACTGAGCTATGCTATTGTAACCTAATTATTCGGTCATTGCAACTGTTATAATATAGTCTTGTGCAAAATACATTACTTATAATCAACCAATGTTGAATTATCTTCAATTTCAGCATTATGTAAAAATCCTCAAGATAAAGCTTTCATGCCAAATATGAACTGCAATTAACATATCAAATAAAAATTAACAGCAAGAAACAAGGTAATCATAAAGTTCCAGTTACAGAAAAGTATTTATGAGCAAGTTTTTGATTAAGATTTGGGCTATTATGTCTAAGGAAGGAATAATTACACATACATTTTGTAAATCAAAATGAAAATTAAATTAACCTATGTGAAATGTAAATTTTTGAGCCCAAATGGTTAGATTTTCCTTCCAATATGCATTTTCCATACATAAACTTCTAATATAAAGTGTATATAATATCAATAACTTACCTGTTCCCACATAACAGCGCGTTGAGCTACATCTGCAAACCTCTGGTTTAGAGCGACCATCTTGTTTTTGAAATCACTTGAATCTATGCCTTCATTCTGGTCTAGTGACTTGCAAATGTTTTGGAAAACTTTGTTCTTGCTTTCAAGCATTGACTTGTAATATAGCATCCTTGAGAAGAAGGACTGTAACATTAAAGAACATTTACAAAATTGCAAGGTAATAATAGAGGTGGTCAAACAAAAAAAAAACGTTCAGTTCTAATCTGCTGGTGAAAGAGTTTTCTAGTAATACTGAAAGAAAATACAGTCTAACCTTGATATAACGAACCTCGATATAGCGAATTCCTTGATATAACGAATTTGTTTTAATCCCCTAGAACCCTCCATAAGACACAATGTATATTTTACCTCTACATAACGAACAAACCATAACAACGACCTTGATTTAACAAATTTTTCGTGATTTCGGCTGAAATAAGACACCTCAATATAACGAATTTGTCATTGTCAGAACCTCTACATTGCGAATTTAACCTCTGCATAACGAATTGTCTACGTCTTTCCCTCGATATAACAAATCCCCCACCCATTTATTGTTTTGGGAGAATCTGTTTCTTTATCAAATGAAATGGAAAGGTGACGTAATCGCTTGCGCTAACATTCGTCTACTCCGTTTTACATCTTTGTCTGCTGTCGATGCGCGCGCTATGTTGCACTGAGAACTGATTTCATTCACTGATGACTGATGACGACGTAATGTTTAGTAAGCTGTGATTGGGCGATATGGGATAACTATGGTGAATTGTTACGAGTGTTTTTATTATCCTTAAGTTGGCTATGATTATACACTTTAAAATGACTTATCTAATAATTTATTGTTTTAATACGATTTGTTTCAACTAGAAACACCAATGCTATAGTTAATGATTGTCATTGACATTCCTCTGTTGTGATAAATCAGTACTGTACTGTAAGTAGCCTACCGGCCTATCACAAGCAGTAGCTTACAAAACTTTCTACTGTTTTGTTTTGTTCTTTACATGGTTTATGAATACGCAATACAGTGTTTGGCTAGGTTTTAGGAGGGTTAGAACAAGCTGTGATTTTAAACTTACAGCTTTTAACCTGTACCAAGGTCAATGCCATTGTCATGTTGCGCAATATTCAAGATCCCTCCCCTTTATTAATGCCGGATAATTTAGGTTCTACTGTACAATGTAAACACTGAGCTGTAAAGTATTGTAGCCTATGCTACTTTAATTGTATTTTAATGAGGTCAAATCCCGACCTATATTGACCGAAGTTGGTTCTGGAACCTCGACTTAGCGAAATTCCTGCAAACCTAACCTCAATATAACGAACCTCGTTTTAACGAAATCCTTGATATAACGAATATTCAGTTCGGTCCCTTCAGATTCGTTATACTGAGGTTGGACTGTATAGACATTGAAACTTACTTTAAGTTCTGAGTATTTTAAAATGATTTTCCCAAAAAGAAGAGAGTCAGTATAAATTACTTCTAACAGCTCAATTACCTTGTGTCTGTCCAGGTTCGTCTGCACAGCTTCCTTGCCTCCAGTCAGAGAAAGAGTTGCCATGAGACCCTCAGCGTTGTCTAGCCACTGAGCGATCTCTGTCTGGCCAGCCTCTAGAGCCTCATGTTGTACTAGGATCTGATGGAACAGCTGTAGTTGTGACGGTATCAAAGCTCTCACTCTCACTAGGTTCTCTGAAATAGTAAAGCAAGTTTCATTGTAACACTTTAGAGGTCTGCATGTTTTAGGGTAGGGTCAACAGTTATCCAAAGGGTTTGGTTCAGGACGGTAACAATTTTGCTGTTACTACGGAACATGTTCTTGATTTTCTAAGTGACCATGGAAGATGTTCTTGATTTGGCCAAGACCGCAGAAGAAGATCTAGATTCAGCTCAACTGGAAAAAATATTTTAGGTTTCAGCGTGACCGCAAAAGACGATCTTAGTTTTGAGGTGACCACGATTTTGCCATGATCGTGAAAGATGTTCTTGTTTCATCATTGTGATATGGGAGAAATCAATTTCGCCCACAAAGATTTTAAACCCCCCCTCAACCCCTGCCTGCAAACTCCTAATGTAAAGAGATCAAATCATAACCAATACAATAATAATCTAGACAAAGTTGTGATATCAAATTAATAGACTTGTTTATGTTTGTAACTACCTCCAGAATTTGACATGACATTTAGGTTAATTTACAACATTAATGCACTTTGAATAACTAGCCTTTGAGTCAAAATTCTATATACAAAACACTTCATAAACTTGCCCTTTTCTTTCTTCAGTGTGTTCATCATTCTATCTACTTCTTCTCTGGATAAGTCTTGTATTAGGGTTTGAAACTTTTTGCTGATGCTCTTGAAAAGCTCTTCCATGTCCTCGACTTCTCCTTGCAGTTTCTGAAAGCAAGTTAATCATATTGTATTAATTTATTTTAATGCATACAAAACTAAATCAGTACTATAAAACAATATTAAATTGTAATTTCTAACAATTAGTTTCTACAATATTACACTAAATCATCATCCACTCTAATTCAATTACTCAAAAAGTATAATTCTAATACAAAAGTTAGAGGGAGACGTGTTATATTGGAGTGTTTAATGTATAATAAAATTGAAGTAGACATCCCATCTATTTGGACCAGTTATCATATTTTTTTTTTTTATAAAAAGGAACATAGGTGTCTAAAATTCTATTTGCTACCTTATATTTTGTTGCTGACAGTTGACGGGTCATTTCAGTTGCTATAGCTCACAATAAGTCATTCCATCAGTTTGAATTGGTCAAAAAGTTCTTTTATTCTATAGAAATTACCAATTTAGATCAGCACAATTTGTCGGTGGCTCACATCAACTACGAAGTTTTTTTTTTTTTTTTACTGGCAACAACTTTAACATGGGGATGGAGTGTCTAGTTGTATCAATAGTAATAGTCCATGACTTTACGACTTACATCTTCATTTTTACATATTTACCTGTAACTGTTGACCATAAGCCTTTATATTCTCTGTAGAGCCCAGCTGAGGCGAAGACAGGAAGGCCTCGACATTGCGTAGCCACAATTGTAGTCTCTCCACTCCAGCTCGGTAGTCCTTACGGTTGCGTAGAATGTCTCCTGCGTGCATGTACTGCTTCACCCACTGCAATCATGGCCCAGTAAGTCAGTATTTTGTTTTTTCTCAGGTTAGTGGAATAATTTCCAAAAAGATATATCAATATCAATACAGTAGTTAGCTTCTCAATCTGATTAATTTCGACTTTGGATGGTTTGTACGCTTAGCCTGGCTACAAACTTTTGACTTTGGATGGTTTGTACGCGTAGCCTGGCAACAAACAAGTCACACTAGCGTCTAGACTGCCAGTGCAAGTCCAAGGATCGGAGGATCGTGGATCAGATCAGTAGATCACCCCCCACCACCGCACCATGTCGTACGCTTCCGAATCATACCGGCGCATCAGCATAGCTTATCTAACTGTTCGTGGAAAATTGTTATCTGTATCACTGTCGCTGTCAAAACGTATAATTTGTAGATTAAATTTGAATTAAATATAATTAAACTATCATAACCTAACCAAACTAACCAAACTTGCTGATAATGATAAACTTGAATGAAGGTTTACTAATCGAAAAATAGCTCTGTTCTAAAAATAAAATTATAAATGTCTCAAATTCAATTTTACAATCTTTTAATTATAAAATTAAATTGTCATAATCTAACCAAACCAACCAAACTTGCTGATATGAAAAAAATTCTTGACAAAAAGTTAGTGCTCCCGGTGGGATTCGAACCCGGCACCTTCAGATTATCAGCCCGACACGCTATCCACTACACCACAAAGGCTCATGACTCAGTTCCGTATCGTTGCAGTAATGGTTGACGTCACGCCATCGGCACTGAGCGGTGGTGGGGGGTTTTTCGATCTGATCCACGATCCTACCGATCCTAGGAGTTGCACTGGCAGTCTAGATGCTTATACAAGTGACAACTTGTTCATCCAGTATTATTCGATACTAACAGTAACATATTTTATTGCTGTATTTCTTGATTGTTTATTATAGTACAGTAGTTTATTAAATAATTTCGACATCATAAGATGTGGGATTGCCCCTGAACTGGTTATAATAACTAATATAATGGTTTTAAATACCTTCAGTCACCAGTTTAAATTAGTCGGCTATTGCGACCTAGGTTTCGGCACGAAGTTGTACCATCATCAGGCGGGCCAGTTTTGAGTCTTCAGTCCAATGGACGTCGTTGGGTTAAAACAAATAACAAATAACAGTGCTGTATGTCGTGAACTGTTATTTGTTTTAACCCAACGACGTCCATTGGACTGAAGACTCAAAACTGGCCCGCCTGATGATGGTACAACTTCGTGCCGAAACCTAGGTCGCAATAGCCGACTAATTTGAACTGGTGACTGAAGGTATTTAAAACTATTATATTAGTTTATTAAATGTTCACACATTACTGTAAATTCAAGATGTTACTGTTGTTTTAGGTTTTTTAACTTCTCACTGCTTGTTTGTACGATTGTTTGTTCCCAAGGTATCCGAAAAAGAGGGATCAATTGTGCAAAAATAATTTATAATTTAGCCAAGCCAGGTATTTTAAATATACGCAATAAAAAATTTAACAATGGATGTTACAAAAATTTGTTAACCTAATAAGCATACTGAACAAAACTCTTATTTTTCAAAAAAGTTTTTTTTTCAAACCAGTTTAAACCAATCGATCTAAAAGGATGTAGTAAGGGTGAATCTTTTTAAGATTTCTGATAAGGGACTATAGTAAATAGTTTCTTCTGACTAAACAAGCTGAATGTTTTGTACTTACCGGGAACAGTGCTTCCCAGCGAGTGTTGATCTGTTGGTATTTCTCCTTGAGCTCCTGCGACACTTTGTCCTCACAAGTGGCAATCAGGAAACTGACTGTGTCTCCCAACAGCTGATGCTTGTCCTTCCACACACTCAGGTCCTGCATACAGACACATTGTTGAATCACTCTTAACGTGTCAAAACTTTACATTATTGTAATAAAAATCTTAACTCGCTTAGGTGGAGGAGCATGAATCATTCCTCAACTTTCTTTTCTTGAACAATGTGATGCTATGCTGAAATAAACTAGTTTTATCGTTTAGCCTATTGATTTTCAAACACAGTAATACGAAAAATAACCTATTGATAGAGTGAAATCTCTGTTTAGGGTCAGGAGTTTCTAAGGGAATTTGGAGGTAAAAATGGTCATCTGGTATATTATTTGATACTCGCAAAATAATCCGCATAGTGGGGTTTTCCTCGGAAGTACACAAAATATTGATGCGACCAATAGAACCAATCATGGTGGCGTTAGGTGTAGACCTATAGTAAAAGTGAAGGATAGTGATTCTTCATTCTCAAGCATGAGTGAGTTAAAACTAAGCTTCTAAAATAAAATGTTTTCTTCACCAATAGTCTTTAGACTTTTTCAAGTGACTGGTGAATCTTCGAAGACCAAAGCTCTGTGCTTTCCCCAAACAAATGCTGTGCCATTAGAAGAGCTGTAAACTTACTTTTTTATCTAGACCAACAATCTGATAGAAACAGTAGCGGGTTGAAGATTTCTGTACCTTTTGGCATTCCTGTTTTGGAAGGAGTAAATTAATATTTTGAAGTTGAACAAAATAGAGAAAGAATAAGAAAGTAAGCTTCCCTAGTAATTAGTTTTATCTAAATCTACTCCTCTACTCTGTGAAGAATTAGGATGGAATATCAGTGTTATGTTTGTGAATTTTTTTGAAAGTCCATTCCTTTGGCTCTAACTTTTTCAGGTGCGCTAGCTGAACTCTGTCTGTTTTCAAAAATATTCCTAATTAGCCACTGGGATTTAATTTAAAGTATACCTCTTGTTTACAAAAAGTGTATTACTACAAAGTCTACATTTTATATATATATAGATTACAAAAACCACTTTTAATTATTCCTATTGCAGTAAAATACTTAATTCTAACCATCGCTAAATATTCTCTACATCATCAATTTGGGTAAGCTACTAACTAACACTAACCTAATGGTTATGTTTTTATGAAAAAGCATTTAGCTTGGATTAAATAAATATGGAGAAACATGGAGAGGACACAGCTAACTCACCTGATGAAAGGTTGCAGATGAGTCAAAGAACACATAAAATCACATAAAATAAAGATTTTATGTGTTCTTTGACTCATCTGCAACCTTTCATCAGGTGAGTTAGCTGTGTCCTCTCCATCCTATATATTTATTTAACCTAATGGTTAGCAACTCTTCGGTGCAATGATTTCTTCACTCAAAAATTATTCTGCCGTAAACGTTAACAAAAAAATTTCAATTTATACATCACAAACTTGAGTCTCAGGAGTCCCGGTTGAGCAAGATAACTTGTGCAGAAATTTCCATTGTATACTCCTACCTCCACTATCTTTTTAAACTTTTTTTATCATTTTGAAAACCATTTAGTGCACTGTGTAGTTTTGTTTTTGTGTTGTTTCTTCTTTGGCTGTGATTGAGTACAATTTTTAATGTTTTATTTACCTAAGATCATTATCAGGGATCCCAAATTTTTGTGAAAACTTTCAGTTTTGTTATTAAGATGAAAAATATCCCCTACAGTCTATATAACATAAAATCACCTGGAAAAACTCCATCCTCTCCTCCTCAGGCAGGTCCAGTTTGGTCTCCGCCACACTCAGCCATTGTAGCAACTCCTCGGACAGGGAGTTCCACCTTCGCCAGTACGCCACCACCTCCTCCAGCATGGACTGTACACAGCGTAGCTCCATGGACACATGCTTCCACCTCTCACCCGTCTCACGCATGAACTTGTCTATGCTCATGCTCTCTTTCTGGTCTGTGGCAAAACGGATTGTTTTAGTAATAGAATCCGTTTAGTGTTGATGGACCCTTTATTAAAATAACCACAGAAGATATTTTTTTTATAACAAGGAATACTTCTGAGCCTACATTTTGTTTCTATACCCATCCTAAAACAGTACAAGAGCGAACTCAGAGATATTTAAAGTTTCCACCATACTCCCACAACTAATAAGTAAGAACTATATACCATCTTCAACTGTTTTTAATACGTGCAATGAGTGAGTCTAGACGCTCACTAGTTTACGCTAAGTTGTTATTGTGATGACACTTCAGTCTTTGTTCTTTCTATTGTAAGATGCTATGAGTGAGTAAACAATTATAATTTGTAGAACTAAACTTCTACTTTTTTTGTTTATTTTTTTTTTATTTACTTTTTTAATTTCAATTGACCTTATACTTTCATTTTTTGTACATGTTATCTTGGTGGAATAAAAAATAAATACAAGAATTATTATACCAATGCCTTATACACCCCTCACTGTATGATTCATCCGCCTTTCTAAACCATTTTTACAGATGAAATACAATAAAAATATACAGTTTTTGTTGCCCATGAACTAAACGTAGATATCTATACACACATAGGGATGGGACAAATTCTTTAGAATCCTCCAAATTCCAAATAAAATAAAGGTTTGGGTTTAAGAGTTCTGAGATCAACTGACCTATCTTATTTTATCATTCACCACTGGATTGCCTACAGGGTAAAACACACTACTAACTTTAAGCATAGACAAAAATAATTAAATATAGACCGTCAGCTGTGCTACGGATACCATAGGTTCTCCGCTGGGAGCGCCATGTAGTTACGGAGTACGCCCTTCGCAACTACACGGTGCTCAAAGCGGTGTGCGCCAAAACCTATGGTAGTTATGGTAACAGTAGCACGGCTGACAGTGTATATTTAATTCTTTATATCTATGCTTTAAGCCACCACACATATCGGTCTATAGTTACAAGCAGTTAGGGTCAGTAAAAAACTCACCGACACAGGCCTCTCTCTTGTACTCGTCCACCACCTGTTGCATGTCAATGTAGGCTTTGTTGAACTCCTGGAAGATGCGGTTACGAGACACAAAGTTTGTGTATTGATCCAACAATTGCTGCACTTTGTCCTCTCGTCCGTACTTGACTGTCCATCCTCGTAGCTTTGTCTCCGTCAGGTGCAGGAACGCTATCAAGCAGCACTGGAACAATCAAGTCGGTGGATTATTGTCTTTTTCAATCTCTCTGGCGTTTTTTAATTTTTTCGTAAAGGAACAATCCAATACTTGGTTATAGATGCATGATTACAGGCTAAAAACACTCTTCTAGGTCTTTTCAAATGTTAACATAGTACACAAGAAATAATATTGCATTTATTTTACTGCCAAAACACTTTTAACCCTATCATGAAGCGTTTCATTGGACGCCAAATTAAGAACTGGATAGAGGCAATTAAATCCAGCGTCTGATATTATAGACCGTTTTGGTTATAGTCACCTTTTTGGGTGACTAATTTTATCGGTAGCTAATTTTTGGAAAAGCAAAGTCTGATTTCCGGACACGGAAAGAAGAAGAAGACCTTTTTGGGTGACCGGGCATTATCTGTCAGCCAATTGGCTTAATGTAAAATAAAATTAATTAAAATTAATTACTTAAAGCATGACAATTTATATGTATGTTACATAAGGTCCACTGTGGTTCATGACTCTTGTTATACTTTTTTAGTTTATAGCTTTGGCAATGTCTATTGCACAACTGTGTCTAATGACAATAAAGGATTCTTAAATTTTTATTCTCGATGTGCTGCTTTGGGTCATATTATCTGATAAAAATCCAAGCGTCAGGGATGGACGAGATTGGATTTTTAGTTCGAGACGAGACGAGATTTTTTATTTCTCATAAAATTTCGAGACGAGATCGAGACAGGATTTCCCTTCTCATACACAACGGGAAATGCACGTTCAAAATTTATACCTGATTTTGTAACATTGTTAGATGACTGTTTAAATACAAAAATAATGATAATAGGCAAGAATATTTACAATCTTTTATTAAAAAACATCAGCATAAAATTTTTTTTATTAATCACGCCTTACTTATTAAAAATGCCTACAATTAGGAAACATAGTGATATCAGTTAGGATAGAGTTCAACTTATCCTAAAATAAAATAAATCATAAAATAAAAGCAATATTCATTTTTATATAATAGTTACTTGTTTTGACTTTTTATAGTAATAAAACATTCCTCACACTGCTTACACTTAACAAAACTTCTCAAATGTTATTAAAGTAATATTATTAAAATAATTAAAGTAATATTTACATTTAAAGAATTAATTAAATAAGAACGCCTTCGCAAAGGAAACGCAACTACAACACGCTCCTGTATTGCGGGTATTGCATTTACTTTCTGCAGGCGTTTTTAATTTTTTTTTTAAATCTTTTTATTTTTTATTCTCGTCTCGATAAAAATCTCGGCCAAAAAGAAATCTCGTCTCCTGTATCGAGATGTAAAATTTCCCTAAAATTTCCCGAAATTTCGAGACTTGACCATCCCTACCAAGCGTTTAAACCAACTCTGGCAAAAGCATTACAACATTAGGGAAATTTGAAGAGTTTATCTCAGAGGTTCCAAAGAGCCTATTTCTTATCCAGAAAGATTATTTGTAAGGTTTGTCCAGTTTACCTTATGTTCAAGGAACTTGAGTCGTATTCTGCGACGGGCAGATCTTGGTGGCACACTGCGCAGTCTGCGACCCATATGCTCCAGCTGAGCTTGAGGTACCTGCGCTGAGACACCAGACACCACACCCTTCTCAAACATAGCCTCTATGTTGGGCAGCTCGGCGAAGAATGCCTGTTGACATGGCGAAGTGATGAAAATGTTAAATGAGTGATTCAATCTGTGCCATCCTCACAACCAAAGTTTTTAACTTTACATAATTTTATTTTAGGCTATTGACAGAATTAGACGTCATATTCATATGTTAAAACTGTATCCATTTACATAAAAATAAAAATTAACGCATTTGAATTGAACCACTAACAGAATGTGATTATGTCAGTTACAGTTACATATGTGAAATATGCCAATTTTTTAACCAAGCCAAGCTGAAAGAATTGATTGAACACTAGATATAGCATATTTTAAGTCCCATAAAGTATAAGGAATTAAAGGATACGATAGCATTTTGACAGTACCACACTCTTTGAATTGTTCAATCATTTATGTTCTATTTGAATAAAAATTGACCACAGCTGGTCCATATAGGTGGATGTCAACTTCAGTGTCTAAAATTAATTGGTTTTATCAGATAAGCAAAAAATAGTTTACCTTTTTGCAAATAACGAGTTTAAATTAAGGCAAATAATATTTTACAAGCAAATTTGGTAAAAAAGTTAGGGTATAATAATGTGTCAATGTCTCACAGTAGGCCTGATTTTTTATTCATATTTTGTGTTAAATATTTGCAGCCTCTTCTTTTATCAAGTGATTTCCAGAATCTACTACTATTAAAAATGAATCCAAAGACTTATTCAGCCACAGATAACTAACATTTCTCCATTTTTTGCATGAGTCATATTTGTAAACAACTAGTAAATACATGTAATCTAACTCATATATAGCAAAACTGATGACAGACAAGCCTTCACCACTCACCTTATGTTCCTCTAGTTTCCGACTGATGATGGTTGCCGTTTCCTCATTCATGGCTGTAGGGATGTCATCGGACTCTATCAGATCATCAGCCCGAGCCAGCCACTCTCCTACCTGACAGAACGGAGGTGGCAACTGTGAGTCCAGGAGCCTCAGCCAATAGCGCATCTGAAACAAAGGGTTAAAAATACAATCTTCAAGAGACATACTAGGGTGTATAAGGGTTTGTGCTATACAAACTTGAATGTTTTGCCTATTTCAGTTTGGACTTTTTCAGGATAGTGACTGTTCTGCAGATATATTATTTTCATAGTAAAACCATAAAACATAGTTACAAATGAATTAGAGTTATAGTGTGATTGTTGACGGAAAGCGGCTGGCTGAAGGGTCGACCCTACTCACACACACAGACACAAAGGATTAGGACGGACGTGAGACGGACCATTGAACTGCCGCGCGAGTCAAGGCTGGCTCACGGAAATTAAACTATCAATTTTTTAATTTTATATTTGTTATAAAATCTGGTAACGCTTTTGACTTCAGCTCAAAATGCTTAGTAAAATGATACCAAACAATATATATATATTGCTTACAAAGTGTAAAAGCTACAAATATTTTAACACGCTTTGATTAGCTAGCTACTTGTCATAATCATTTTGGACTCATTTTTCATTGAATTAAACAACAAATGTATTAACACTAACCATTTTACTGTATATATCTAACATCAAATGAATTGCAATTTTGAAGCATCATACACAGATGTTATATTTCTACTTAGTGAATAGGGGATCGGCGCTTTCAGGCAATTAGGACGGTGGTGATTGTGCGTGCGTGAGTCGGGTCCCTCGCAGGTAGGGCTGAGCTCCAGCCGCACTCCGGTAAAAAATCTGACTATAAGCTGAGCATGTCTACTTTCCAGCTCCACGTGAGTGAGATATTGCTCTAAGTATGCATGCAAAACATTTATATAGATTGTGAAGGAAATTATGGATAGTAAACATCAGGAAATAAAACTAAAATATACTAGCAGCCAGCGTCACTTCGAGACTTCAAAATCTGTGATATATTTGTATTAATTTACAATTTTCTATTGCTCTGAGTGAAGTTGAATTTACATGTCATGCATTCATTAGTCCAAATTTAATAAGAGGGGGATTTACTGAATTGTCCATGGCTAAAGGCAGTTGATAAGGGTAAAAACAAATATTTCTCATCATATCCCTATTATTTGCATTGTGTGCCCTATTATTTTCATTGCGTGTGCTATCTTAAAAATTACAAATACTAATGGAAAATATATGTAGGTGCCTTAGGCAAGTGTTAATTTGATGTAAAATAAAGTACAAGTACCGGTATTTAATACAGTATGTACATTTTTCATCGCAATAAGTAAAAAACATGTCACAACATTTCAGGATTTAGCATCTGATTCCATGCTCAGGAGAGCCCCCTCAAGAAAATCCAGGTCACAAAACGTTGTGATAGCTAGGATTAGACAAATTTTCGTGAAAATTGTCCACGATAGTCCCTCGAATAACATAGTCTTAACATCATCAAAAATTATCTTGCAACAAACAAGTATTTTAGTATAAGTTAATTATAATTTAATAGTGGCGAATGACAATGGTAGACGTACCATTACCATCACACTTGACAGTTTTTACTTCCTACCCCTATACATAGTGATGTAAAATACCCGGGTATTTAAAACTCGGGGTAAATACCCTGGGTAATTACCCGGGTAAATACCCAAAATCCATAAATACCCGGGTATTTTGGGTATTTATGAAATCGATTGAAATTCATTTATATTTACCCCTAAATATGTTATTGTTATCATATTACATGATAAATTAGAATAGTCTATAACATCTTTTACAGCCAACTTGAAACTTTGCTAGTACCTTTTATTTAATGATTTACTGAAGCACTTTAAAAAAAATAATACATAAAGTTTCCAAAAGGCATGGGGTTTCGTGTCTTAAATTGAGTAACATCAGTTAAATTTAACTTACTAAAAATAGTATATTAAAAAAGGTTGTGGCTATTTCAATTTTTATCATGTCATAATTTTTTCAATAAATTAAATTTTTTCATGAATTTTTTTTTTCAATTAAATAGCATAAACAAAATTATTTTAATTTGTAAATATCCAAATGTTATTAAATTATGATAGTAAAAATTTTTATTGTATTAAATGGCTTGGAAGGCTAGACAGACCTAAGGCTTGATTGACATAGGCAGAATGGCAGAATACTAAAAGTAATTAAACTTTTCTGTGTTACCGCTTAGTTGGAAACAGTAATATATTTGGACAAACCTACAAAAAGAATGTATCTCTTCTTTTTTGGTCTAACTCAATATCATTTCAAAAGATTTATTGTGCTATAGATTCAAATGTTTTGTATCACAAGTTTATGAAAATTTTTTTTTTTAATGTTGATACCATTGATACCAATAAAATATCTAGAACAAAAATATTATTAAATCCTGCCATCCTACAGATTGAATTTTAATTATTTCGGGTACACTTCCATATCTGTTGGCACAAACAACGGAATGAAAATATTGATCGATATATCGAATTTAACAGTCGAATAATCAATATTACTCATTCGGTTGTTTATGCCAACAGATATGGAAGTGTGCCCTTATTTTCTTAAGTTCCACTACTAGGTTAAATTTTCCTGTCTTTCTAAATAATAATTATTACTTTACAAATTATTTTTCTTCACTTTCAATAAAATAAATTCATCTATCTATCATAGAAATTCATAAGTAGAAAAATCATAAGTAGTTAGGACCAGTGCAACCATGCGACCAGGGTATTTATGCCGATTAAGCTTTATGCTGAGACCCGGGTATTTATGGCGATTATAACCAGAAGTAAAATGCTAGAAGTGACCTTATGAAATTTTGTTTAACACATTTTATCATCATTTTACTATTCTTCCAGGGTAATAATTGCAAAAAAACATCTCAATCTTCTCTAACTTTAATAAATATTATAAATACCCAGTTTTTGGGTATTTACCCGGGCCTGGGGTAAATACCCGGGTAAAAACCCAATTTATATTTACCTACCCACTGGGTATTTACCCGGCCCACATCACTACCTATACATGTATATGGATGGAGAAAGTAATGTTGTTTTCGTCAAAATTTTCAAGTTTGAGTTATGAGTGGATATATATTGGTTTTGGATCCAAAGGGACCCAAAAAAGTTGTTTTCAAAGTGATGTCTGTGTGTGTGAGGGTCTGTATGTGTGAATATTTACAGAGCTACTACAGACTACACCTGTGGTCCGATTTATGTAGGTACTAATCCATGGTATCTCCAAGCACATTTTTCATTTTTTAGAAATTTTGATTTTTAACAGTGATTTCCCCATAAAACCCCAAAAAATAATGAAAAAATCTGATTTTCTCTAAAAAAAAGCCGGAACGATTTTGATAAAAATTTAATACGTTGTAGCCCTTTAAATTCTGAACAAAATGGTAGAAACCCCATTCCTGTAAAAATTACAGTTGAAAAATTATTGAAAATTATGTTGTTTTCCCATAAAACAAGAGAAAATCTTATTAAAAAAAAACCATTCTGATTGAAATTTGTCTTTTTTGGTCCTTATAATTCTAAACAAAATAGTCCAACCCCCTTCCCTGTAAAAATTACACTTCGAAAGATATTGCATTTTTTGTGATTTTAAGTATTAAATATTATAGTTAGGCCTACTCTCATCGCTTACCCATAAAGGTTGTTGACAAGCTAATTGGAGAAAGTATGTGTCAGATTGCTGATGCCGTTTATTTTTCCTTGTATTTACAGTTAGTCCAAATGACATCCACTACAAGTAGTTTGTGTAGCTCACCTCTGCATGCAGTTGTCTCCAGAGTCTGTCTATTTCCCTCCAGGACTCTCCAGTTATACTGATAAGACTAGGAGAGTCAACCAGTTTGTGAAGCTTGTTGTACAACTCTGCCCTGCTTTGTACCTCATTTTCAAAGGCAGCATACTCCTGAAATTAGAGTTTACATTTGTGTATTATTAGAATGTTTTGGTAACTAATGTGTTAATGAAAAGTCAATCGTTCATTTAAATCTCTAGTCCCAAAAAGATATTAATTGTGTAATTTAAAGAGAGTCCTGCTATTCTGAACCCTATTTCAAAAATACGCTTATTCCACAGTAAAGTTCAGAAATTATTATTTTTTTACATTAGTACAAAACTAACTATGTCACTGAGAAAGTTGTTGAAGCTCGCGATGTTGTCCCAATGTCGCAAATGCCAGCAATGTCGTCAATAATGTCAAAGGAGCAAGCAATATTGCCAAAGTTAGTGATATCGATATGCTGTTGCAGCGATTATGCCAAATACATTGATATTACTGTGTTTAAAAAATACGTTTAATCTGAATTAACGCTAATCCTAACAGGGTTAGGTGCAACTTAATTAAAAATAGAAAAGATCTACTGAAGTATTTTTTTTTTCAAACCATAAAATATACAGGGTGATTGATATAAGTGTGCCAGCCGTTTTATTCGAAAACCATAAGAGATATCAAAAAAAGTTAAATGGTAAGTGCATTGGATTTTTTATTAACAAAATTGTAGTCAAGTCAAAAAAATTATTTTAGCCGCCATTTTTCCAATATGGCCGCCAACTCTGATTTTTCTTATGGAATAACACCCTGTATTTTATGATGTATACCGGTAAAAAATGTAAATTTAAGACAATTTTATCCTTGTGATTTTTTTCATAAACCTAACCATTTCAAAGATAATAATGGTTTAAGTTGTGAAATTTTGAATGGTTTTAGAATAAAACAGCTGGCATGCTTGCTATAGGCCTTTATCGATACTCTTTCTCATGCAGAAATATCAAAACTTTAACCATTATTATCTTTGAAACAATTAGGTTTATGAAAAAAATCACAAGAATAAAATCGTCTTAAAATTACATTTTCTACCGGAAAACATCATAAAATACAGGGTGTTCTGTAAGAAAAATCAAAGTTGGCGGCCATATTGGGAAAATGGCGGCTAAAATAATTTTTCCCACTTGGCTACAATTTTTTAAATAAAAAATCCAAGGCACTTACCATTTAACTTTCTTTGGTATCTCTTATAGTTTTTGAATAAAACCGCTGGCACACTTATATCAATCACCCTGTATCTCTTGCCACAGAGAGAATACAAGTGTTATTTAAGTGTAAAATCAAAAGTATAAAACATGACTGATCACATCATGTTAAGTGTAACTCTGCCATTTGTAGTAAAAAACTCAAAATTACATGTTCATCAACTTTAATTATAACTGCTAACCTGGTAGTTGTTGGGTAGAGAGTTGGTCTGTCTAAGATGCTGTAGGTAGTGGTTCCTCTCTTGCAGCCAATGTGTGAGTGAACTGTATTCTGACTGTATAGCAGTGAGCGAGTCTCCGGTATCACTTCTCAATTCAGGGTACTTGTGTAAAAACTGAGCAACGTATGTCATCACGGACTTCTCATCTGGCCTGTCTACGTCTACGTCCTGTTGACAAACGAATGACATATTTCAAATAGCTGACAAGATGAATTTTAACGATGCCAACTATTTCATGTTCTATATAAGAGATTTTTAAGAATGGTGCATTCTTAAGAGATTTTTAAGAATGGCCACTACTCTTTTAACCATCTGTATTTGTTATCAGTCATCTAAAAACAAAAACAAGTATTCCGCTAATCCTTATATATAATACGTGAAGGCGATTTCTAGAAAACACTACTCCTCTGTTAATAATGGACGGATTTTTACAAACGACACATCAAAATAAAGTATTTTTTGTGTAGACGCCCCCTTTCACCAATTCATGTAGTAAGAATCCTCGGGCTTTGCCCCACAGGCCATCAAAGTTGGAGTTTCTCCCATAAGATTAACATGGGGGAATCTAAATATTTGATTGGAAACTTTGTCCCCACTAATTTGAGAGAACGGTTGGGCGTAGAAACTTGGTAGAGGTGTCCAAAGAAAGGTCTTGGTCTGTAGATGAGTTATCAAAAGAAAAACTAAGCAAAATCCCTTAGGACTCTGCCCCAGAAGCCTTAAAAGATCCCTCCACAGAGTTGTTTACATTTTGGCCATGAGAATAATACTTTTTAATGAAACAGCTGTTCATTTTTAAATTGTATTTCAAACAACACATATTTATTGGGAGTTGAATTCTACCAAATAAGTATTTGCAATGTTATTTTCTGATTTTAAAATTGATTTTCTTCTTTATCATGCCATGTTTTGCAATATAACGTTCCATTACGAAATCAGTGGAAAATCCTTTTATCACAGCAATTCTTAAATCATTTCTTATTGAACTATCTTATATCTATTGTACGGGTTGGTGTGTGCCTTTTTTGCCACTTTTGCCTACATTTTAACATATTATTCTACAAAATATCAAATATTTATGTAGAAATATCTGCTCTTATTGTGTCTAATAAAATCCAAACTTAAAAAAATTGCCTAAAATAGTACCTATCTTGACAAATTATTTGCACCTGCCTATATTACGGACTTTGGCGCACCGAATTTGTAACATTATTCAAAATAACACGACATTTTGGCTGTAAAATATGGTACAAAGAGAAAATACAATTTAAGCAGCTACTGTCATGACAGAAAGGTCATATTCCTTTTAAACTAGATCACATAATCCTTTGACTGGGACGGGTGGCGTCGTCCTGTAATCCAGCTACTAGGAGGTCACGAATTGTGGATATTTATAGGAATGCACTGTGGATGCGATACTCCCTGGTGTGGATTAACGTCCGCACGAGTAAGTACTACAACTACCCGCAGTGCTATCCTGATAATTATACCAATTCATAAATACCAATGCAAAAAAAATTTGGTTCCAATTCAACTATAAACTGTAGGTCCCTTGGTTGCCATTCGCTGTATGGGCTATTAGTTAACAGCTGTATCCAAGGAATGTCGGCCTTAGTCACTAACAAGACTTCAAGATCGTGCCACTCATCCTACACTCATCTCCATTCATACTTGGCTTACCTACTATGAATGGTCGCCATAAAAAACGTATTAAAGGATTAAAGTATTTATCATATACGTTGATTAACAGTATGTAAACGTATATGTAACAGCCATTTTACAGTATTTTTGCTTTTTGGAAATGTTCCATTGCTATGTCATTTGCATTATTTATTGCCAATGAAGCCGCCAAGATCATATGAACTAGGAGGCCCCTGACAGTTCAAGAATAAAAGCCAACTTTACTTCATGTATTCCACTACACCTAACATTCCGTAGAGAGATTGTATTGACAACTTTATGTTATTGATAAGGCCGAGACAACTAACTGACATCCCCCATGTCAAGGAATTCCAGCTTTATCAGTAACCCCATAGTCTATTTCTCAAAACTATGCTAGAGGGTTCATTCATTGGCACAGAAGTACGATATGAACTGACGCGACGTGACGAAGGAAAATCAAACTTACACTGTAACGGATATAACTCCCTTTGAAGTTAGAACGTGTCTTCTCAACAAACATATATTTTTTCTCAAACACTGATGAAGTCGCAGAAGTGTTTAACTACAAGATCCACCAATACGATTTAAATACTATTTAAAGGTTCTACCAAAGGAAGAGATACCATATAACATACTAATAATAACTCCGATGACGTACAGGATAGGAAATATTTTAATCATTGAATGAACAACCAAATTTGGCAACTAACGCAATATTGTTATTTTTTTACACTTATTACTCTTTGAACAATGTTAAATGCTCAAAATATGTATATTTCACCCAATTCATCGCAGTTAGTTGAATTAACGTAAGCCTTGAAAGTAACCGTCGATTTCGACGGGTTTCCCCTAGTTTTATAGATAGCAGGTTTTTAATAGTATTTTGTATAAGTTATTATATATAATCATGAATAAAAATAAAAAATTATACTACTGTATATGTATTACACACATGCACAATGTTAAATTAATTTCTGAAATCATTGTAAATTGTAATATTCCAAAAACTAATTTTCTGTCGAGGATTATGTATTATACTTCTAGTCAGTTAATCATCATAGTCCCGGTTCAAAAGGTCATGGAACTGTTTTCACATTACTCCAGACTTTAGGCTTAGGGGTCGTGGCATTATCACTTAGATAAAAATCCATTGGTGATTAGCAGGATTTGAATTTGTGACCTTGGGGAATGAAGAACCATATATCAGCTTGCACCTCGCTTTTTATGAACAGATCTACAGGTTATGGTTTCTGACCACCAGTTTCAACAGAAGAATGGTTCGAGTAATGAAGATAATGTTACCTCGGGATCCAGCAGCCTGGCCACACCGAGCTCTCTTTCAGCAGCATCAAACGCAGCCTCCAGTCTAACTCTGTTTGTTGCCCGGCGCAGTGCCGCCATGTCCACAACGTTCTTGCGGATTTGATCCACGATGGCGAGGAAAGCTAGACCATCCCGCCAGCTCTGACCAAAGTCCTTCACTTGTAGTCCAATGTCTCTGTGAACCAACGTCACAATTCAATTTTTTAGTTAAGTCCACCTACTTAATGGTTTAACTGCACACCCTAACTCATACTACAGTTTAAAAACCTTGATAAAAATTACAAACATGACCAACTGGTCAGAGTCTAAATCTGTAGTTGATGCAGCTAACAAAACAAATACAATCAGAGGCAGGATGGTAGAAACATTATTAAACAATTCTTTGCACTGTTCAAAATAAATCCTTAACAAATTTAGGCCTTGAACTCAAATCATTTTAGTTTAGCTTTTCAGCAAGAAACTACCAATCAGCTATCAGGATATCAAAACATCATTACTGCTCTTGCTGTTCACAAAAAACTTGCTAAATGTTAGTTGATTGTTAAATTGTAAATATGGCCGTTCACTAGACTAATATGATGCATAAGATATTGCAAATCCTTTACATTATTTAAAAAAATAAAAACTTAATAAATAGCCAATAACATTGTGCTAATAAGTCTGAAGCTAATAGGTTGAACCGGAGGAACTAACTCTATTGTAAACCGAGGGGTAATGTAAATTTATTCTTGAGATATTCTGAGCGTTCAGAACGTGATGACAGCCATGAAAGACTTCCAGAGTTATCAGTTTTGCTTTGACAGAATCTATTTGAATGTTGCATGCTTCAAACACTCTCCATTTTCTACTCTATGATCGTAAATCAATGCACATGCGAGACAGTACGTAAATCTTTTCTTATCAACATATATCATCCGACAAATAATATTTTAAGTGATTTTTCTCATATTAGGCATCAAAACGTTTTTGGAAATATGTACGGTAGTTGAAAGCATAGGTTACAATGTGACAATTGAAATTGTTTCTAAACCAAATGACAAAATTATTAAGTTCCTTGTTGCTGAAATATTGTGGCGTGTTAATTTTTAACTGAAACTATATTCAAATTTAAAAAACTTAGCACATAAAATCCAAATAAAAAAGGAGGATGAACTACTTGGTCCCATCAGGTTGAAACTTGAAAGACCTGGCGGCTACACAAACCCAGGTGTTGTTCAATTAACAGCAAATGCTTTACCAGCTAGTTTAGGTATCAGATTCCCAGTTGTATATCTAAGCTACATTGTAATGGAAACACCCGGTCATGTAGTTGGGGAAACCACGGCGAACAGCTTTCCCACACTACTTTTTACAAGAATTCGTTATGTTAGTTATTAGACCAAGACAGTTCAACATAATTGGAAACATTGTTATTTTATCCATTGCTTCTTTCATGACAGAAAAACACTGAATGGTTCCATTTTGACTTGTGCATAGTTTGAGTGTTGACAAAATAGTTAACCATTTTAGTCTGTAATGTTTCAGGCCTTTCACAAACTATTGTTCCGTTCTACAGTGGCGTCCCCATCTCAATGATAAGTAATATTTTATATTTGTTACTTGTAAGTGTTTTCTTCTCCATACCAACACTATAAAGTTTGAACCCTTGCAAGATTTTCTGCCTAACTACTGCATTGAAGGTTGTGTAACTCACTTTGGCAGTGCGTTAGACACCCAGTTGAGGAGGGCTCGTTTCGCCCCCTCTCCTTTGCGACGACTCTCGCTGGTAGAGTCGGGTGTTCGGCTGCCCTCGAGGCTGCTGGCGCTGCCGAACCCGTAGCCCAGGGACGCTAAGGCTCGGGTGTTCTCTTCGATCTGCGGAAAGTACATGAAAATTGCATCCATAAAATGAACAGTTCTGTGTTTGAGGTTAATTTTTAGTGATGGTAAGTTAATGGTAATTGAGAAAATATTGTAGACTATTTTGTTCTGTGTATAAACTTAGTTTTTCACTAATAGTAATGAAAAATGTTCTCAATAGCTACTTAAATAAAAATCAAACTTTATTTACCTAGATCAACCTAGAGGTAGATGACATAAATACCAGATGACCAACACCATAAAGCCTACACAACAAGTGTCATTACAGTAGCTACAAAACATGTGAAATATGTTTGTAGGCCTACATAGTGTGAATATTTGCCTTCACATATGGCACGGTGAATGACAGTTAAAAGATAAAAAGGCTTTACGGTTGTTTTAAAATACAAGCAAAATCCAAATGTATCTGCAGTAACCTAATCCATCTATTGATTGAACACATCACTATATTTTATTTGTACACATGCCTTTTAGTTAAGCTTTGGAATGGTGATCTTAAAAAAGTTTGACAATAATTCAATTCAAATTTCAAAAGATTTAAATCAGTAACTTGCCCTTAAAATGTTTGGTAGATAGGATTAACAATTTAATACTGGTAACAAGAAAAAATCCTGCCAACAAAACAGGGCTTCTTTTCAAGAGTAAAACAAGTCAATTAAAATATAAAAAGTTTATGCATGCAACTTTTAAAGAATGAAAATAAATTGTATTTGGAGTTGCAAAAATTAACTTGTATATTATAAAAAAGCATGAACAAAATTAAATCAAAATGTAGATTAAAATAAAATAACCAAAAGAATAAAAGTTTTGACAACTATAATAGAAAAACAACGCCTAAAACTATTCACATAAGTTTTTTACATGCAGTAAATGTGCGTTTTGTACAACATTCAAACTCACCAGGTTTTCCTTAAGTCGGAGCTGAGTTAATGTTTTAGATATTAGTTTTGTACTATCGGTGAAAGAGACTGGTTATCGTCACAACAAAGCATTTTTATCGTTTTTAAAATACCAGTAAAACGGTTAATAGAACGTTTTAGTTTTTAAACTCAATGAAGATACAAAAAAGCTCTTTTCTCCTAGAGTACTTAAAAACCAATATTATTGATTTATAACAGATTGTGAATGCTTAATGATTGTATCCTAAAGATAATATGAAAATATTTAAGGAAGGTGTGTAGGCCTATATACTTTATATTACTTGATTCTAAACATTAAAGTTTAAGTCCATGTTTTACAAGGATAGGCAGCCGCTGAGCTGTAGTAGATATGAAGTTAAACTAATACTTTCATAGTTTTGTTAATACAGATCAATATTAGCTAAATTTGTAAATGTTTTGGTATTCTAAAGAACTTGATAAGTACATTTTGACAATGATGTCTTAACATAAAAACATGGGTTAATTTGAAATTTAAGTAATCAAACTAAATTTCAGTTTCCTACAAACTGTTCGAGAAACCCTACATTTACTGAACAATTAAAGGAAATTTTAAGTGTTCAAAAAAATGTTTTCTTTACTTATAGAAAGGGATAGGCCTGATCTTATCATTTTATTTTTAAATTGAACCTAGAATAAGATTTTAGAAATCTGTGTTGGCCCATGATCACATTACAATTAAATAGGCTTAACCATGATTAGAATATCTATCTTTTGTCAGAACTATTCAATGTTGACTTTTTAATGTTACAAATTAGGGCAATTAAGATTTTCCAACAAGAGCTGTTGTATCCTATTTAAAGATGATGATTTCATCAAATTTAAACCTTGAGTTCTTACCTGGAAGTACAATATGATGGTCCATATTAGTCCTAGCACAACAGCTGGTCTTCCATCAACCAGGTCCGTTGCATTGATGTTTACTAGTTTGATCTGAAAAAGGTCAAATACTTCATTCCAGTACAGAGAATGCTTTTACCCTCTGAGGGGCGTCTTACAAAGTGAATTACAAGGAATGCCCACTAACCCCCCATAGATCACATTACCGGTACTTCTACCACCATGTCTCTCAGCTGATATTCATGCATTGCATAATATTACGGTACATGTTACTGTAATTACACTAAAATAACTATTCATATTTGAGCACTAGATTATTTCCACTTGAAAAACCATTTGTGGAATGCAATTTTGGAAACAAACTAACGAACAGTGTTTTTATATTCAGGACAGGATTGTTATGCTATGCGCGGGGTTAGAACAGGATTCAGGATTTTAGGTTCTAACACCTAGTTATCTTTTTTTACTTCTTTTGAGGTAAAAGAATAAACCCAATAAATTTAGTTGCTTAGTACAATATTAGCAAGGTTTTAAAGAACTATTTGATACATGAAAAACACTTGGGATGTAACAGTATTTGTTAGGATAAAGTTCATGTTGGATCGAATGGGAATTTTCATTACATTAAAGCAGGATAAAATGGGATTATTTCAAGCTGATACCTATGTGGAATTTTTGATTTAGGTACTCAAGTTAAAACACTGCTAACAATATACAGGTCACATGCTTACTGTATTCTGCAACACCAAGGAACATGCTTTGATTTTTATTTATATTGGGAAATTGTACGATACTAGAAACAGTAATCCGTTCCCATCTAGCAACATCTGGTTTATCAGCCCAAGATGCATCCACTGAACTACCACGTTCAGTCAAGGTTATTAAACATACTTTTGAGGAAATTCTGAGTGCTAAGTTTCACATGCCCATCTTCCAAAAATGTCAAATTTTAACAACATTCAATGTACGATCAGTTTATGGTACTACCTGACCTTTTCAAGCACTGTTAGTTCTTTATTCCGCACTTGAACATATAGTAGAACTACAACCATGGACTAAGCAACACAAGTAGACTCCTCATCCCATTGTAAATTTTGAAGCTTATTTTTTGTGTCTAGTTCATACGTCGACACTGATCTAGTGTAGACAATTTTTCTTCCACGTGGATGACAAATCTACTAAGGGAGTATGTTTTATCCATGGTACAACTATCTGAATCTCTTAGAGAGTGAATTCTAAAAAACTTAAAACCACAGAATTGTTGGGTCAAAAAATAAATATGACTGCATGCTTTTGTAATCTTTTTGTGCATTCAAAACAGAACAAAAAATGTAGGAAATTATTTATATAATTGTAAAATACCTAATTATTTAGCATATATATTTTTACTCCCACCTTTTTGCTTTGTAGGAACTGTAGTGCTGTGTTGACATTACTAAGAAAATGTGGTCTTCTAAGGTTGCGACCTCGCTCTACAGGCTGCAAACCAAAATATATTTATCATTTCACCATTAAATATGAGTGTAAAATCCATACTGACTCAATACATTGTGCAATTTGCTGCTCCAAAAGAATAGTTAAACACTGCATTACAGCAATAATTTGCACCTTCATTTCTTTTAGAAAATAAAAATCAACCACCGGTAACAGACAATACAGCTTATAATGAAACAATATTTTAACCGTCATAAACTAGAATCTAATAGATGTGAGAGGCCATTCGTCAACGTAAAGAAGTAATAAACAAACAGCGTAATGCGGTCGATTGCCTGGCACATTGCGAAATTATGCAGTGCCAAGTGTCGGGCGAAATTGATCCAGTAGAACCGTGCCATGTTATTGAGGACCTACCGTGAAATGTATGTGGCATTACATGGTTTGGATGCTCTCCAACTTCCTTCCATTGTCAAAAAACTTTCACACTACATACTTCTTCTATAAATAAACTCTAATAATAGGTCGGGCAGTGCATCCGTCTAGACTACTCGCTAATGTTGTATGATAATTATATGCCACTTTGAATAATGTAAATCATCAACATATTATGCCAGCGAGATCTTGGCAACAGTTAGTTATTGTGGACTTCTGGTCAGTAAACTGTACTTTAAATAATCATGATTTAACAACTTCAATTAAAGCACTGACTTCTATCTTTGACCATTGATATAACTAGACATTCCATCTCCATGATAAAGTTGTCGCCAGTTTTACAATCAAAATCGTTGTAAGTTAGTAAATGTGAGCCACCTACAGATTTTGAATCTAAATTAGGCTAGTACCTACTTAAATCTGTTGAATAGGCTACACTAACATTTTTACGGAGTTTAACTAATGAAATGACTTATTATGAGCTGAAGCAACTGTTATAACTAATGAACTTGGTTAGCAACAGAAAATTTGATGGACAATATAAATTTATACACTACCGGTAGCGCATTCAATGACTAGCTCACACAAACTGTTTTCTTTTTTAATAAAAAATTGAAGACAGCTGTTAAATGGGATATCTACTTCAGTATCCAATAGTCAATCAATGGTTCTCAAAATTTATAAAACACTGATGTAATTTACTATCACAATAAGTAGGCCAAGTTTTTATCAGTTGGCCAACTAAAAATTACTTGATTCTAAGTAAGGCACATTCTCACACATTGTCTTTTCTTTCTTGTGTCTACCACAGTGGCATTTTAAAATCAAAGTCAACGCAAACGCTTTTAGGAAACAACTGTCCAAACCCATAAAGTTTTAAATGGATATATGCCGGGAATTGAACCTGACCCTCCAGCACGGAAGGCTGAGACGCTGACTACTATTCTAGCAAGACGCCTCTACTGTCACTAAGTTGTCTTTTATTTCTTTATTATTTACAGTATTCATTCCAACGGTCAAACAACCAAAACAGTACTCGACATAAATATATGACAAAACGTAATCCCTAAGTTAAAAAAGGAACAGTTTGAAAATCATTTAGCAGCCAACTTGGAGCAAATATTCTATATGATATAATTATAATACGTCTTAAGTTAGTAGAGTATAGAGTGGCCTGGCTCTGTAGGACATGATTGGATATAAACTTTTAACAAAATAACAAAAATAGAAGTTAATATAGCCTAGGCCATACTTAGGCCTGAATGGTTCTAGGTTTAAATACAACATTAACTTACCAGTTTTTCCCCTGAGAGTATTTCAAGTAGAGCCAGGAGTTTTGTGCCATCTTTCAAGTCTTCAATCAAGTCATCCACTCGAAGCGGTGGAACTCGCTGAAAAATATCACATATTTAGAATGCATTTTAGAATTTGATGATGATTAACCCAGTGAGATAGTATGGCATGTAAGTAATTGCACGATAATTATGGCACACTGTCCACTAAGTTAACTTAATTAGTAGGCCTACAAGTAGCCTATATTGTCGTGAGAATTCCATTATATTGAATTTTTAGCCTCCTGATCACATTTAAATAAGTTACTGAAAAATGGTGTAAATACCTGCATTTATGTGAACAATGTGATGCTAAATTGCAACCGGCTTCGACTGACAAAGTAGTCATCGTCGGGCCAGTACAGATGTCTTTTTGCTTCATTCAAAGGTCGTCAATTCATAATAAATAAATCAATTTAACACGCACACGTACCGTACTTGAACATAGAAACGAACATTTAGGGTTAAAAACGAAGGATAATACTTCTAGACATAACCCCCGCCCGATCACGTCGTGTCCTGTTACCGTTGCAGTATTATCCTTCGTTTTTAACCCTAAATGTTGGTTTCTATGTTCGTGTTCGTGCGTGTTAAATGTATTTATTTATTATGAATTGACGACCTTCGAATGAAGCAAGAAGACATCTGTACTGGCCCGACGATGACTCCTTTGTGAGTCGAAACCGGTTGCAATTTAGCAACACATTGATCACATAAATGCAGGTATTTACACCATTATTGAGAATTCCAAGTTAACTTAAGTTACCTATGTAGCCTGCCCCACAATCAAAGTAGACTGTTAAAATTAATTTTCGTCTCACGGATACACTAACTTATAGGCTATTTAGTCAAAGTACTCCAAAGGGTATTTCTGACTTATACTAACTTAGATCTGTTCACAGATTAAACTTAGTTAAGTTAAGTTACCCTAACTTATCAAATTTTGTAGACTGTACAACAACATTGATTTTTACTCCAATTCCCTTTAGTCTATTACCGGTAACAAACTACCTAACTTATTCTTCGTAAACCTGGTGACGCTATACTTAATAGGTAGCCTACTGAATTTTTGTGCAAAATAAAGATTAGGCCTATTTGATTTGAAATTCTTTCTAAGGACAGGTCAATGTTAACCAGTGACAAAAAAATTGAATAAATCCCCAAACAAATATCAAGGGTAGACTTCCATATATGTTGGCACAAACAAATATATTGATATTTTCATTCGGTTGTTTGTGACCAATATCAAGCAAGTGTACCCAATATCAACCTACAAGATGTCTTAATTGAGACAATTTATCAAACTAGGCCTATCTTTATGGGACTTCTAGTTAGACCTAGCTTATATATTTGAAACAGATTAATAGTACCTAACTTAAATCATTTTAGGAAGAAGGTCAATCAGTCTTTAAATGATTGATTACAAACAACAGATTACCTTGCATCAAAATACTTATAATGAAGGTAGTTTTATGTTTTTGTAAACTTAGCATAACGTCTATTTGTAACTCACTATTCATGGCTATAGTTATCCCAAAACGCTTATACAGTTCAAGAAACTCCGAGAGCGACAAAGGCATTGCACAAAATAGCAGCGGATCAAACTCTGAAAATTACTAACTAGGCTAGAGAAGAATAAAAGGCTAAGAATCTTCAAATCTTCCATTTTTGGTCAATGTTTCGCCAGTGATAAACTAAAAACAACAAACGTAAGCAATAGCAAGCAGACAACCAATTTGACTTTTTAAATTAAATGTCAAACAAATACAAAATCAAAACACAGTTTTTTTTATCAAGCAAGATTGAAGAAGAAAACATGAGAATCTTTACCAACAAACAGGCTATGAGATAAAAAAGAACACCAACCAAGACCATTGATCACAGGAAAGAGTGTTTTATACAGTAAGTTAGTAGCCGTTTATACCATATTTACCGCCTCCTTTGTGAGCGAAGTACATAATGCCGTTGAAGTTGACAATGAAAATAGACGGTACGGTAGGTATGTAAGTTGAATTCATTCCACGCGTCTGGACAATATTATTACATATTGCACATTAAGGCTACGCAGCGTCGCCTCGTCGGTTAAGATGAGCATTGTGCTAAATGGACGCCATATATCAAATATGCAATTGGCAAAGTGGCTTCGTTGGTGTAATGAGGAGCTATTGTGTTAACAAATCGTCTAACCTTGACTCGACAAAAAATAAAATTACCGCAGAGCTAATTATTGGTCAACGGCCAAAGCCAATCTGCTAATTCCCGTGCACCATTTACAAGTTTACTGTGGAGGGCGTAATATGTATATAGTACCGGGGGAGGCCGAGCCATGTTCAGTATAGTTTATTTCGATCGTAAAATAAATTTAATGGGAACTCACGTGTTATTTACAGGTGGTAATGTTTGATTTAATTATTTAAGCTACAGCTGAATTTCAATCTATTATGATGGGGATTTTAACCTGGAAATTTACAACATATTAGTTTTTTTTACATTCGATGGTAAAAATCACTCGTTTATGATATAATAATAGCATAATTTAATTTTTCGATCAATGGCCAAAGGCAATCTGCTAATTCCCCTTGCACCATTTACTGGTTTGTGGTTTTTAATATATATATACTGAACCTCTAGCAAAGCCAAATTATAATAATAATACAAAATAATTTTCATAGGTAGTCGAAGAGTCACCGATGTCTGGTGACGAACAAACTCAACACCTACAGTAGTTTCGGCACCGAATTAGTGCAGACAAACTTTCAATATTTATCAGTGAAAACATTATCAATTGCATTGAAACATGTGTAAAATCACGTCAACATTCAAATTTTTACGTTTTACTATTTTACCTTTTTTTAACTATAACCAGGTGGATTAAGTGTATGGTTTCATACAAAAAAAATTTAGTGTAAAATTACAAATACGCACTTGTTTACAAGAATGTTACTTAACCTAATGACGTTTATAAGTGTTTGCAGAGTCATTAATATGGTATATAATGAAAATGATTGATTGTAATACAACAAGTTTTTACTTTTTATAGGCTCGGATAAATTCGGTTTGTTAACTTTTCAACGTTGACGATTTTCTAGCTTTTAAACCTAAACGCATAAGATATTCTCTTCGCAAAAAGAATTTGAGGACAAAACCCGCTGGCCGCTACCAAGATTAAATTTTAGCAAAACCAGGTCCCATAAAATTCTACATTTTTTTGTTTCGAGGCCAGTGGCCACCATTGCGTCATTGAATATAAAGAGGTTCAGGTGTTCCGCCACAGAAACATCTGTTTTTATATGGCCGCAACCTCACTTTGAACATGGATCACTGTACCTAGATAAATCTCATCCTCATTCCTGTGACAGAGTTGACGAAAAATCTCATGCTTAGGCTTGTCACAAAAGTAGTCAACTCAGTAAGTTTTACATCAACCTAAGTATTGTGCATCTAAGGTTGTACACTTTGAATTTCAAAGTTCCTTTAATTTAGAGTGTATGAAATCACCACCTCATTAGATCAGAGATCGTTGCCAAGATAGCAAACTGTTTTGGCCAGTAAAATTGCACCTGAACACCGTGTTCAAAGAGTATTCAAACGACGCCTACTGGTCCTCATTTGCTTCGGGCTAAGCGAACATCCAAATTAGTAGCGAACTTCCAAATTAGTAGCGAAATTACAAAGTTGAAGACCGACACTCCTATAATCTAAAAAAAATGAATTAATTCGCTTATAAAAATTATACGTTGCTAAAAAAGACGAAGAGAAATAATTACAGAGCGCCCGGTATGGGATTCAAGGCTAACCTCTGGCGAGTGAAGCACGAGGAATATAAATCATTCATTTGTCAACAGTTAGACACTCTCATATATATTCTGTCCAGATCCCCCCATTATCCATAGATTACTTGTTGCATAATTGGTAACCCTGCACTGGATTCATTTGTTATAAAGATGCTTGTTATTGTCTGAATATAGATCGTTATAGTTTAAGGCTTTTACATATATGGTAGTCATTAGTCAATTACTCTTATACAAGAGGACACTGTTTCCAGTTTTAAGTAACACTAATTAGAAATTAGAACATTGTACTAGGTAAAAGAAACGTTAATCATAATTTATCCGGGGACTATTATAAGACGTCCTCAATATACTTTTAAAAAGCCAGCTACGCAGTTATAGGCTTACAGAAAGGTTTATTGGTTTACATTACGTGTACATATTACAATTGAGTATACAAGTCTTATGCGTGTATACTCTTTGGTATTACTCTTCAACACGAAACAGTTTCAAGTATGCAGCTGTGACGTGATTCTCTTGCAACTTTGGCCTTGAGAGGACCTACAACTTTAGAACCACCAAACCACGGTCTGTGGTTGCAGTCTCAGTTCCACGAACTGCTTAGAATGCAAACAATCTGGCAATCTAACAATCTACACGTCTCGCGAAACTAAGGAACCCCGAGCCCCGCGGCGACGGAGCCAGAACCTGTAGATTAAAGAGGACAAGGTTCTACCGAACCGCACCTTAGAGAACGGTTCACTCTTGAACAAACTCTACCTTCTTGGTAAAAAGGTCATGAAAAACATTTAATTGCACTCGTAGTTGATAGAGAGTGTTTTCCAATTATGTAGGGTCAAATTCAAAAGTAAATAGAAAAATAACGTAGGTATCTTTTACCCTGGTTAGAACCACCAAAACTACTTAGGATATAGGCATAGGGTACCGCCAAAATATAGTCGTGTTTGGAACGATAAAAAACTGTAACTTATACTATACACTCATGGTTTGTAAATCTTACTTAATATAATATTTTTACGTTAAAACATTTGTTATGTGTTCGGTTGGTTCCATTTCGGTTGTCATTTTGACTAAGATAACTCGAAAGGGTTTATTGCTACGAAAAGAAAAATCCGCGGCAAAATAACAGCCAAAGCAGCAATAAACTCAGATGTAATTTACGGCACTTTTGAGCTTCTGCGAAATATCACCCTGACGTGTTATTTTCAACTCGTAAAAACCAACCGGAATGACCGATAATTTAAATCTAAGCTGCACTTATGGTCTTTA